AAAGAAAAAAAGTATGTTTTTTCCTGAAAACTGTTATGATCTGAATAATTTTTACTCGAGTATTATTTTATACTTCACTACAAAATTGGTTCCAAAAAATCATTGTTCTTATTTCAACATCAAAATAAATAAACTTAATTTAATTTCATATCTTTTGGATAGAATCAAGTGTATAAAATTGAAAACTTAATGATACCTAAACTCAAACGTTATCATTAAAAAGTTTATACAAGATAAAGAGTTTCTATTTTAGATTGTCTTTCACAAATTTCCTTTTCAATTTTGTACTTAACATACTATTATGAGTATATACCATCGATTGGTTCCGGTGAATGTGTAACATTTTAAGATATTTTTCTTCAGATACACTTCAAATATCAACGAATAACTTTACATTGTTTTATATTAACGCGTTTAGTTATTTGAACATAAAAAATAAAATAAATTATGAAATTGTATATTGTGTGGCAAGGGCGGGAAGTAAGGTTTTCGGTCACGAGTGACGTATGTGCCATGAGGCGAGGAACGTATTTTGTCCAAGACCGAAATCGTCTAACCTGTATTGGTGGAATAGGTAATGCAGGGATCTAGCAACAACATATATACTTATAATATGAATTTAAGATTTGACCAAAAGTTTATGTTTTATAAAGATCGTGAAATACATTTCCGATTGTGTTGGGAATACGCACCATCATATTTGAAGATTTCTACTTTTCCGCCTGGCACAATTTGGATTTCCACTTTACCGCCCATCACTATGGGGATTCCCACTTTACTATCCACTGGACGGAAAATGTCGCTTTCGAATGCTTCAACAGCAATCAAAAATCTAACTTTCAGTGCAGACATGACAAACATAAATATGACATAAAAAAATATTTAACATTGACACTATGTTTTCAAATCGTTTGTTAAATTACAACTGATTATTAATAATCGGTGATTCAAATCATAATCAAAAAAAATATCGAACATTTTAACAGTACTAAATGCTAACCTCATACTACTCTACCAAACCAAGAGTTTACAAGAATCACAAAATACTAACTTTTATTAATTTTATATCTCTAATTCGTTTATTTATTATTTTGTTAAATGTTCGGAGACAGAATCAAAAAAGTGTTAATTTTCATTTAAGATGCACTTTATGATAAATTTAAATTTATTTTAAAAGTTCTTATCGTATCAATTTATCGTACGTCGGAAGTAAAGAACGTTCAAATCCCTATGTTGCACATGTGATAGGTAAAGACAGAAAGTCATGACTTGCAATCAACTTGTATATTTATTAAACCAACGTAAAAGCGTAACACTAATTTCATTAGATTTATTTTTAAACTAATTTATTACGACATGATTTATTCGATTGATTTTTAAATACTAAAGACCTCATTATTTGTTGTTAAATTTGAAAATAAGTTAAATAAATCGTTATACTAATTTTCGTCAATTACCTATGTTTCGTGTAGTTAAAAGATAAAGTTTTTATTTGTTCCATATGTAACTTAATTGTTCAATAAGGGAAACAAAAGTGTATAGAAATTTTATTGAAAGATAAAATCTATAATAATTTGCTTTTTCAAAGTCCAAAATAATATTTTCTAAAAGTTTTTAAAATATCTAAAATATATAATATAATAAAATGTTATCTTATTAGTATTCTGATATTTATTTGGATAAAACACGATTGCGTACGTTCGTTATCGGCGATACCTTTTTAAGCTACACGATTCCGTACGATTTTACCTGATTTTTAACTACATGATTGCGTACGAAGTTTTAAAGTATGATTCATACTAGCTAGACACGTACCGACGACACCGTACCGTACCGTCCCGATACAGGCCTGGTCATTTCATACTTATTCAGGCACGTACTGACAGACACCGTAACGTACTGTTCATACATATTATACTTATTATTGTTCCCATACCTACATTTTCGCTACAACATCGTAAAGTGAAAACAAAATTTTCCCTCTTTTCCCCTTTTTTTTATATTTTAAGTTTGAAATAAAAATAAAAATGTTTGTAACAATGCATAGAGACATTCTTGATCTCTAACGAGTTCAATTAATAACTCTAAATTCATCAAACGTGAAAAATATAAAAAAGTGAAAAAAATGAGAAGTTTGTATAATATGTACGAACTTCAGAAATATGTGACTGCGAATATTTTTCTAGTGAATAACAGCAGACGGTTACTATAATATTATGTCTGTTGTTCATTCACACTTATCATATAGACCTGTTCAAACCAGATCAGACACGTGCTGCCCCGACAAAACATTCTCGCGCGAAATACCAGACGGACTCTGTCGATTCGCTACGTGGATGAACGGAACGGAAACGTTTAAATGTGAATTGCTGTATTTAAACAGATATTAAATTATTTTCCGGAACGGTACAGTATGTTATCTGACTAGTGTGAATCATGCTTAAATGTTGATACGAATTTTCATACCAGTGTTGGTGTACATCACACGCCTATACGAGAGAACTTAAAAAAGTTAGTAAATATTTTGTATTTTATTGCTTTTATTACCTATGTTTATTGTTAATAATATCATATATATCAGATAAAACGAAATTTCGTTATTTTCGTTATATTATACAGTATTTTTCGAGTTTCAGTAAAAGTAGTAGGTTATAGATGCCAAAGAATCCAAATAACGCATTTTCAGATAATGTATTAACAATAATTTTTATTCAAATAAAAACTGTCGATTTCATTTATTTATTAATTACTTTTCTTTTATTTAGTTATCTACATTTTATTTATTATTTTATTATTAATTCTTTTTGTGAACTATTATAGAACTGTTAGTATATGTATATATATATTATTTGATATAATACGGTGAAATTAGTAAATTTGACAACGTTGCAGCATACAATTCCATATGCAATCGTGTTGCCAAAAAGGACAAACGTACGGAATCGTGTTCTAATAATTTATTTTTAACGCGTAAATATTTTCATAATCATTACATGGTACCCTTTCAAAATTTAGTTTATTTTTTTCAAGGTATGAAATTTTAACACAGATTAACTTTTTAAAATTCTCTTATAAATCGTTTTTTTTTTTCATGTTATTCAAACCTCAAGTTTATGGTTTCACAGTCTCAATTATTATTTTCTAATCAGTGAATAACAATATAAGGTAAAGTAGGTAAATTATATTTTAAATACTTACTTATAATAGTTACTCATGTTAGAAATTATGTACACGTATATCTTAGAATTATTTGTCACGTGAGTACTCAATAAATTATTGAATTAAGTTTAAAATTCTATAAAGAATTTAAAATATAATATTTCTATTGAGGATCCAAATAATGAGATTTTTGAATGAATAAAAATAATTTATTTGGTAGATAATATATTTTTAAACTGCCATTCCCCGGGTAAAATAAAAAATACTTTAATATAAATATTTAATTAACTAGGGTCACAAGTAATTTCAGAAATGTCAGTAAGTAAGTGGAATTGAATCAGCGTTGACGTGTAGTATCCCTCCGCGTTTGACAGTCCCATGGCCATGTAGTTAAATTAAAAAAAAAAAAAATAATAATAATAAATAAATAAAACAAGAGAATAGATGTTGTCAACTGATTTTATTTTCAAGCTTCCCTTCTTAACTGTCAAATATCCCTGCGTCGTATAATAATATTGTATATAGTCCGATCATTACGAGTACCCATTAACGCACCATTATCTTCATCATAATATTACATTTCACGGAATAATTAAAAAACCAAAACAAAAGTATATCATTATATTTTAAAATACGCATGCAAATCGTCAACACCGTTGATTTCAAATAACACTTTAAAATATGTTATTAGTTAGCATCGTCACTATCACCTCCTGCTCAGTATTTCATGTAATTATGGCATAGCAAGTGATTAATGGTTCAACGAGGTTCAAAAAAATCTATCCATGTAAATGTTCATATTTTGATAATCATAATATTTATAGTATAATATAGAGTATATACGCTTCGCGAAATCCGTAAATAATGTACTCTTGACTGTTCTTGGAGTTTTGATTTCTATAAAATCCACACACACATATATTATTCTATGAAACGTAAAACGCATATCATGAATAATATAAATTTTCAATTTTAAATTTGTCAGTAGTTAGTAAAATATATTTATTTTTATTGACATCAACAATGATTCACTCCATCTCACTAAGAAAAACTTGTGTGGAGACTCAAAGTTATCAAAGTTTAAAAATAGTCTTAAATATATGGTATCTACATGTAATATGAAGTACAGAAAACAAATTAAACATTTTTTTCCTTCTTAAAAATAATAAATAATTTTTAAGTCAAGTTACAAGTGTTATTTAGTATGGTATTTATTGGTATATAATTAATGGTATTTAGCACGGTACATATATTTAGTTTTAGTCGCATCAAATTCATATTGGAGTCAGTGATAATTTTTTTTTTTGAAACGAAAATGTGGCATATTGCTCACATCACTGGACATTAAGTTAAATATCTGAATTCCTATAAAAAATTAAAATTTTCCGCAGCCAGTTTTTGTGGGCCTGTATAAGATATATTTACCAGCCAAATATTTAGTGCTTATCTCATGTTGTATAGGGTATTAGAAATCGTGTTTTTTTTCTTTTAGTTATATGATAGTAGTTATTAGATATAGAAGTTGTATATTAAGAGCTTTGAAGTCTTCAAATAGTTTTTCTGTTGGATATTTCCAATTGTTTTTTATTCGCAATCCTAAGTAATCGTATGGTACAAATAGATTCGTACATGGAACATGTACCGTTGGACGTTTTGCGCGCAAGAATGATTATAAAAAGTACGATCACTATGTGAGCACGTACGTTTGCCGCTGATGATGTGATAAGAAGTCAGAAATGATAATATTTCAACACTCTGCAGCTCGAGAGCATCATCGCTATGCGTGTATCATTTCAAGTTTCTGATCTAACGCACTTGTTTGTTTTTGTTGTTTTCGACAGGAAATCTGCCTCGTAGTGTTCTTTGGCGTCGAATACATGATACGGTTATGGTCAGCCGGTTGCAGGTCCAAGTACATGGGTACGTTCGGCAGATTCCGATTCGTCCGGAAACCCATATGCATCATCGGTAAGTATAAACTTTATTAACTAATCCGTTATTTTTTATTTACCTATCGCCCTAAGCATTGTTTTTGTAAGAAGCATTTTCGGTACGATTTTCATATGAACACATTAAAATTTCAACAGCCAATTTACGTTAAGTACATCGACTATGAATGTTTTTCACATACGTTTTACTGTTACCTTACCACTTTTCATATGGTTTTTTGAAACAAACACCGTACAGTTACAAAATACACACAATCAATTCTCAAATATCCTGATAGATTCTTGGTCGATCATTTACCTGTATTTATTGGCATGTCACATAAGTATTTAATATATTTAGAGACGATCTGCGCATAATATAAACAACGACCAGATTTTTGATTCCGTATTGTTTTGGCTTGTTAAGAATAATCGTATCTTTTCTATTCGATGTATTTAATTTCTCATTTTTACAACAATTCTTGTTTAAAGTTAGTAAGAAAAAAAATTCCACGTGAACATGACCGGGAATTTACTTATTATATTACTATTATATTACGTTATTAGTTAACGTGTATGAAAATAACATAAATATATGATGTACCTACATGATAAATAGATAATGTGGTGGTCGATAAATATTTTCATCTGACGTGTTACTGGATGCGTTCAATCGAACATCATGTGTGATCTTAAAAATATGTCTTGAAAATAAAATTGTTTCCGGTTATAGTTTTTTTTTTTCAATTCAATGTATAATACAATGTATATAATTACGTGACTGCAAGTTATTGTGAGAAAAAAATCATACATCGAATATTTTAATATGACGATTCAAGCAATATTTATCGTGGCATTTGACTATTATACGTCAGCTGCAGCCGCATGCAGACGCGGAATCCCCACGGATGTACCTCCTCGCCACCGTCGCGGACGATTTGGTTTGTTGATTTTAAAACCGCAGGCACTACATAATTATGCTGAATCAATGTTTATTAATTATTCAAACAGCACACCGTTTATGTGGTAATGAAACAACGCCGCGACACGAAATAATATACCCGGTCAAACATTTATATAAATACGTACAAGTGTAACTCGATAAATTTAACGTCGAGTTAATAACATTATCCTCGAAATCCTGACGAGGATTAATTTGTCACACAATCGTCTGAGCTTAATGAAATAATGTGTGCAATATGTTCAGACGCCTGTGACTCCGGCACCGACGGACCTACTACACGTGCCCATCTGGCACGGGAGTGAAATTGCATTCTGTGTATAAAACGCATAAAAATAATCTGAAAGCGTGATATGATATCGAATGACCGTCCGTTTAAGTTGAACGTATACAGACAGTGAAATGCATATACGTATAGTATTCATTTTTTAAATTAAACAATAATTGAAAACGGTATAAAAAACCGACAGTCACATATTGTAATTAAGTTATACATAAATTAGCCTAAAACCACGCAATACATGTGTATATATACACGTTATATGCATGTTATATGTATGAATATATCTTATATAGCAGTAATTATTTAATTAGCAATTAATAATCGTATTCACATTCTGCATAATATACTTTTACGACAGAAAAAATTTATGAATAATATGCTGCTGTTTGTATTTCATAATAACCGTTATAAAAATGTGATAGTAATTTTATTTTAAATAACAAAAAAAAAGAAAAACAATGAATAAAGTACCAATGAAAAAAAAATTCTCTATTCCAAAAACTATACAAATAGTTTTGTTCAAATTAATGTTTATTGAATAATTACATTACAAGTGTTCCAATGGATAGTATAAATTCGATAATATAATTCAAATAACTTAATTTGAACACTGATTCTAGCAAGTAAACTTTCTCATCAAAACTAAAAAGTGTATTTACTAACGTTTTTAATGATGTATTATAAAGCAATGCGAATTAACATGAATATTTATCAAATCTAGTTATTTATGACTAATAATCGTGAAATCGACTTAATCAGGTTCTCGGCTTACGAAGAGAAACATTTTTTACAACGAAATATTTTTTCCAAATAAAAATAACTGTGCTTCAATGATTTTTCCATAGATTTCGTTAGGAGAAGGATACATACTTATAATAAACACACCTACCTAGTATATTGCTCGGACAAGTGGCAATCATCATCGAATAATAATAAAAAACTAATAAATAATAACAATAATTGTTAACGAACATGTGTTGTCTGTTGTTTTCACAGATCTGATCGTTGTTGTGGCTTCGATCGTGGTGCTATCAATTGGTTCCAATGGGCAGGTGTTTGCCACATCGGCGATCAGAGGCATTAGGTTTCTACAAATATTGAGAATGTTGCACGTGGACCGCCAAGGTGGCACATGGCGGCTTCTCGGCTCAGTTGTATTTATTCACAGACAAGTAAGTACCCGAATTAAAATAAATATACACCCCCGTAGATGTGTTTGATACTATTATTGTTTATAACCGTTTAATGATGGTGGACCATTTGCCGGGGGAGTGGACGTTGTTATATTGTTTTGCGCACGCCACGTATACGGGAGATAATGTTCCGCTGTAAAACTTTAGAAAACAATACCATATGTTTTGAGAAAAACAAAACGTCATGCGTTATAGGTCCAAAGACGATTTCTAAGCAGATCAGCATCCCATTATAAGTTAACGTTGACTAGGAATCGAAAGTTTTTAATTAAAAAACTTTAATTAAATACAAACAGAAGCGTCATATTTACTGGAGCGAACCATGCGAACCGTACGAATTGGTTACGGTTCGTTGTAGTTACACGAAAAAGGGTGTTGAAAGTGATAATATAAGACTCAGAAGGCCCATTGTTGTTCTTCAATTTGATAAAAGGTCGATAAGGAAAACTCTAGAAAAGCAAATGTTCACTCGAAAATGATTATTTTGTTTAAGTTTTTGATCTTTTGATCGACGCATTTCCTATAATTTTACCGCTTGATTCTTGAAATTTGTATAGTTAAATTCTACAAAAACTGATAATAATTATTTGATTACATTTTTGAATTTTTTTTTTTCCTCAGGAGCTCATCACTACGTTGTACATAGGTTTTCTAGGTTTAATTTTTAGCAGCTATTTCGTATATCTCGCCGAAAAAGATGCTGTCAGCAAAGACGGCAAATCGAGAAACGATTTTTCCAGCTATGCCGACGCGCTATGGTGGGGAGTGGTAAGTTTACACGATACAGACAAATTCAAATAAATAAGTAAAATAATAATGGTGTTTATAAAATTTAAATTATTAAATACATAGTAATACTTAAGACTCATTAACAGTTTTTTAATTTTTGTTTGAAATATGATTGAAAATAAAACTTTTTAATACCTTGTTTTTTTTGGTAAAATACGATTGAAAACGTTCGATATTTAATTTTTTTTTTCTACGGTGCCAAATTTAATCGAACAATAATTTAAGTAAGATAATCTGCTGTTATACAATTAAGAACGTTATACTTTTTGGCTGAACGATTGATATGGTTGATATTTATCGGACGTTCACCGAATTGTTATTAGTAACTTAATACCTACCATATACGACATATCTATAGGTGTTGTAGTCGTTGCACAAACGTCAACGAAATATTCGTCAGTTTATAAAATATGTATATTATGTATCTATTCGTCAAATAATTGAAAATAATAAAATTAAAATTATTTTTACTATACACAGTGAAGGAGGTGAAAATCGAGTATTATTAGATAGTAAGAAATATCGTTTTATTCGGAAACGTAAAGACACAAGAAATATTTAGAGTATAATTTAATACGCTATCCTGCTATAACTAATTTAAGGGTAAATCTTTTTTCATTACATTTTTTTATAATTCTACATTTTATACATTTTTTTAGACATATTTATTTTACATATGAATTTTTTCAATAATATTTGTTAAATAATAAATACTAAATGATATGACAACGTTGCACGCAAGTTCGCTCTCAATCGTATTCTTTTTTTGGTTTTTTTGGTTCATAGTGGTAAGTTCTTTGTTAATTTTAAGTGTTCTCAATCGTTCGAATGCCTTATTTTTGATAAACTATCATAGTTACTGTTAAATCGGCTATTTTGACAATAATATGATTGTTATAACATATAGTAATAATTATATACAATATACTTATTTTATCTATGTTTATATAATATTTTTATTTTCAATTCTAACTTAATTTTTAAATTTTTCCTATCATTCTAAAAATTTTATTAAAATTTCATTTATTTTGAATATTTAATGAATAATTTTAGTTCTTTTTGGTTTTTCTACAGTAAATTAGTATAAAATAATATAAGATTAATTTCTTTCAATTTTTTATAAACTAATAATATTTTTTACTATGTTATTTGATTGATATTTTATGAATTTCTAGATCACTGTTACAACAATAGGTTACGGTGATGCGGTACCTCAAACATGGATCGGCAAAATCGTCGCATCGTGTTTCAGTGTATTCGCGATTTCGTTTTTCGCCTTACCAGCTGTAAGTACATAAAATATGAAGACATTTAAGGTACAATAGTCTGCGTGTGGCATTTAAAATAAAAAATATCCGATTATTTTAAGCCAATAGATTATAAACATATTATTACACATACATGAAAATTAAAACGGTTTGAGTTTAGATTATTACAGTATAAGATCGTTCTTAATTTGCTTCTTGTCAAAAAACATTTTCCCACAAACAATAGAACAGTATTTTTAAATAGCCTTAGTGAAATATATGCGTGTAAGATTAAAGTAATTAATTTAATAACGTTTTATAAAACGTAGATAGTTAATGGAGGAAATATTAAAACTACTTGGTTTATGTATAAGTAGTTTGCTTGGAAATGTCCATGGTGTTGCGTAACTAATGGAATTTTGTTTAATTAAAATATTATGATGGAAATATAACAATGAACTACTAAATTTTTCTATCTTAACTCCTCTGTATCACGAAAAACGTTATTTTTTGTGAACTTCGAACATTTTTACTGGGTGTGGATATTAATGAAATTAAATTGTTAACATTTCACTTTTACGACACACGCGCATACTGTCAATTACACTATTATAATATTTAATCATAGTAATATTGATTAAACGAGCAGTAGGTATAATCGTAAATAGATATGCCTTTGTTTTCTGCAAATGACAAATTTCAACACGTATTATTAGACCACAGAAAATTTGGGGTAAAACACGATTGCATACGAAGTAACGTTGATCCGAATTTTCATACCAGTATTGGTGTATACCACATGCCTATAGGAGAAAACTTAAAAAAACTTAAATACTTTGTGTTTTATTGCTTTTATTAGGTACCTATAATTATTGTTAATGATATCAAATACACAGATATAAAAAAATTTCGTTATTTCCGTTACATTATACGGTATTTTCTGAGTTTCAGTAAAAATAGTAGGTTACAGATGTCAAGGAATTAAAATTTAATCATTTTTCAATAATTTATTAATAATAATTTCATTAAAATAAAAACTGTCGATTTTATTTATTTATTAATTAATTTACTACTACTATTTAGTCATCCTCATTTTATTATTAATTATTTTTATGAACTATTATAGAACTGTTTGTATATGTATCTATATTTTACACTATATATACATTATATATTTTCATATTAGACATAATACAGTGAAATTAGTAAATATGACAACGTTGCATACAATTGCATACGCAGTCGTGTTTATTTATTTTTCTTACCCACCTTTTTGTTACCCATCTCCATACCTACGCAATCATAAAGCTAAAAAGGAAAAACGTATACATTTGTGTTCTATCCAAATTTTGACTGAGTACGAGTTGATTCCCGGGTACCCATTTACCTGCACCGATACCATTGAGTTAATTCCTGGGTCATCAAGAGTTATGCACAAGTTGATTACTGAGTTATGATATATTTTTTTCAATATGAATTCAAATACTTACCGTATTAGCGTAACCCAAGAAACACCACGAGGAGTTTGGTTGATAAGTTACTCAAAAGTGTTGTTCTTTATAGTTTTTTCATATTATGAAAATCATTCAATTTGTATTTATTTTATTGTATTATATTTATTATTTATTAAAAAAATTACTATTAAAAAAAATGTTGTAGGTAAAAAAATAATTATTAAAACATTCTAGTAACTAGGTATTTTTTTTCTCGTAAATTCGCTCGTATTATCGGTAAAATGAACGCGTGTTGTGTGTGACTGTCGAACATTTTACGGTCGAGCAGTCTATTGATATATATAAGTAAGGAATTTTTTTTATAGTTTTTTAATCTATAAATAAAGTTTTTTTTATTATAGCTAATAAGATGTATATTCATATGAAATAAAGTTATTTTTATTTATTATGACTTATTATTTATTTTTATATATACAGTGACTTGACACGCACAATTATTTAAAGTTGCGGTGCCAAACCGACGGCGCACAAACGGCCAAATGTTCCGGGAATCAACTCGTACATACCTAATAATGACTCGGGAATCAATTAATATAATACATAAAGTAGGTCTGTGGAATCAACTCGCTTATTGCGGAAATTTTATATAGAAGAACACCATTTTGTATGATATCTGAGATTAGGAATGAAGGAATGAATGAGGAATCTATTGAAATAATAATTGATTGACGTTTAGCAGGACGATTAGTGTTTTGATTTTTCCACGATTCAACGGCATATGAATATCAACGATTATATTTTAATAATAATTCAATTCGACTCGTATAATTAACATCATGGGTTCAATAGCAGGAGCATATGAGCCGAGCATATTTTTGGTGCTGAGGAAAATATGGAACACTTGTAAAATTGATATTATGGTGAGGTAGAAAATCGCCGAACAACCGTAATACGATGAATATTGATGACCGATGTCAAATAATGTTGAGCGTCATGCGCTCGTTCGATCATGGGAAACGGTAAAAACGTGCAATACCGTATGCAAATTATATACACCGGATAATATTCGTACACGCATGATAAATGGGAATAAGTTCATTTAACGATTTTTTTATAACGTTATTATAAAATCAATCGGTTGACATGGAAAAATAAAAGTAATAGAAAGTGTATTTTTCCGTAAAATCTACGACAAAAAGGGAATAAAACCATCAGTCATTGCAGTTCAAATAGCAATAATTAAACGAAAATGTTTGTGTATTCTAATCGCCATGACTTATTCGTATAGCAAAACATTAATAACATTAATAATGCATTGGGAAGAAGGATGTATATTAAAAAAAAAACGTTTGCTCAAATTTATGATAATCACGTGAAAGGGGAACTATTATAAATAAGTAAGCTATCCAACAGGAAAAATTAATTGATTTATGAATCTGAAAATAATCGAATAGTTTAAGTACCAAGGAAACCTATTTTTAAAGAATCACAGAAAAACAAATATCAAATAATTTAAATGTTTTAATATTATAGATAGATGTTTTTTTGTACTTATTCCCTTTAACCTGGGTACTATCCGATGGTATTTTTTAAAAAAAATTAAATTAAACTTTGTATACCATTTCGTAAAAAAAGGAAAAAGGAGTCTTATCGGTACGTTGTGATTTTTAAGCTATTTAAATCGGATTATAAGTCATGCACCGTGCATTATATTATAATATTGGTTGATGTAGTAAATAAAACCATAAGAGCGTCAAGGACTGCAGTGTGTACAATACACGCACTCGCTGCACTAAAAGCTTCACAGATTTATGTACTCGGACCATGTTTATCAGAACGCTCGATGCCAAATGCGAACTTGTGTAACTGTACGGAAATATTCAGTAAATTATTATCGCCCGTGTTCCAGTAATTTAAAATTTTGATCCGACAGCGTTATAATTATATTTTGTTCGGCCTGCTTTTGACGTTAGGTTTGATTCTGTACGACTGTTTACGTTTTAAGGAACACACACATACACACACACACACACGCACGCACGCACGCACGCACGCACTTAAAAAATTATCATAATATACTATGTTCGCCGAAGGGTTGTTATTTATATCCAGATTTCCAGATTTGAAAATTTTTGACGAAGTAAATTTATGTGTTTTATCATTCCAAATAGAAATCCAAAATTTACTTTAGTGAGCATAGAAGTATCAATTGTAATAAATACAATTCTAACAATCATTATTAAATGTTTAATATTATACAGAATCTACACAGATACACTCACTCTTCAATAATCGTATATAAGTGTGTTTTATCACAGACTTTTTTCCCCTTCTCTTTTATGCAAGGGACAACATCATATTTGTAAATTCATGTTATACGCGTAAATCACTAATTTTAAAAGTGTTCTACCGTGTAATTATTAGGGCATATTAGGTTCGGGATTTGCTCTGAAAGTACAGCAAAAACAAAGGCAGAAGCATTTCAATCGGCAAATACCTGCAGCTGCTATGCTGATACAGTGTCTTTGGAGGTGCTACGCTGCGGATAAATGTTTCAATAGCCAAGCTACGTGGGACATATACATCAAAGAACCAGGACATCCAAAAGATAATTCGTCGCTGAGCAAAGTAGTTCAGTTATTTTTTTTTTCTTCAGAAAAGTTATAGAAAACAACGTCGGGGTGTAATAAAATGTTGTATTTTAATACTGTAGTCCCTGATCATGCAAGTAGCGAAGCGTGCCAGCGTCTTAAAGCGGAAGAGATCAAAAAGTAAAATGGACACATCTGGAGGGTCCACGACGAACAATAATAGGGATAGCCTGCAAGCTCAAACTTTACCCCCACCACCGAATCCCAGAAGGGAAAGTGATGGTGAAGTAGTTTTCTATATAGAAGAACCAAAAGCAAGTACGTTACATATTTTTGTTTGTTTGTACGTGCTCTATAAATTACCATGGGACAATTCAATTAATGTTTATTCGTTATTATTTATTTTTAGCTACTCCTAATCGGGTGAGAAGAGAAGCGAGAGGATACGTCAGCCAGACAAGTTCTGTAACGGAAGCGGCTAGCGACGAAGTTGACTTAGAAATGGAACCAGAACGAGTGACCACGTAAGTCGACGGTATTATTGTTGTAAAGTTTGATGAATGTATTTGATATATCTGATGTGCATTTGTAGATGATATTTATTTATTTCAATCAAACGTTAACAGTTGAATATGTCTAGAAACATAAATATTACGATTTAATATTACATATACAAAATTATTGTTATTTTCATATGTCATTTAAATAATAAATCAGATCATACTTTATTAGACATTAAATTAAAGTTCTTTTAACACTTAACTTAAAATTAAAATATTATTTTTTCTACCTATTGTTATAATTCAATTAACCAGACGAAAAAGTATATTTTATTTTTTTTACTCGTTATAGGTTGACTGATGTACACAAAAATGCTATTCGAGCCATTAGAAAGATAAAATATTTTGTAGCTAGAAGAAAATTTCAACAAGCAAGAAAACCATATGATGTACGTGATGTTATTGAACAGTATAGTCAAGGTCATTTGAACATGATGGTTCGAATAAAGGTAAACTGTTATGTGACAACTATAAGATATAAAAATAATTTTAATAATTAAAAATGTATTCTCTGAAAACTGTCTATCCTACATTATGAGCAGTTTATGTCATTGAATACAATTAAGTCATTTTGTTTCTTTAGCTATTAAAATGTATTTGATACATTATTGAGTATAATATGTAATATTTATAAATTATTGATTGAATAGTTTTTTTTTTCTTCATATTTTGCATAAAAAACGAGAAAATAAATCAAAGGTAAACTTTGTTTTCATACCTATACTTAAATTATAATTATTAATTGTAATACAAGACTATAATTGATTGAATTTATATCGAGCTTTTATACCTTTATACTCTTATACTATATATAAACATTATTTGGCATTTATTAAACAATTTAACGAATTAACCCAATTTAATTAGTAAATAATCGTTTATCCAAATACAAAATGATTTTAATAAAACAAATTTATATGTATTAAGATTTTTTCAAGTTCTTTTAATATTATTAAAATTGACGATTTTACCTTATGCTTTGAATAATACAAATCGATTTTACGATAAACTTTGGGTATATATATTTATAAAGTATTATTTAAATTTTAAATCTTATAGCAAAATTATGCAAATGTTAAATTCAATGCACAGATGTATAACAGTGTACTATAATACTACAGTATAAAGCAAACACTAGTTTCAAACTAAAGCTCATAATTTTGATAATGCGTCCAGATAATTTAATTATTAAATTATATTTCTACGTCATAATCGATAAAAATTGTTTCCCAATGAAAAGATACTGAAATAAACTTTGATATTTAATTGTTGTAATAAAATTAACTGAGCACAATGACTAAGTCAGTCTTAGTGTTTTAAACAATGTTATCAAAGACCAATTTCTCAATTTGAATCGTAACATACGTACAATATATTTGAGAAAAAACGATCATAAGTTTTTATATGTGTGTGTGTGTGTGTAATGTAATTATTTAATGTTAAAAAATCAAATACAAGTTTTATAAAAATATTGTTGTTTTAGGAATTGCAAAGGAGGTTAGATCAAACGCTAGGGAAGCCAGGTAGTTACTTGGCAGGTATCGACAGAGCAGGCAACGTTAAGCCTATGACAATTGGTGCTCGTTTGTATAGACTAGAACAGCAGGTAAGATAAAACATTAACACGTTGTATTTTTTTTTTTTCATTCTGATGAATAATATTACCGTAATCTAGTGAAAAAATAAACGACCATCGTTATGTGGCTTTATATAGTGTCATTTACATTTACTTTTCAGCTATCTATTATGGATAAGAAACTGGACCAGTTGGTATACCTCTTGAATGTCCAGACGCACAGGCAACAATTTCCAGCTTTAGAAGAACAAGTTTAAAAGTTTAAAAATACCTATAAATGTGTCTCCTTTCCATAGTTTACCCGACCAATGTTTTTATTTTACTGAGAAACAAAATCTTTGTATACAGTCATGCATGATACATTTTAACACATATCTTTTCGACTTTAAAACGCTTTATTTAGTATCTACCCTTTTGATGACGTGGATTACATTATTGATTTTCACAACTTAAACATTTTGATAGCAAACATAATAATGATGTTAGAAGACGATAAATATTAAATATTAAACAAATTTTGTTAAGAACCCTTGTCTGAAGTATTCTTACGAAGGAATCTAATTTTAGGCTTATGCACAATAAAATTAAATTAAATAAATTATTATATAAATATATCGTTAAATAAATCTAAAACACTATTTTTCTATGTCTATTTAATATATGAAAATCGTACTTGAATTAATATTAATAAAAATGTATTTAACTATTTTAACATTACAATGTTAAATGCTTTGTCAGAATTTTAGTGTAAATCACTTAACTCATTATAATTCTTTAACATTTTATAATAATTATTATTATTTGGATTTTAGATGATAGTACTTTTTTATGGTTTTTTTTATTATTTTTTTTACTATAATTATTATTTTAATTTATAACGACTGGTGATTCCTTTAGGCTAATCAAATTCGAATTTTATAAATTCTTAGGGTTACTTATGGACATACGTTGTAGTTGGTAAACAAATTGAGCTTATAGGTAATAGGTATAGTTTTAATCAAATAACCTGTTATTTATTGAAAAGAATATTTATTATAGAACAAAGCATAAGCGTTCTTCATGTGCAAGTATTCGTAGACTTGTATTTCTTATATTTTGTTAGCAATCCAAAAAAAATAAAAAAATAAAAATAAAAAGCAATAATTAATAAAATGTAATAGCTTGTACAATGTTCAAGCAAAGAATAGTAATAATGTAAAATACGAAATCCATACCTGTACCTGGTTATTTGTTATATATATTTTTTTTTACCATTCAAAACAAATTACTTTTAAAAATTTGAATCACTTATTTTTAAACTCTTATCTTCCTTCATAAATTACTGTCGTACATGGTGACCAAAACTAGTTTGCAAATAAAACAATCAAGAATAAGACTAAAACATATTATTTTTTTTAATAGATTACGGATTTTCGTTTTGTTTTGTTTATTATTGGGACCAATAAACTCCAATAACAAGGATAAATTAAAAACATTATTATATCAAAAAATTCTAAAAAACAAAATATAAATAAAAATAATAATACTATACTGCTATGTTTGTAAAAATGTTCATTTCAATCGAACACCAATAAAGCCAAATAGTATAAATTAACTACTATTAGATTAAGTAAAATTCAAATTTTATTTAAAATAGACTTAAGATCTGAAAATATTACTTTGGTTATGTATTTAGCCGACAGACATCACTTAAAAATATCACTTTATTTTCACTTAAAAATTTGTCTACTTCAGAATGAATTATTCGGATATATTTATTTTTTTTAAATCATTTTTATTTATGATACAAATTAAACCAATGTTTGCATTATCATTAAAAACTGGAACGAAATAAAAGTATTTATAATTTCCACAATTTTCAGTGATTAATGAAACATTATGTACGACCACATCGTTAATTATAATTAAAATTGTCGTAGAAATAAATTTTCTTTTTCACACCAATGAAGAATCTCGTTTTAATTCAGTAGTTATTTCTCTAACTCTACATACACGAATATTTCACTAAACACTTTTCAAGCTTTATTTTACAAATATTTTTACATTTTATTTGTATTTGTATAGTATACATTATTATTAAATATGATAGTAAGTACAGGAAGTATTGTACTTCAATATTTTTTTTTCACAGCATTTTTTTTCACTTGGTATTAAAATTTTATTTTTTTTTTACACTGCTTTTAACAAATACAATGTCATGGAATATAAATAAAGAAAATCCAATAAACTGTATAAAACTGTAAAATATTGCAGCTGATAATAACATCCTATTGAATATTAGGTATTTAATTTGATATGAATTGACTATGAATAGTTCCAAAAAAAAAAAAATAAATAAATATATAAAAACAAAAATTGTAAAGCAATCTCTAATCTTGAGTCTAAATAAGTGCCTTTAAACAAAGTTAGTAATAATTTGATTAGTTTAACCTGATAATGTGGTTATATAGTTCTGATATGTTTCTGTTTAATTTTTGTTCTGTTAAATTGTATGCATACAATGATTATATAATCAATACACTAAAATTAAAACATTTTATTAAAACATATAATTATTATCTAGGTATACCTTTTTAGTGCCATGTCCTAACTATATTTTTATTTATTGACTATATAAAAACAATAATTCAAAATATTATAACGATCAGTCCATACATATATATTATATAAAGTAGGTACTAGTCTTAATGTTTAGACAAATAGTTCAATTCTTTTAACGAATTTTCTCATTTACAGGTACTAGACTTATACATAAATAAAATTTAAAAAATAAAATAAAAATAAAAAAAAATAAAAAAATTATACATTTAATAATAACTATTATTCTAAGTTTTAGATCAGATGTGACATTGACACTCTGATTTGTTATAATAATACTTAAAAAATGTTCTTTTTTTATGATATTTTACTTTATTAGGTGCATTTGTTTTTTATATGGACACTTTTGGCTGTAGAATAGTGCAAACAATGTTTATAAATATAGATTTAACTACGACTGTAATTTATATATATATATATATATATATAAATATATATATATATATATATATATATATCACAAACATTGCTACTGTGATCATTAAAATTTATATATTATTATATAATGTTGATAATATTTTAATATAGCGTGCCCTTATTATATATTTAGCGTGTCTTTTGTATATTTGTCTTCGACCAACATATAGAATCGCTTTATTTTTAAAGATAAAAATAAACAAACGTCGAACTCAAAAATATTATGTATTCTCATTGTTTACATTTGTTGTGAATTCGTTTTCATTTTCATATTAGGTACAACTTTCGAGCTTTAGTCAATTTTTTAATCTTGTTAAAATATCATTATCTATGTATTATATAAATGAAAAACTTGTTATTATATTTTCAGCCTTTGTATTTATATATTAATTTCTAGATATTTTAACGAAGTTTAATATGAGAAATGTTTACGATAATTTGATAATAATAATAATATTACATATTCCAAAACAAATGAACGTTTCAAATCGTATAACTTTATTTCTGTACAATTTTGTTTTTTAAACCATATCATTTGTACATTTGTTTACTTTAAACTTTTATTATTAATTAGTTTTTAGTTGTATCATTCAAATACATTATGAATTTTATTATTCTTTATTAATTAAAAAAAAAAAAAGCTATAAATACATATATATATATGCATTGTTCTTTTATATCGTCAAATTGCCGTGTAACCTATTTATTATAATACAAACATGATTGAGAAAATAAATTATCTATTTTTACGGTTCGCTGTTTTGACTAAACGGTTTTGCGTGTTTAAGAAATTACTTACATAAATAACTGTTGTCGAGTAGAGCAAACGGATATGTGATTACTAAAATTTAATTGTATTTAATTATCTATTCAATATTATTGTAATTATTAATCAAAAAATTCGTGATGATGGGAACTAATAAGAACGGATTTAAGAAAACCCAATCCGTGTATTGATTGAAAATTATGGATGTGGTTAAGATCTTGATGACGGTAATTGATACAGTTTTTATTTTTTCTTCGTGAATCCGGTCTAAAGGTTATTGTTCCATGTTTCACAGTTGTGGTTCACTCGTCAGCCAATACAGACTTTTCGACATAAATACATTACTATATTTATTACAATTAATCTAAAACCGTTATCAATCGGAAAAATGTAATATGTAGCGCTCAACCTTTTGTCTGGTAAGAGTTCTGCAGTTTTTTGGAATCACTTTTTTCACTGTCTTATTTAAAAATACAAATTCATGTTTGTAAATTAGAATTTATAGATATGTGTTACATTTGGCGTTTGTGCACGGAAGAACAAAACCGATCAAGCGACGAAGAACGCTAGAATTGTACCTGATGTGATTCATGTCGCTCCTCGAGGGATGATACATGTAAGACGAACAAACTGTAAATATGTATACGGATGAAAATTGGCATGTTTTGATCTAAATCAAATAATAATTATAGATAACGTGATGTTTTACAGATGAGCTATCCAAATGGCGTTAAAAAAGAACTTGAAAATGAACTGACTCCCACCCAAGTTAAAGACCAACTATCAGTGCAATGTAACCCTGAACCTTACTCATATTATACTTTTTGCATGACCGGTAATCCTTGTTGTAACTTTATCATAAAAATTATATGAAATCCGATATTTTCTACAGATATTGACCTCCCGAACCGCTTGAATCCTACCGGCAGAAAATTTCAACATTGGTTAGTAGGAATCGTACCGGGTGGAGATATCAACAAGGGAGAATCATTTTACGCGTATGTAGGCCCCGGACCACCACCGAAATCAGGTATTTCATGCAGTGCTATGATCACGCATAAAGTGCAATGCCAGATTTTTAGTCTTGAGAAGCCAGAGAATAACTACTGATCGGAGGCCCTTACAAATAAAAAAATTAAAAAATGATTGACTTAATATCTACGATCTGGTTTGAGATCTCAAAGGGAACCTTAGATTCAAGGATTCAGTTATTGTACATCCTGCTCTCCCAATATGTCAGAGCTGCTTTCGAATTTAACATAGAAACTATAATTCAATGATTGTTTTCAGGATTTCATCATTAGGTACGTGTTTTTGGTGTACAAATTTCCATTATGATCGAAGCTGACATTCGATGAACCACGCTTTAGCAATAGGTATAAATATATATATATAATATTGCACTTTAAATATGCTATAAATATATAACGATTAAAGAGTTTAAAAATAATGATTAAAATGGATAGTGCGTCGATGGAAGAGCAATCGTCCGGAGCGTGAGGTATTTAGTTATATTCAACGGATTATTGAGATATTATTGAGATATTTCTGAATTTTTTCAATGTGATTTTGAATAAAAATAAATAAAAAAACGGTCTGTTTAGAACAAAAAAATTTTTTCGGCCTTTAACTGCTAAGAACAGTCGACACATTAACTATTCAGTGTGATCATATGCAGCTTATGTAGGGCTCCACATACTATGTATCATGAATATTAAAGTAATTATCTATAAGTAATCTCATAATAATATTGTCACCGGAAAAGTGTTTTTTATTATTATCATCGACGAAAACCAAGACTGTATCAAAGTATAAAAAATCAAATAAAAATAATGTAAATAAAATAAATACGAGTTCAACCAGAGTCTCACAAAAATCTGCTCTAAAATACATAAGATCGGCACTGATACGATGTATCCAAATAATTTTAAGAATTCTACCACCACTAAGCACCATGCTTCGGATGCCAGTAACTTATTTTCTTTTTAAAATATTCACAATTTAATACAAAATAATAAAGTAAAATATCATGATTTCAAAATATTCAGAATATAATAAATATCTAACCAATAATACAATGATAGTCAATTATTTGTAATAATGTAGTCATTAAAAATATTTTCAAAATAATAATTATTATTTGTTTGCATTTATGGTTTAAATTTCACCGGGAATGTATACATTTCCCGGTATTCCATATTACCGGTAACATACATAATATATATTATATTTCATAATATTATGAATATGATTAAAAATATTTTTGTGAATGCGTGGAATACCAATATTCAGACTGAATTGTACGTAATGCAAATATTTGTATTTATAATACAAAACTTTTTTTTTTGCAGAACTTTTGAGATGCGTTATCAATTAATAAACTTGCGTCTAAGTATAATTTAGAAACACCTACAGCAGGAAACTTCTATCAAGCGCAATATGATGATTATGTTCCCGTTCTATATCAACAGCTAGGAATTAATTGATTGTTTAACTTAAAAAATCTGAATTTAAATTTGTACTGTGCTTTATATATGTTATATATTATATATATATATATATATATATTACCGTAAATGCCCGATCACTAGGTAAACCTAGATTTTACTGTTTGTTAATAATAATTATAACTAACCTGAATGAAATGCTGAATTTTTCATTGCTTGAACAAATCGTAAAGATTCAGACCATTTTGCATTATCATTAGTTTCCATCCAAGTTGCTATCATACTTTCGATGTCTTGATTAAATCGTTCAACTTATCCTCGAGATTGGCTGTGACGAGCTTTGCCATGAATTATTTTAACTTGAGGCCACATTTCACATACACTGGTAACAATTTTATTTACAAATTCTCGTTATCTAAGTGTAGTATACTAGGAGCTCCAAAGAGAGTGAATATATCTAGAAGTTGATATGCAATTTCTTCTGCACGTTTACACCGTAAAGGCCGTATAATCACAAATTTTTTCAGGTGATCTTGATATAACATAATGTATTTAAAACCATTATCTGGGTTTGATTGCATATCAATTAAATCAATTTGACATCGAGAATTCATTTCATTATACAATACCGGTTTAACAACGAGTCCTTTTTTGGTATACTATGCTTTTTCTGGCATGTTTCACACATTTTCAAGTACACATTTATAGCTTTCACATTAATATTTTTGAATTTTTTTTTAGCATATGATATATCCGATCCCTACTACCATGTCCTGTTTCAATATGAGCTGCGTGTTTAATATCAAAAAGTTCGTCATTACATACGTAGTATCGAATATTTTCAGATCCACTTTCCACTGGAAAAATAAGTTTGTCTTCATTCCTAATACAAAGAACATCAAATCGTTTTAAACTCCGATAGTGAATTGATTTTTTGACAGCGATTGTTTTTGCGTTCTTCACTTCTTGTAAATACGTATTGTACATTTCACGTGTTAAATAAAAAGTATTACTAGAATCTTTTTTTTTTAATTATTGGATTTAAAACGTCATAAAACCTTTCTATATTAGCCATATTTAAGTCAAATTAACAATGAAAATAAATATAATTAAAAATTACATTAATTAAATACAATTCAATATAAATATTACGCGCACAAGGCACAACACATATTACATTGTTTTACAAATGGATCCGTCTATCACGTAAAATCCAAACAGACTGAACAAGTACCTAATAAAACCATATCTAAGCGATAACGAATCCGTTATTAAATTATTAGATAATTATTAATATCTACACATTGCAGTCGTAAATTTATCTTCGCAAAATAATTATTATTAATCGTTGCGAGCAAAAATGTTTGAGGTGTGATTTCCAGAAAAAATGTACAACTTAAGATGCATTTTTATGAATTATAATAATATATAATTATAATTTTTACGCAGCTTAAATGTTATGTATCGTGTATTGATCAGCTTTTACTAAGTCAATTTTTTATATCCTAGGATATACACAACGTGTTTAGTAAAAGCCCGAATAAAATTTAGAATTTCAGCATTTACTGAGTACAAACAGTAAAACCTAGTTTTACCTAGTGATCGGGTATTTACGGTAACATATAAATTTATTTTACCGATAGTTCTCACGTGTTTGAAACTTGATGTTTTCTAATTCAAACGAATGCTTCGCAACTATTTATTTTATAAATATTTTCAATTAGCAGCACGGTATGCAATAAACCACTGATATTTCGCATATGTCACCAACATTCATCGGTAAAGCACAAGACTGAAAATATATATTTTTATTTATTTATTTTTATTTTTTTGACTATATCATAAATGTAGTTTTTGAATTTAAAATTTGTTGTTTTTGATTTACAAAATATGCATCTTATGTTTTTTCAATACTATAAGCGCCACGTTAGAAAACGATTTCTTCGTTTTAACATCAGATCAAATCTGCTTGTAAACATAACCGATTTAAATATAGGTAAGAGTATAATAATTTTTCTAATTGTACTATTAAAATACGATTATACGATTATATATCATATGTTTCAAACTGGTTTGATAATAAACGTCATATTATATGCATAGGTATATTTTGTTTAATTATTTACGAGTATGTATAAATAATAATCACCGTAGCACTTTATTTTACGTTGCTTATCATCCCTAAGACTATGTCAAGAACATCAACATCATTTAATTATGAAAAAAATACGTATTGCTCCTTCATATTTTACAAAAGTTTGTTGTCTATTGTGAACTATATGGATTCAATAGCAACAATTGTGATCATAACAGTTCTTTTTTTATTTTTTTTATCAAGTCGAATAAACTGAAAATGTCTGTGGTTGTTATTACGCTTATTCAGTTTTAAATTAAAAATAAAAATTATTATTCTGGCCAACACAATTATAATTCATAAGACTAAGAATACGTTGATCTAAAATGTATTATAATATGATCCCTAAATCAGTAGTGTGTGAAGTTATCATTTACTATATATTTAATAAAGTCTTCAAATGGACAGTTGCAGTTCGCATGTAAGCTGGTTCAGATACAAAATATCAAAAATAATAATAATAATATAATATCAATTATATCATCATTGTACACAGGCAAATATGGGGCGCACAACGATATTATGTTTGGCAAGCATTCAATGTGATAAACCGATTTTAATTATTTTTAAAATTAACTTCGTGTAGTATAGCCATATGTCGTGCTCGACGTACTAGCTTTAGAAACAAAAATCAAGTGATTAATGGTGAAAATGATCATCGAACCAGACATAATTATTCAGGCTCCGTTGACCATGGTGTACGTAAGATAGCATGTCACGGTGATAAAAAAATAAAATGTTCTCCATCGAAAACAATATAACGATATAATGTTTTACAGGTGGATATATGAAAGGGGATGCGTCCCTGAGCAATAAACTAAAAGCCGAAGTTGTCGTTGACCCGCCGTCGATCGTCAAATGGATATCCGATCCGTGTACGTGGTACACGCAGTGGTTAAAGAGGGAAAAATGTTGTGAGGGGATTACATTCATAAAAAGTTGAGGAGCGTTTCTCTTCCTAATTTTAAATCTTACCAACCTTTTTTAGGAAACCCATAAGGTCTAAGCCTCTTCTGTTACACATATATGACCATAAACCTTTATTTTCATATGGTGTAAAAACAAATTTCCCCCCCAAAAAAAATAATTCTATACATACGCCTGCTTAAAAAAAAATAAATTGAAAAATACTATAAATAATAGTAGGTAATATTTAAAAACTTAACTTAAACTTAAAAAAACTAAAAATAAACAATTACTAAACTTGCTAGTTATTGGTCAACGTAGATAGTAATAAATACGTACATTGCATATAAGGTGTGTACTCTCTATTTTATAAGATAGTGTCTATTCTATCTGTATCTATATCTATCCGTAATTTAATATTTATACTATTTATAGTCATTCCATTCTGTTTACATTTATTCTAAATAATAGTCGATATCACTATCACTTTAATTTTAGAGCTATGGGTAATAATTGCTCAGGGATCATCTATAACTAAACACAGCGTTAATTAAATTAACCTATGGTGTACATTATTCACCATTTTTGCTTATCGTTATAACTAAATATTATTTCATCGACATTTTTTCCACTTATTCAAATAAATCAAGAAAATAAATTTCATGTAATATTGTAATATTATAATATAATAAGTATTGTATATTTAATATTATATTTTAGTAACCAATGCCATTAAGTGTCCACATGGACTTTTGGCGACTTAAATTAAAGAGGACGCATATACTTACCTTAAATAAGAAGGGGACTCCGTCCCCCTTCGTCCCCTCCCACTTTAACTACTGGGAACACGTTGATCTTTATCGGCGTCTATGGTGTAGACGCAGCTAAAATACGATTCGCCGACTTTAATAAAATCACCACTGTACGTCACCTAACCTGTACGTTGACTTTGATCCACCCAAATGTCCTGACGGAAATTAATTTCTATATCGGAGCGAACGTACCCGGTCGTGATGTCGGAACGGAAGAAATCACGTAAGAATATATCAACTGCTAGGCAATTGTCGATCTCGGTAAAACGCACGGTTTATTCGTATAACACTTTGCGTCAAATTTGTAGGTTTAAATAATTTAAAAGTTTTATACGACTTCACTGTAAAATATGTTTGGTGTCCGAACAAAAACGGTTGTATTTTTTTCGGCGATAAGACAGTTGAAATAGAATAATAATGATATTCATAGTTAATAATTATAAAAATGAACCGCAACGATATGTTCTAATGCACTTTGTACGTGCATGGATTAACTTAAGTCATCAAAGTTGAAATTAAATAAACAAAACAGTTTATTTACATAAAACCCGTTTTGAGAAATGTCTAGACAAAAATCTTGTTAATTTTATTTATATTTTCTAGATACGTTATATTCATCTAAACATATATTTGAATTTGTAATAAATACGTTTTTAGTGAAGTAAATACACTCGTGTTTCCATTTTATTGAAGAAACGTGCTTGTAAATTTAATATTGATTGATTAATTTTAAATTGGTTTGAAATTGTTGAAAAATAATTTTATAACAAGTTATAAAAAAAAAAATTAATAAAAATATTATGATGGATATAATATAATATCCTAATACTTAACTATTTTCCGTTAGTTAATACAATGAATGTATAACACGAATAAAATAAGCGGTATTTTATATTGATTTATATTTTTTCCAAAATTCAAAGTTAAACCGCGTATGCGAGATAGATCATCTAAATAGAATTTTATAAATGACCTATATTCCATAATAAATAAAAACAATTAATGACAATAGTGAGTTTTTTTTTTCTTACATTTATCTCAACACTAAAAATGCATATAAAGTAACTGTCTACCACCCCTACAAGGAACAAGAGATGATTCTTCAAAATCTTGTAACTTTTTAATAATGTGAGAAATTTCATAAGTGTTCCATAAGTATAATGTAATTCGAGGTATAATTGTAGTTTACTTTGTTAAAAATCACATCTGTATTTTATGAAAATGTTTTAAGTCTATTTACAAAAAGAAACAATAATAAGTACACCATGTATTGTGATAAAATTTCTTTTCTAACATTGAACATAATTATAATATGAATGTTTTTTTTTATATATTGTTACGTACATTTCAAATAAAATATAATCAATATATAAACAAATAAACAAATAATTTACATATAGAAATAAATAAATGCTTAGTGTTATATATTATTATCGTTATGATGTACGACTGGTGTCGAAATAAAAATGCATTATCAGGTATGAACAAAACCAATCAAATAGAAACTCAATATTGACTTGTTTATTTATTTATATTGTTATTTATGAGCATTAACCATTTAATAATTTTTATTTTATGAAATATATTCATTGAGCAAACATATCCGTAATCCGTTTTGGCACACAGGTTTGATTGACTGCTTTTGAAATGTAGCTAATGTTTTAATAAGACGATGCAATAAATAATGGCCAAGTATATTTAACATTAAAGTATCGAAGAAAACCAATACGAGTTCACAAACTAAAGGAACTTAATTACAATTTCGTGTGGTTAATTTGTAACCAATTAATTATGATATAACATATAATTAGTAAATTAATTTTGTTCCAATATTTTAGAAATATAGATGAATAATATAGTATTATTTAAAACGAAACAATATTTATGCATGATAAGATAGTGCACTTTTACTGATGTAAATATTTAATTATTTAATTTGATATTTGAGTTGTTTTTATGCTTAGTTTTGTCAGACAATGAATGCATGCGCTTGAAGTGCGGTGAAATCGACTTATTTCTCTTGTTTCACAACTTATATTTTTATACCAATTTCTATGTAAAAAGTGAAAAAAAATTTTTTTGTTCTTTAGGTACCTATTAAGGCTATCCATTATATTTCCATATAGGACCAAACTTCTCAAATTGCGTGGCACCCTTTAAACACTAATTTATCAAAGAAATTAAACATCAACTATTTACACTATGTAAATGGACAACAAACTTACTTACTTACAAACTACTTCTTAGATATTACATGTTGTACATAAATCGATCTGTGGCCAAATTTTTCACTATTAAAAAAATAAATGGAATATTATAATAAATTACACATCATGTAGTTTTAATTACATTCAATTGAATATCATTGTAATAGATGTTCATTAATTCAATGGTTTTGTATTATTATTTCTATTACATTTTGTTTTAAGTCATTGACTTCAAACTGCTTATTATTAATGATTATTGTCTTTCATAATAATTTCCTAAATCCTCAAAACGATTATTTGTTAACCACTATATCTTTCCAACAAGAAGAGTTTTTTTTTTAAATAAATTAATTTCGAATCTCATAATTATGCAACATTTACAATAGTACGTATTATAACGTACACCGACAAGTGATTTAATAAATTACCAATTTTTTTTATTTAATATTTTTTTACTCATAATTAATATTAATTTAATATTAAAATGCCCAAAATATTTTTTTTTTTTAATTGGAATTAATTTTTTTTTCAATATTGATAAAAACAATATAATCATTTCATTTTTATTTTGTCATGTATTCGTTAATATTTCTAATTATTCAATTATAGTTATTAAATAGTGAAATAATAATATTTATTGACATCTACGAGTAGTATTATAAAATATAATTTTACTCAGCTCAGTATCTGTAAAAAATTTACCATCCTAATATTTTACTTTCAAACAAATTATGAATATACCTTTATATAAATAACATATATGAATTATATTTTAGGAAACTATGTCATATTTTTATGTTACTTGATATTGTTTATTAAAAGCTCACAACTTTATTCTTATTGAATTTATTGCAAGAAAAATCGTGTAATTTGTATAATATTATTCTTATTGTAATTAAAAAATAATTGTCATAACGATGATAACAATATTTTTAAAGTGGGCAGTAAGCTGATAGTGGTGTCATTAAAATTAACTCCATTTATCAACCTTTGTGGTATTAGCAAGTATTATTTGTATTTTGTTTACTAGACTGCAGTTTTCGAGAGAAGGTTCTGCGTTTTAGAGTTATAGTCGATTTGTTGGCTTAGTCGAAAATCCCAAAATCAAATATAATCTATAAGCATTTTACCTCAAATATGAATTTGTGGCCAATCGTTTTAATTTTAGTAAGTATTTTACATTGTATTTAATCAATATTTTTTTACGAATTACCAGTTCGAATTAATTATTCACTTCATATGTATACAAAGATGTGTGTCGTGGTCGTCGTTTTTGGTGATATTTTTGATGGAGTTAGAGAAATTTTTCATAAGTATTTTAATATGGGAAAACTTGCCATTACACCACCAGGAATTGCGGAGGTAAAGAAAAAAATGTTAAACAATAATATTTAGTCATCAAATAAAAAGTGGTTACTAATCGAAAAATGTGTAGATTAAGTATCCAAGTGGTGCACGAGTGTATAGGGGAACTGAAGTGACTCTTGATCAAGTAATAAAACCGCCTGAAATCAAATGGTATATTTATAATAACAGTACTCGGTATACAATATGTTTGATCGGTAGGGAACTACATGGTTATATTTATAGAATAAAAGTTTAAAGAAATTATGTTATGTATGTTAGAGCCTAACAAAGATGATTGGGACAATTATATAATAACGGGATATCGACATTGGTTGGTAGGAAATATACCGGAAGATTATATTTCTAGAGGCGAAGTTCTTTCAGAATACGAATTGGGTACTTCGCCTGGAGAAGTGGCAGGTAACTTATATAATAATAAACATAATCGTATACGATAGATATTAAAATTAGTATAATTACAGGAGGAAACCATACTTACATATTTTTGCTGTACAAGCAAATGTGGCCTTTGAATTTTGATGGATCGCGCGTTGACAACAAGTAATAAACCTAAACATATTTTAATAATCAATAATTTAAAGAAAAAAATTTGCCTAGATAAAAATTATGGGAGCTGGTTTAATTTAAAATAGTATTGATAAATGTGTAGGTTATTGGTTTTCAATGAGGTTTCCAATTTTAATTGAGTGTTAAAGGGATGATGAGAGACGGAGATATCATATGTATTATATTTACATTAAAACCTAAAAACTGAAGAAAAATAAAAAAATTAACATCGTACCATGGCTTATTTGTAACTATAGTTAAAAATGGTGAACATTTATATCTATAATAAATTATACATGTGTTTCGTAATTATTATTCAATGAAAAATTTTTTGAATACACCATTTTTATTATATATAGCTGCATTGAAAAAACTATTGTTTCTGATTTTAATAATAACTTTAAAAAAGTTGAGAAATAATGGTCTAATTGAATGTAAGATAAATAATATTCTGTATATTTTTTGATACGTTTTGTTTGTCTATCTTTATCTGATTGGAGATTTAAATTATATGTCCAATAAGCTTAACGTTTTACAAAAAAAAAAAAAAAAAAATGTGTGTTTTATATTATTTAAAATAAAAATAAGTAATATATTATTCTATGTATAATTGATTAGTATTATCGCTTAATTTTAAATTAAACCTAAATATGTAAATGTCGCATATACATAGTGACTACACTAATTTAATGAACTGGATATCCAGATAGTGAAACTCGTCAACAGGAAACTGTATTATCTTGAATTGGAATGGTTAATATGTTTGTGTCATTGGTATTCAAGGAATAAAATCTAATTCACCTTTTGCAGATCCAGTTATGATTTCATGTGATGGAAATCTTCCAAAATATTTTTTTTTAAATTGGAATTAATTTTTTTTTTTCATTATTGATAAAAACAATATGATCATTTTATTTTTATTTTGTCATATAATCGTTAATATTTCTAATTATTAAATTATAGTTATTAAATAGTGAAATAATAATATTTATTGACATCTGCGAGTAGTATTGTATAATATAATTTTACTCAGGTCAGTATCTATGAAAAATTTACCATTCTAATATTTTACTTTCAAACAAATTATGAATATATTATTATATAAATACATTAATAATAACAATCATATACCTCAAGCACGAATTTAAAAAATAAAACAAAAAATAAGTTTCGAAACATTACGATACCATAATATCGTCTTAAATCATAATATTATCAATTATATCTTATTATATACATCGTGCTTCAAGCGTTGTCAACATTTATCAAACACTAGTTGTAAATGTTCACAATCACGAGTATATGGCCGCATAAAGGCTTTTTTGGCCACGTTCACCACAATTTTCGGTGTATGTTGATATACATTGGTAATTGTCAACATTCACCGAATGTGATCATACACTTTAACATATATATATATAACATGAAACATATTTTTTTTTTTTATATATGTGTATATATTAAAATATAACACTGATTATAATAATTCTTATATGTATAATATTTTTCAGGGATTTTGGTCCTCGTCAACATTTTAATTTAACAAATTTTGTCATTGAATATGCATTAGGTTATCCAATATATGGCAATAGTTTTTGGATCCAATATAAACAACATGATGATACAGCTGTATGAATATTTTGTGAAATTTTTTTTACGCACAAAAATATATTGCATTAATGTTACATGGACATAAGTACACAATCATGAATTGAGAAAAATTCTCGGGGCAATAATAAACTATAGAATCTCCACCACACTTAAAAAAAAAAAAAATTTGATAATCATTGGTATTCCAAAATCATACAACTATATAAAATTTTCGAGACTGTATACATTTGATTAGTATCACCGATATTATATAATGTATTATACATATATTTATAAATCACATATCTGAGTTATTGTTATTTTTATTTGAAAGTGTATTTCAAAAATAAAAAGTAATAAACAAATTATGTACTGTAATTAAAATATTTTATCCCCGATCCTTCAGAGGTTTCTTATTGACTCACGTACTTAAAAATTAAGATATTATTTTCCGGTAGAAAATATTCAATCGATTCCGCAGCCCTTAATGATCAAGTTTTTATTTTATCATCCGGGCCTATGTACCAGATTCGAATGTAAAAATATGAAAATACATGTAAAAAAATAATACATATGGTACTGAATTATTTTAGTAACATGAAACTTTTAAATTTTAATTAATCTCAGAACAAAACTTGCAATGACGTGCATCATTCAATTATGTACAAGTAGAATATTATAAATAAATTTTCCAGATGTGCATCATTCGAAGGGAATAACCAAATCTGTTCCCATTTTGAAAATGTAAAATTTACGTGAAATTAAATGGAGATTGTTTGTGTGAAGAAGTTTTAACACATAACAACAAAAGAAAATTCAATGGTACACTTATGCAACAAAAATTGACAAATTCGTTAAAAAGAACATGTGAAGAACTTTTTCACAGTGCGGCCATCCAAAATTAAACGGGAGTTGATGTGGCTCAATTTGATAAAATAACTTTTTCAAGCGGGAATACCAATTGGGCATGTGGGGTTGGGTGAATGTAAACTCCCATAAAATATTGTTAATTTTCCTAAACATTTTTTGCTACTCAATTACGCGTATATAAACTCTCCTAAAAATATTTTGCTACTGACTTAAACATATCTAAATACCCTGAAAACATATTGCCACACAATTTCATGCATGTAAATTCCCCAAAATTTAAAATTGAAACTGCCCAATAAAAAACTTCTTTTTACCGAAAATTTTATGTTCAACAAAATATTTTTACAAATCTTGGTCTTTATTGTAAATCATGAATAAATTTATCTCTGTACATCGAATATGTTTCTATATAACGAATAAACTGTTCAAAAATATACCGGCTTTTATAGAACATACTAATGCATTATGCCACTATAAAATATGAAATATTATTTTAAAACCCTAGAATTTGACAAGGTGAACCATATTATAAAGGTTCATAATACATTTAGGTATGCAAACGTACGCTAAAATACGACATAAATTATTATCAGCTAATAGAAAATTATAAACAACAAATAGTTACCAAGTTCCAATACATAAAATCAGTTTTACATTATTACTCATTCAATCATTAATATTACAAAATTAATAAGAAATTTTGACGATTATAATAAAAAATTATATGATAATATAGCTACAAATATACAAATAAAAATACTCATATCAGAAAAAACAATTTTTGAAGAACAATGGAACTACCTCTAAGTGGTGTTCTCTGGACAACGCCAAATTATTCTAATATTAAAATATAAATACCTAATATAATTTAATTAGCATAAATTCAGTAGCAAAAAGTTTTTAGGGGAATTTACTGTTGCACTTTTTAGAGGAATTTATAATTGTCATGGGGTTAGATTAGGTTAGGTTAAGTTAGATTTATAATAACCCATGGGGTCGAGACTCGGGAACCAATTCGATTGTATAACATATTATGAAACAATAAATCATGATGCATTCGACACGTTAGCAGACAAAACAATCAAAATAATAATGGCCTAACACAAATATGCACCATTGATATCTTATATAGGCAGAGACGCAAACTTGTTAGATTGTGGGAAGGGAGGGAGAAAATAAAAGAATTGAACATTCACTTATGATTAAAAAAATTAGTTGTTACACTCGTATTACAGGAATTTCTGGTGGAATAATTTGCGAGGTCTGGTGTTTTTTGTGTTAAATTTCAATAAATGTGGTCAGTAGGCTATTTGGTTGTCACTCCTCTCCAAAAAATATTTTTATATTAATTTTATTGAACACATTGAATTAAAATATGTTGTATAAAATTAATAAATCAATTTTTATATTTTATTTGACTTTTATTAAAAATTTTGATTAAATAATTTTGGTTTGACAAAGAGTCTTCACAATTTAATAAAAAGTTCTTAAAAAAAAAAAAAAAAAATGTATTATTATATTAATAACCACTCAGTGATTACAAAGTTTAAGCGGACATCCATGCTAGTAGCTCATAAAATCTCTATTGCTTCTAATCGAGTGCAGTCTTTAAGTCTTATTTTTCTAGAGGTTATACTCGGAATTAAATCATTACCCTGTTAAAGCATCTTAACGCTAATAATAAATTATAAGTTTTATTAAAAAATAGATGACACATCGTCTTACATTTAGTATTTTTTAAATCTTATTTCATGTCTGTATCTTATTAAATACAAGTATAAATAATTTATAACTTTGTAATACGTGTGTACATTTTCGACTGCAAAACCATCCATAAAGTCGAATACGTGAAATAGAACAAAAGTGAATCTTGTTGGCCTCTATAATTCACATAATTCATGAATACTCAAGTTTCATTTAATATTCTTATGAAAGAATGATTATTACTTCAATTTAAGATCAATATTCTTAAATTTTTAATTTTTTGCAATTTGTGTTAATAATTTGCTCATTTGTTTTTTTATCAAGTTCAATTCTCATTTTTCCTACATTTATGCAATTTCTAAAAATAAACTATCCGCAGTGTTGGGACTTATCTAGATAGATATTTTGTCATCTTTTATCTTATCTAGATAAATAATGCTAAGTTATCTAATTACTTATCTAAGATAACATTTTTACTTATCTAGATAATTGTCTTTATTCTTGCCAAAATCCAAAAAATCAGAGATCATAAAAATCGGTCTAGCCGTTCTTAAATTATAAATTCTGTAACCAACCCAACTTTCTTTTATATATATAAATTGTATATTACTAATCATAATTCGTGTAGTATTAATAAGTAATTATTATTTCTTGGTATGACATTTTGTTTGTACTTTCATCTCAGGAAAATATTTTTGGTACTTTTAAACTTAATTTTTTATTTTTTCATGAAAGTTCTAACTATAGTAAGTATTTGATTTTAGTAAACACATGTAACTCATACGCTGAATAGTCAATACTTCACTCTTGGAACCCGTTAAGTCGTAACTACTTAGAGAATAATGAAAATCATTAAATTAAGATTATATGGAAAACAATATTGTTAACTTAAAATAATTTCTTTTGTATTCTGTATTCATTCTGATACGTACAGAGCAATTTTTTTTTTTTTTGTAAGATTTTAGTGATTAACAGGGTTCATATGTTCATGTATTTACATATAAATCTTGCAAAGTTATATTTAATGCTAGATGAAATAGAAATTAATTTCAAGGTACCACGGTTAAATATGTGAAATCTTATTTTGCATGTTTTGCATATTTGGCATGTTTCTTTATATTTAGCATATTTATGAATATTTATATTTTATCGGGTATATTATACAACATTCTATTAAAATGTATCAAATATGGAAAATATATATAAAATTAAAAATAGAAATTGTATTATCTTTTATTTTCTTATCTTCTTGTTACTCGTACATTTAATGAATAAATTTGTTTCAAAAGTTTCAAATTTAAAATGAATTATTGACAAAGACGTACATCATACGTAATTCATGAAGGCTCAAGAATAGTATTAAGTAGTATTTAAAATGTTCTTTTTTTTTTTTTAATTGTGACATAAAAAAATAAAATATAGCTATAAAAAAATGAATGGATAATTTATGTTGTTTCAAAAATTATTTATGATATTTTAGGTAAGCATTTTTTAGGTGCATATTTTTAGTTATTTAGTGCATATAAATGCATATTTTTTAACTTTTTAAGGCATATTTCAAAGCATATTTTGCCAATTTTAAGTGAATAAATGCATGCTTATTTAGGCATTTTTTAGGGCATGAACTTACGAACCCTGGCGATTAATTATCATTAAATATTGTACATTATATATAAACACTGCTTGATGGTACACAACATGGTACACTACAATAAACATTAAACACCTAAGCACCTATTGATAATAATGATTATAATTGAGTCTTCATAGATTACAAATATGAAATAATGACCAAAAAATAAAATTTTTTGAAAATATCTTTTTTTTGTATCTAGATGAAAATGAAATTATCTTTTATCTTTATCTAGATACTTTAATTTTTTTATCTATTATTTTTATCTAGATGAATTTGGACATATTATCTTTCATCTTTATCTAGATAAATTTTGCATTATCTATTCCTAACACTGCCTATCCGTCATATAATTTGTATTATTCGTTACGTAATAAATGTTATCGAAACCCTTTGTATTTCATGATGTTTTACATTTTAACTATTCACTTATATTATAATGAAAATAATTTAACGATATTCGTCCAATGAGAATATTAATAAACATATGTATATGCAAATGGAAAGTTTATACCAATTTAATTGTAATTCGTTGCAATTTTCTATTGATATATTTAATTTCATATTGTCTAGTTGATTTATTTAATTGACAATTACATAGAGCTCATTTCAATGGCTATTAAAAATAATTGTTATAAAGATAGTAAAAATATTTAGAAAATTGGAATTGATTTAACTTGGTATAATCTCCTGGCATAATAGCCAGTGATAGTTACTCTATACTTTAGTTTCCTGGTGAACGTGCAAAGTTTTACAGTTGTAGTTTGATCGTCATACATTTCGAGCATCACAAAGTTAACTGTAATATACCCAAGAAATGTGGCAAATAGCATTATGTTTAGTAAGAATTCAATTTTGTTGAACCGTTAATGATTACATGACACAAGTTTATTTCAAAACCTAGTAATTTACATTACGTATAAATATATATATATGTATATTTGTATGTACGATATAAATATAGATATGCTTCACGTTTGGTGCATTTGCTGAGGACCGAGAGATGATACTTAATTTTATGCAGTATGGAATTCAACCAGAAATAATTCCCTTCTGCCCCCTCGATAGATTAAAAGTGAGACAAATGACCATACCAATATTATAATCTGTCTTTGACTAACAACATTATCAAAACGTTTTAGGTTGTATTCGCGGATAGATCACAAGCGCATGGAGGCAATGATCTCTCTTATAATAATATTTCATACGTACCAGATATCAATTATAACGCACTTACGGAACGTCTATATACATTGGTTTACATCGGTGACTACAATTTTTTATTTATTGTACATAATATATATAGTATTTTTTTTTTTTTTAATGAGATTTCAATAGAATGACGTGTAATGTTACAGATGCCGGTGTCACGCAACGGATAGTTCATAACTCGAGTCAATTTATACAATGGGTAGTGGTAAACATACCAGAAAACGATGTTGGATTAGGGGAAACTGTACTTCCTTTTGTGGAATCTCCACCTAAGAACATAACAAGTAATATAGTCTTTAAATAAACATACACGTTAACCATAAAAACCTATATAGTTAAAGGTTACCAAGCAATGAGTCGTTATGTGATTTTGGCGTACTTGCAATTCTATTATTTAGAAAAAGATCAAATTAAAGAGTTTAAAAGGTAATACATGCACGTTATATTCTAACATATAATGGTAGCGGTAAGGGTTGATAAATGCAATTATCTAGATAAGAATAAGATACCATTAACAATTAAAAAAAAACATTAGAATTTAAATGCGTTGAGAAACAGATTATTTTTTGGTTAATATTTTTTTATAGGGATATTGATACATTTATAATGTTCACTAATTATTCTCGGATATACATCTATTTAAAATAATTACTTCAAAATATATTTCAAATTTTTTTTTTTTTTTTTACGCATATTATTTAACTGCCTAATATTTTAGATTCACTTAATTTTTTTTTTTTTTGTTATTTACATAATATTTGACCAATAATCTTTTCCGATTATTACCAAATAAAAATTTAAACACAAGGTGGTAACCTACATTTTTAAGATAATTCTTCTACAAAATCAACCATATTTACTCGTATATTTAAAAACTGATTCACCCGACATTTTTCTCTGGGAATAATTAATTTGAAAACAATAATACACTTCGAATTAAAAAGACCAATACAACAGTACCTATTATGTTCACCCATCACTGTATCTCACCTGACTGTAAAGTCTCACATTATTATTATTTTTTTTTTTTTTTTTTTACTAACAATTATATTATTTTATCCATAATTAAAGTGCACAATTATTATTTGTGATAAGTAAAAAAAAAACTATATCGATAGTATACGAATTATGGTATTCTTGATATGTATAAATTAAACTATATATTATCAACGAAGGAAGTATTCAAAAAGTACATTTTTTATTCAAGCAGCCATATAATTAAACATTTGTGTGAGCATGAGTTATCCTAGAAACAAAAAATAATGATTAGAAACTATCAATAATCAAAAAGTAGGAGGTATTATTTCTGTTGGAAATCAAAAATATCACAATACATGTAACGTAGTTTATTAATAACTGACAATCTAGAAAAAATACGTTATAATTATTTAAAAAAATTAAAAACTAATTTTTCAACTCCAACATAAAATTAGATATTATACATAAATTTACATAAATTCAATTGATATCAAAATGGATAAAAGTGTAAAATAATATTTGTACTTAATTCATGAAAATTGTTACATACTATCAAGATAAATTATTTACTTTTCAGACAGGATTAAATGACATAATTAGGTATTAAAAAAAAAAAAAGTTATAATTGTATTTGCTACAATAAATAAATTATTCATAATATAATATATTATATAGTATTATTTTTCTAGTTATATCCAAGATCGATCCGGTTTTTCAATAGCAGATATATTATTTGAATACAATATGACCATACCTCAATTTGGTAATTTCTTTTTGGCCAAACCCAGAGATTCACACAAAAAAAAAAAGGTATATTATACATCTATGTGTATTGTATTTATTGTCTTATCAATATATTATATACATTTTATATAGACAGTAATCCATAAATATTCATGGAATGATATGAAACAGAAAAATAAATCTTGGAAACATAGATCAGTAAAGTCAGGTTCTATAAAGCTAAATTCAGAAGGGCGAAATTCCTCGGAATCAAATTCTGCTGAGTCAAAATCAGAAGGACAAAGTTCTTCGAAGTCAAGTTCTGCCGAATCAAATTTAGAAGGGATAGATTCTTCAATGTTAAATTCCTCAGAGCAAGTCAAAGGAGAACTAACTTATGATGAGCCAAATGAATGTGATTCAAGATATTAATCCTGAAATTTTAGACATCTATGATCTATTCATGAACATTTTTAAGAAGAAAATACATTATAAAAAATAAATTCTCTTCCAATATCATACAGTTTTTTATTTTTATATGTAACAAATATTTCACTAATTATTAGATCCGTAAATTTATGGTATATTAGACTTATTTATACATTGTTAAACCAAATCTATCTGTTAATATTTTTATTTTAAGATCTGTATACAATAAAAATATCACTGAAGTAGGTAAATTATACGTCCAAAAACTGTATTGAAAATTTTAAAATGCTTAGCTTGTATCCTTCTTAGATATTTTCACTGATATTTATTTAAAATTATATATGTTTTCAGCAGATTTATAGTTTACTAGAAAATTAATTTATCTTAAAGTCTTATGATAAAAATATTCAAAATATTTACATAATTTCAATCAAAAAAATCTTAAATTAATTTTTTCTTTTGATAATATATTATAACAAGTTGGTGCATTCAAAAATTCATTTTTTGAATGAAAGAAAAGTTTTTGAGAAAAGTGAATGATAATTTTAAAAAAAATTACTACAAAATAATTAACAGAAGATATTTGATATGTTATAATTTTCAAAAGACTATACATTTTCTAGTAAATGTATAGGTGTTTCAACCTTTTATGTTTTTTAGATTTTTTCGTAAAATGTTGGTAAAATTATTTTTGTTTAATAAATCGTAAAATTGAATTTTGTTAATGATATGATGAATGAATATCTATATTATTATTACTTTTAATAAGCATTCGATTTTAAATATTTACCCAAGAAGATTCACAAAAATCTGGAACATATTCTCAGTCAAAAGTTCAATAATATTTATAGACATTTAAATTCCCATACGAAGTACTTGAAAATTATATACAAAATTCTACAAAATTTTAATTTTTAGTCAACAAATAAAGTTTTCAGGAAAAAAATGTGTAACCGTCAAAAATATCAATTTTGATAAAATCGAACAATTCAATGAAATGCCAGAAGTAATTGAATATTTTAATATATTTCTAATTATATTTACTATATACGATAACGATAATTGGTATTATATTGTGTATCTATTTTAACCTGTACCACAATTAAATAAATAATACATTATACAGTAAAAACTCGATCAATCTTCACTGTCGGGATAGTCATGATATGACAATTCATATGATAGGCAGTTAATAGAAATGTTGCAGTAAACGTATATATTTAAGCAACGTGTGTATTTTTAGAAAAAATAACACACCACATATTTACTACATATAAACACTACTAAACTGAAACTAAAAATTTTAAATAAAATAATCTGTTATTTTATTTTATTTTTCTTGAGACTGGAACTTTTTTTTGCTGCAATATTTCGTATTTTACGTATCCGTAAGACCTGGCTACAGGTTTACAGAATACACAATTTATTAAACTACAGGTATATTATTATACTTATAATGTATGAAATAAAATTTGAAATTAATCTTATTTTCACATAGATATCTGATAAAGTAAATGTTTAAAAAAAATTTCAAGATCTTATTGATGCAAATACTTTATAAATCAAAAAAAATATTATCAAAACATTCTTGTCAGATATATATATATATATATTATGGAAAGTTAAGATTGATATGTCCATCTTGATCGATCCATCAAATTTACATCGAACTATTTATAAATAAAACTTTGTTTTCACGATTACTTATTTATTCTATATCCATAGAATAGTTGTTGGTTAAATGATAACATCAAATGGAAATTTTTTAAGGTCTAACATTTATTTGATCTATTGCCCTATCTAAACCCTAGTAAATCTGTTAACAGTAATGACCGTAATAAAAACATTTCCGAAATTACATATAATATAGTTAAAAAATGCGCAAACAAATGGTTTGAAACACAGTAGAGATTCGAAAATCCGACATTGCATTTGTTTGGAACTCTCAGTATGCTGGCACGTTTCTTACACATCCGGTCATATGTTATTATTGGTAGTGGCGGAACCAGAATTTTCATTGGGAGGGATTGTTGAAAAATGTTTTCCCATGAGATATTTTTTATAACAATACAGTCAGTGATTGATAATGAGTTAAGATAATAGTAAGCAATATAATACATTCATTTAAATTGAAGACTATTATTTTCTTGTATGAATAAAAATACAAATTATATACATTCCCTCATACTTAAAAAAAAAAAAATCTTCTTCGTAATTCATAAAATTATTGATTTTTAATATATATTTTTCTTGATTTTTTTAGAGGGAGATTCACCCTCCAATACCTTTCCGTGGATCGGCCACTGATTATTGGTTTATCACTTTGATAATCGTGGTAAACAAGTAATATATTGCGTTTAAAATATAAAACAGTCAATACTATTAGATATTACTTAATTTAATTTTGATGTATAATTTTCTAATTTTGATTCATATTCATTAATGGTCAATCTTTAATAAAGTATTTTTCTAAAACAATAATCATTAAAATACTCAATAACTACATAATAATACTCATATATTATTACATTTTCAATCATCATCGTTTAATTGTCATGTTACAGTTTTAGAATGACTATTTCGTACAGGCGTTTGTGATAATTAAATTTTAAATACTTTATTGTGTTGAAAAAATACATATGAGTACAATTATTTATGAGCATACCACACTTCTTTATTATGTCGTAATTTTTTTTTTTTTTGTATTTTTATAGATAAAGCAAACATTAATTATTAATTAAAAATATATAATTAAATTAAATGTGCTGCGACTTTTAAATTGTTTTGCTTTATTTTCTATTATCGAATGAAATAATTGAACAATCAATCTATATTATATTTAATATTATTGGTATTAAAAATAATTATTATAATGAAAGAAAAAAAAATTATGAAAACCAAAACATCCACTGTCAACTGATTTGGTATGCAGCATAACTTGTGCATTATTTTTATTATTTTAAATCTCATGGTGAATAATTTGCGTTCTACAGTCATTTAACTGTCCGTTTTTCGTGATTTAGAAAATTCAAGACCAATAATAAACAAGACAATATATATATATATAGTGTTGTATACTGACAAATATGTGGCACGTAGCATTATGTTTAGTAAGAATAACATTTTATTGAGTCATTCATTTTTATATTATACAAGTGTTCATAATTATTCACACTCCCAATATAGATTTGCGTTGCACTTTGCACATTTTCTACGGAATTACCGGTGGATTTAGCAATGTGGAAGGCTAATATCATTCCTAATATTATTCCTTTTGCTCCTCTTGCTAGATTAAGAGTAAGACAAGAAATTATAACAACTATTTTAATTGGTTTTAAATTAAAAACAGAGTTAACATTATAACCCTTTAAGGCTAGATTTCCAAGCGGAAAAAAAGTAAATAATGGGAACTACATTTCTGCACACGATGCTCAGGGCGTACCTGATGTCACTTGGGATGGAAGTTCATCATCGTTCTATACATTGGCATTGATTAGTATATTTGAATTTCCACAAAACTTTTTTGTTATTTTCTAATACGGTATTAATAATTATTTATATTATGTTATGTAACAGATGCGGGTGAATTTCAACAGGAGAATGACGGCATATTACCATTTCGAAAATGGTTTGTTATAAATATACCTGGTGATGATGTTTCAAAGGGAACAATTATAAACCCATTCGTGGAAAGTACTACAGACGAATATACAGGTAGCATTGATTATAATTGAATAGCTAACTGCAGAAACGGGACAAGTCCACTTTTCCCAATTTTTCAGGAATGATGAAAAACTGAACATGATATGTTCCCTTTCTGCAGTTAAGTGAAATTTCCAAATGCTATATTTAGCGTTTGGCTAGTCGGATTTGACTCCTTTCTACAGTAAACGATGTATTCTTGCGTACTTAACAAAAAATGATAATAAATTCAAATTTGATAAAAATGGACTTGTCCCGTTTCTGCAGTTAGCGATTCAATTAGAATGCGGATTTCTATGCAATCACATATTTTTTTTCTCTCAATATTTTTGATTTTTTGTCAGTTATCTCCACGAATCATATCATAATTTGAAGCTAATGGTGAAATTTTTTTTTGCATATTTCTGCATATTTAGAGGTTATTGCATATTTTTGCATATTTGGGCAAAATTCAAAATTTATTGCATATTGAAGTGAATATTTAAAAAGAAATGTATAAAATAATATTTTGTCAAGTAGAAAAGTTAAAAATAAATTTTATAGTCACTAAATAATAATTTATATATATATATATATATTTAGTTATAAAATAAACAATCGCTTACGACATAAACTTAATTGCTCTTTCTGTGTTAGTCGATTATCGACATACCACTTTCTTCAAATATGCCCCAATAACTTCGATTGACATTGAGGGTTCGTTTTCAGTCTTTAAAAATATGTTAACCGATAAACGACACAGCTTCACAGAAGATAAACTTGAAATGCATATGATTATTTATTTTAATAATAAATAAAATTTTAAAAATAAATTAAATTCAGAAAATTCCCTAAATTTTTTTGTATTAAGTATTTAAGAAATTAATTTTTATAAGTTGAATTATAAATTTTAAATAAATAAAAAGTTCTTGCATATTTTTTGCATATTTTCATGATTTTTACTGCATATTATATGGCATATTTCGATACTTTTAAGAGCATACAAATCCGCGCTCTAATTATAATATATAATGAAGATAATATAGTATAGGTAATAATATAGGTACTCTTCTTTATACGTATTAACAAATGGATCATATAAATTACTACACTTAAAGGTAAATGGACATTTCATCGTTACGTGTTTTTGGTGTACTTCCAACCCAGACCAATCGATATTGAAGATCAACTCCAATATTTGAAGTAAAAAGCGTATAATGTATTACAACACAAAATTATTTTTACGAGAAAAAGAGATACTTTAAAATTTAATACACATATTAATAATTAATGTTCCAAATATATGAAAATATATAGATAACATTTTCTTTATCAATTTTTGTCTGGGTATCCATAAATTTGTATTATAAATTAAATGTACTCGTAGTGACATTAAAATAGTGAATTCAAAATATAGTTAAAAATTATTAATTCTTCATGCATGTAGATAAGTTTTATGATGTTTTTATTTAAAATTTTATAAAAATATAAACTTTTTCGTTTTTAAATTATTTTTAGTATGAATTAGATTTCGATTTTACAAATATTAAATAATATTAAAAATTCATTAATATATGTTAGATACATTTTATCTAATATTAATTTAATTCAATTTTTTCTAGATGTGTTAAAAGTTGTTACTTAATCTGTAATAAACTTTGAATCGAGTAATTTTATTTTAAATCAACAAACGTAGAGGAACCAATATAACTAATTTTTTTTTCGAAATTTTAAAATTAAACACGTTCACTAATATAATACATCTTTTATGACTTTCAATGACTATACTAACTAACAATTTCTTTGATTTTAATCCTAGTGAACTAATAAAATATTAAATTATTAATAAGCTCTATACTTAGAAAATAAATAGCTAATTAAACACAATTTAATAAATCTATATTGAGTAGCATTCAGTGTATAAAATATAAGTAAAAATAATCGATAGTTAAAGTTCTAATATTATTTGTATTTATTTTATTTTCACTATAATATAGTGACATTCTTGCTTGACATTATTTTATAATGTTACGCAAGATCAAGATGGCTACTCATTTTTCTCGTATATAATTTATATGACTTATAAATATTTTGTTTAGAAAACACAAAATGTACAAACAATTTTTTTTAAATAAATCAAGCACTAAAGCATACACTTTTTATTAGTGACCTTGGTGATCGTTTTGGATTTTCAATAGCAGATTTTTTTTTCCGCTATAATTTGACCCGACCTTCATATGGTAACTTTTATATAACCGAATCTATGGATATATTCGATTTGACTAAGGTATTATCATTTATTTGTCTTTTTTATTTTTTTATTAATACATAAAATTATATTTACACAGTATTACACCAAAAAGCAAATATGGGAGCATTATTCTCCGAAGGATCAGCCTAAGGAGACTAATTCTCAAGAGCCAAATTCTCAAGAGTTAAATTCTCAAGAGCTAAATTCTCAAGAGCCAAATTCTCAAGAATCAAATTCTCAAGAACCAAATTCTCAAGAGCCAAATTCTCAAGAGCCAAATTCTCAAGAATCAAATTCTCAAGAGCCAAATTCTCAAGAGCCAAATTCTCAAGAGCCAAGTACTCAAGATCCAAATTATCAAGAGAAATATAGTTATGAGTTAAGTAGTTCTATGGAGTTTCAATATTAATACTTGTTTTTTTTATCTTTCCGCTAATGTTCAAACTGTAAGAGCAGAACTGCAGTTATAGAAACGAAATTTCACGTGTTTATAATTCACTTAAAACTCAATTAAAAGTTTTAAATTTATGCGCAAATGAGATATGTCCTAATGTGGTGTATACATTATTACAAATATTAGAGCTTATTGTTACAGCTGAACCAGAAAGGATTTTTTATGCTTAAAACTCTTGAAAACATATTTAAAAAATACAATGATTGAGGAAAACATTTAACTATAACTAGAAATATTATTTAATTATCAGTTCAAATCATATATCTTGTTTTTTTAAAGTTTTATTAATGGCTTGATCACAATGGTTGTTCATCATGGATTTATTTATATTATCCTATAGTATTAGATGAGCTGGCAAAAAAAAAAAAAAAAAAAAAAAAATGAAAAATACATTTAACAATTGAATTACAAATTTCAGTTTTATTAATATTGAATACTTTTGTTTATACATACTTTTACAATTTCTACCACTAAATTAATGAAATTTAATAAATATAGTGAAAATATATAAATATATTTATCTAAATATAGATATTATATCGTTCTTATATCTTTAAATAATGACTTATTTTTTAAATGATCAAAGTTCATGTTGAAAAGCCAGCATCGAACACCTCCATATGAAAAAAGTATTTAGCCGCCATTGTATATCATTGGAAAATCAGATTCAAGGGCCCTGTTGTCAGTGTTGGGCACGGCTAACTTAAAATGTATAAGAAATATATTATAGATAAATAAAATCAGTAAAAATGTATATAAGATATAGATAAATGACATCAAAAATTAGAATTATTTAGTAAAAGATAAAAGAATATATATCTGAATAAAAAAAATAAAAAAATATTAGAACTGTTTTACTTTATTTTTATTAACTATATAAATAAATGTATATATATATATATATATATATATATACAGTACCGTACTTAGAAATTGAAAATTAACTAGATATAGATAAATAAAATTATTTTATCCAGGTAACTATAAAAAACATAAGTTACCTCACATTGTAAATGTATTAAATAATTGAAAATTAAAATAAATTTGTATTTTTACCATGATGTTGAATATTTTAGGCTTGGGTAAATTAATATATATATATGTGTATCGGTATTTATTACAAAATATAAAACATAGATAATATAAGTAAGGTAGACGAGTTATTAAAGTTACTAAGTAAATATTGTTATAAATAAATTATAGTTTTTAATGGGTTAAATAATTATTTAATGTAAGAAATTCCTCTAATATAAGTTAACAAATATCTAGTCGATGGTTTTTGTCCATTGATCGTTTTAAGTCAATACTGACATTGGGCTATCATATGTTTCCATCATCTTTTACAATTTTGAAAAACTTTCTACCTAATAGGTATACATCCTTTTGTTTATCTGTCCTGGTAATTCAGAACGATTTTACTTGTCGCTTTCGCATAACTTTTATTTTTTATTTTTAAATTGAAATATACATTTTTTCATATTTTAGTAGTAAACTAAAACAAACCGATACGTTATAACTTTGTATAATGATTAATAAATAATCATTGCAAATTGACAGCAGATAAAGGAAGTGGAACGACGTATATCGTTTGGTGTAGGTGGTTAATTGAAAGAAGACGAGAATAATGTGTTCTATATTGTTATATTTCTGTGAATATTATTTTTTGTTACCATAAATACTTGAATATGGACGAATAAATTTCTAAAATAAACAATATTTGAAATATATTTACCAATATATAATTGAACCGGGAGTTTGAGTAAACCATTTCTATACGTAATATAAAAATAGTATTTATGGCAGTAGGATGAATTAGATTAAAATTATTTTCTGTCTTATAACAACTTACCTATTGATTAATATAGATTGGACTATGATGATTATTAATTATTTTATTATTACGAGTGTAAAAAGTATCATTAAATATGCATTTATCTAAATAAATTATTTTATTTATCTAAGATAATACAACAGATAATTATTTCTTCGACTATCAAGATAAAATGAAAACTGATTAATTATTTATCTAGCTAAATGTATCTAAATAATGTCCTACACTGCTTGTTGTCGATAAAATCCTTAAGCGCCATCTATAAATAATGGTACTTGTACTAAGGAATTTCTAAAATAATTTTTTAATTAAACTCAGAAAATGATAACTATTCAAAATATCAACGTAAATGGTGGAAAACTTTTGGACTCAGAATATCTGATCACCACAGGATATTCTGACTCATCAATGCAATTTGATGGTACCATATAATAATGTAAGATTATCCATAAATTTGAGTTCCACATAAATATAGAAATAACTTTGTAGTTTAGTAAAATCTATCTAATTTAAATTCGCAGATATATCAATAAAATATCTGGCAAACAGGAACGAGCAATATTTTCGATAGAACAATGTGATGCAATATAAACTTTTTAAATTGTAGCATACGAAGAACTAATATTTATGTTACCGGAAAGGATGATCATTTTATAATTATATAATATATAAATATCATGTTGATCAATTTTTTTTTTTTTTTACCATCATTAATTTAATAGATACATATTGATGCATTAATTAACGAATGACATTTAAATGCCATAATTGGAAGGTAACTATAAAAAATAACGAAACAAACAATATTAAATTTATAATTTTGGTTTCAAAGGCCCTTTGAGTTCCCCAATATATAAGCTTGAGGCCTCGCTGCAATGCACATCAGCACTTCCTCTAAATATGGTACTGCACGCATAACCCAGTTTATAAATAGGATGTATCAGATCTTATATCAAGTGATAAATACTTCAAATTTAAAATTCAAGAGTTACAAATTAGTATTAACCATATTCTGAAATATTGAAATTAGATCCTGTAAATATTAAAAATTGTTATCATATATTTGTATTTAAATCTTATTATTACTTTCAACTGAAATTATAGCTATTAATTTTTTTAAGTTGTTATTTTCATATAGTTTGCATTTATTTTAACTTTTGCAAAAAATTTACCTTGACTTATAAGAAGCATTTTATCTTGCTGAAGCCACAGTTTCTATTATTTAAAAATTATGTGAAAACATAACTAAATAAATTCAAAAATGATTTAAAGAAGCTAAGATAAAGATAACATATTGCTCTTGATTAGCTAAGAGACCTTCAAATGTAATTTATAAAAATACCTTTAATTTATAAAATTAAAATTTTATTTTATTCTCTAATTTATAAGCTAAATTTAAAAAATATTTTGTAATATAAAATTTTTACATTATTTGTTTATATTTTGTAAAATATTTTGATAATGATTCCTACTTAGAAAATAAAAAAAATTTCATCTTCCCTGCCATTCAAAATTCCTGAAAAATTCTTTGCGCCTGATTACATAATATCCAACCTCTCAGAATTAAAATACCATTTCACCAACGTTCACAAAATTAAACTATTTTCGGATAATGTACCTTTGCAACTTTTTTTTATCAATTTAAAAAATTTGGATATGTATATGGTTGAATTTCTTCTGAACACAAAAATAGTAAATAAAAAAACACAATCGCCCAAAAATCCACCACAGTTTCAAATAAGTCTTGCCTGAAAATACTGCCTCCAAACTTTACAGTATATGTGGGGAAGACCTCAGCTCAGATTCCTGCACCGAATCAATTATTAAGCTCGATCCTTTCATTCCTGCTTCTTTAACCAAAAAATAATTTATCTTAATCGACTTTTAATATCACCTCTATCAATCCCTTTTATGCTTGTGATAATTGTTATTGTCAAAATCATACTCAGTTTTACTCTAATATTGAAAAATTATTAATATACTAAAAAACTTATTTTATCTAAGAATTTACAATATTATAAATTCCTCCTTTCTCATCTTACTGTATTCTTAAATAAAAGCCAATTATAATTATTTCTTCAAACAATAATTACGTTAGATCATATTATTATTCTGTTATTATTTTTTCTGTATTATTGGTATCTATTGTATTTTTAATTTTCAAACTGTTTTTATGTAATACACATTGCCGTTGTTATTATGACTATCATTTTTTTTTCTTTTCTCTAATTATGTACCTTATCGAAATTATCTTATTTAATTGAATAATTTTATACTCTTCGTGATTGTTGAGTTTTAATAATATCTGCTAATAGCTAATAAAAAGAATGAAAAAAAAAATTAATTAAAATAATTATAATTGGCTATATAGTATTACACAGTGTACATAAATAAATGTGATATAAATATTGTACATTAAGTCTTTTAAAATAAGCTTATTTCCTTTCAAATATCTATAAAAAAGTTTTTTCAAAGAAAAACTTTTCATTTAATGCTTTCTAATGAATGTTTTTATTTTTCATTCAACCTGGTCTTGAAATATTGTTGATGTACGCATGAAAATAAAAATAAAAATTAACGTCAAAAGTGAAACTTACTACTTAATTTGAATTGGTTGGTCTTAAATAATTATATATATTAGCATGTGATTTTTATTATATTCACTGGATATGATGTTTTCCTATCATTTAATATTTCATAAGATCCTAAATCAAATTGTTATGTATAAAAATTATTCACAAATATTAAATATGGATATATCACACAACATTCTAATGTTATAATATTCTTTTGCTGATGTTACAAAAATGTATTGTTATTTAAATATATATATATATATTTATAATTCATTTTGATTTGCTTTATGCTTAGCGTGTTTTATTTTTTCTTATCTAGTTGAAAAATTAATTAATCAATTACAACATTGTACTTAATGTGATATATTTTAAAAATAATTATTTTGATGATAGCAAAAATATTTAGAAAACCAAAACATTCATTGATATCTCAGTCTTATGACCATCAACCAGTATTCTTTACAATGTTTTTTTTTCTTTTCGCGGGTCTTCTAGTGAACGCTTTGTGTTATACGGTTGCAATCTAATTGTCAGCTAATTCAGGCAAGTTGGTCAAATTAATAACTATAGAAGAACTTTATATACCCGTAGATATGTGGCGTGTAGTAATTTATTTTGTAAGAATTTTGAACTATTATTTTTTATATCACATGTGTTCGGTTAAAACTAATTGTTCACTTTTTGGATATAGATATGCACCGCACTAGGTTCTTATGCTAACGAAGAGGTTTTTTTGTCATTGTTGCAACATGGAATCATTCCTGACGTAATTCCCTTCCCCCCTATTGAGCCAGTATTGGTATGTCAGTTAAGCATACCGTGTATAATCGGTCTTCAGCTTAAAGTGGTGTTATAAAAAAACGTTAATCAAAACGTTATAGGTTCGTTATGCAAGTGGAGCGGAGGCGAAGTATGGTAATGTAATCGATGTGGAAGACCTTGTGAAGCCACCAGATGTTAGTTGGAATTTGGGTTCAAATAACTTCTATACATTTGGTTTAATTGGTATATATGCGTTTTTATATAATGTATATACGTTGTTTATTTATTTATTTATTTATTTTTTTATTCTGTTTTAATATTATAACACTTACTAATGTTAAAGATGCCGGTATAACGTCACGTATCGATTGCCATACAACAACGTTTCTACAATGGTTAGTGATAAACATCCCAGAGTCTGATATTGCAAAAGGATACACCATGGCTCCATTTGTAAGATCTCTGCCTAAGAAGAAAGTTTTTGGTATAATGAATATTCGTATTTGTATACATCTGTATACGTCTAACAAAAAACTATTTTCATTTAAGGTCAATCGGTATATTATCGTTACGTGTATCTTGTGTACCAACAAATGGATAAAATCGAAGGCTATGAAATTTTGAAATTTAAAAGGTAATAAATACACGTTATATTTTTCAAATTCACAGTAGTTGCATTGAGAATATAATGCCTTTAAAAATTATTCTTAGTAAATTTAATATTAATCAAACATAGGTAGTACCAGTAAGTATTTCAATACTTCTTAGAGTACCTATCGTTCTCTGAATTTCAATGTATTTATATATCTGACTGAACATACTAACGTTTTACTCAAGTAGTACGTTTAAATCAGAAAATTTTTATTTTTTGGTAAATTCTAAAAACACAAGGAAATCAAGTTCATAAACATTAAAGGTCTTAACTATCGATATTACTTAGATTCAATAGCCTTCAAATCAATCAATAACTAGACAAACTAGTTCAAATGTGTCATCGATAATTTTTTGAACTTCATATAATAATACATACGATGATTTCGTAATGTATATGGAGTTGGCCAACCCTTTTTCACGGATAAACTTGAGACCTATACCAATATTTTGCGAGTTATTTGCGAGAATTAGCGAGTTCATTTTCAAAATTTGTGAGTAAGCCGATTGCGAATTATAATTAAAAAACAGAAGGGTGGGTCAACTTCATGTATCCCCTCCAAGTCACCCTAGAATTTCAAAAATGATAATAAACGATGCGTCTTTATTGGCAAGTAAGTCGTAAAAAGTCATAAGTTACATACTCATAAGTAGTAAATCATAATGTTTAGGTAGATAAATTTATTATATAATAACAGTGGAAAATGTGAAAATGACCATTTAAACATACTTATTTAAAATAGCTTAACATTTGTATGATAATTTATTCTCTGAATAAATAATGGATATTATTATTTTTTTTATAAATTTTATTAAAAAAGTAAAATAACAGGTAGATACAATGGTTTTTGGTGATTTTTTAGAGCTATTCAAAAATCGTAGTATCTATATAAAATCAATTTTCATTCGACCACAATATTATAATTAAAATTGTATATGTTAATTTGATTAATAATAATCAAGTATTCTCTGTATTATAAATAATATATTTAATTTTAAGAAAAATACTATGTAAAAATTTAATGTTAAGCTAATAATTCAAGTTGTTGTAGCCATAAAAACATAAAAAATAAATATATATTTTAGTAATTTAAATTATTAATTGTCTTTCTTTTTAAGATTCTGAGTGAAGCGAGAGATCTTATGGTTTTTACAATGACATTTTCGTGGTATCTATTATTATCGAAAATATTTTCAAGAACTTCAGTTACAATTATTCTTGTTATAATAATCAATTGCCGTGCGATCAATAATTTGCGCAAAATTGTCGTGCGGTAAATTGTTTACGACCAATTGACGTATGTTCTTAAATATGACCTTTTATTTTAAACTTTTAATACATAAACGTTAGCACGTGTTTTTTTTTTATACTCTTAAAAAACAACTGTTTTATATTTTAAAAAAATTCAAAAGTATGTAACATACTAACATTCTAACAGTAGGTCACATTATCAGAAAAATATTGGAGATAGCATAGACTCAGTATAAGGTCTATGGGAGATATGAACATTTTTAAATTTCCCGTTTTATTATCAGCTATTCAATATTTAGGTTTAGATATTAATTGTTAGTTGACCATTCTATCATAATTTTCTATTAGTCGATACTTTTTATACAAAACTGTTTTAAATCTAATCTATTGTATAGTGATTAAATATTAAATAGTTATAAAAACAATACCTTTCACATGTACTAAAAATTTCAGAGTAATAATCTCATTCAGGGAAAATATTTTTACAAACTTAGATTTAAATAAAAAAAAAAAAAAACTGTTTTAAATAATTTTTAAAACTTACGAATAAAATGATAATTAAAAATTGTATAAAATATAAAAATCATTGTTTTAAACAAATAAAATGTATTTTATGTTTTATTTTAAAAAAACTGATCTTTTTGCAATCCTGGCTGTAGTGACAATAGATCATATCTACAACTAGTTATTACATTGTTTCCTTTGAAAACGGCCATCGAAATTCTGGGGTAAGTTATGTGTACTGAATTCATGGTAGGAAAATGGAATTTGCGGGTTAGGGGTGAACTCGCAAATTCTCGCAAATAACTCACAAAATATTGGTGTAATTCTCAAGTTAATTCGTGGAAAAGGGTGTTTCAACTTCATGTACGTGATTTTGTATTCAATTTTTAATAATTAAATATTAAAATTTAAAAGTTTATTTTAAAAATTATGCTATTTTTGTTATTTTTTGTTAATTTTTAAACTACTATATAGATGCAAATTTTTGTGATTATGATCGATTATTTTCGAAATTTGAACGTGTATTATAAAAAACATTTTTTTTTTTTTTTAGTGAAATTACAAATCGAACCGGTTTTTCAATGTTTGATGTATGTTCGGAGTTCCTAATGGATAAGCCTGTAGCTGGTAATTTAGTATTGGTCAAGTACAAAGATATTTATATACCACCTGAAGTATAAAAATTGATATGTTTTATTTATCATATACTTACTCTAAATTATTTTTTTGTTTTTCTAGCCATTAATCGATTTATAATTATTGTATAAAGATTCATCGAAGAAAACCATTTCGGAGAATTAACATATTCATGGGAATATATCCAATATAACATAATCTTTATATCAATATATATATATATATATGTATATATGTATGTATGTATATGAAAAAATAGGCATTTTTTATGATTAAATTTTCTAATGACACTATTGAATATTTTTAATTTTATGTCTATGAGAGGTGGAAAGGGGATGTATTGTAATTAAAGGGTACAATTTGTTTACGGATCATTTAAATCATTTAACGATTTTTTTTTCACATAGTTGTTCCAAATATTCTTAAATATATTGTATACTTTATTATGTCAGGTAAATTATAATATACATAAATTTAAACAAACTGAATGTATTATATTATATATTATAAACAAAAAATCCTTACTGACTGATTTAAAATCAACGCATAGCTTAAACTACGATAACTTGTGAATTAAAATATTCATTGTATGTTTATATTATAGTCTGGTATGTACTAAAAAATTAATTTGAATAATTTTGATTTTATCCAAAATTCAAGCAGTAGAATTTATTTAGGTTTTATTTTTTTTTGGTTTTCGTCTTACGGTATGTAATGTAGGTTATACGTCGATGTCAATTAAAGTCAGTTTTTCATTATTTGATTATTATTTGAAATCTTATACTCGTAAAATAATATATTAATGTAATAAAAGTATAAAAACAAACAATCAAATCACTATAACAATTTTAGCCCTGATTGTGAAAGTTAAGAGATAATATTAATTCATTAATCATGGTTATTCCGATATACTCGTGTATTTCAAAATTCTACAACAGTACCATCGACAGTTGATAAAAAATAATATAAATTATTATATGGGTACAAATAGGATACGAACTTTCAAAAGTTATTTATTTTCATTGCATAAGTACATTTATTGTAGCCTTAAAATATTTTAAAATACCGATTGAATAGATTTTTGTAAATGACATTTATTTCACAGTGAGTAAACCCTAAAGAAGTTAAGCAATCACAATTATTCTTTCAGAAAACGCCGGAAAATTTAGCTAGCTGAATATAATATATATATACGTTAGAGTTAAATTCAGTAAATAAGTTATATATATATATATATATATATATATATATAGGCTAGTAATGATTATTAAGTTTCATTAACCTTCAAATACAACCTTGAAATATAGATAGGGTTAAGTAAAACAAATTAGAAGTAAATAAACACTAAATTTCATTATAATGTTATGAAGATATGAATAATGCTATGATATATTAGATATTAGAATTGAACCATTAGAATGAAACTATATACTAGATACCCAAATTCTCACCCAAATTAAAAATGACACTTTCAATTTATTTTAATTATGATTGACTTAATGGAATTCAGATTATTTAATTATATTCAAAATATTAGTCATTAATAAAAATGTCATAAAGTATGTTTCAGTAAAACAATGCTGATTGAAGAATAAAAGTATTTTATGTTATGAATGAAATTTATCATTTTTTTTTTTTTATCAAAACTTGTTTTGAACTGAATTCGTTACACAGTATTATTGTGTATATTTTTATAAATAATAGTTACTATATATCTCAATATGAATTAATCACCGTCTACTAAGTATGAAACTAAGCAGAATTATTCACTTACGGATATAATGAATACCTTGAAAATTATGTGAAATGATATTCAAGCTATTAATACTAAATTGCTAACTCAGGAGAATACGTCATCTGCTATTTTAGATCGAATGGATAACTTTACAACTGAAATAATGGCTTTGAAAAAAGAAAATAAGAGTTAAAAAAAAGATATTGATAATCTCAAAAATAATTCTCGTATATCATCACAATCGCTTAACTCCATATATGATATTTCTGGTATTGACTTAGTAAATGAAATCCAAGAAAGGGAAAATAAATCCTGCAACTTAATAATATGTAATATAGAAAAACCCAATTGTGATGATCTCATTAAGAACTTAAATATTGATGTCAGTATATCATCTGTTGTTAGACTAGGTAAACAGTCCAATAGGACTGCCAATAAATCTAGACCCATTAGAATAACTTTCGATTCTCCTCAGGCGGTCATAGCTGTACTCAAATCTAAAAAAATCACCGCTGAATATTCCTCGCTGGAAAAATCCATGGATTACTACGGATTTAACAAACCATCAAAGGAAATTTTTATAATCATTAAAGAAGGAAAGGGACCGAAGAGACGGACTTGATAATGGGACATGGTTCATAAAATATATTCGTGGATCACCTAAGCTTGTTCAGAAAAACTAAATTATGGCTCAAGTAAATCTAAAACCTATTTTTCTTGTAATAATGATTGTAACGTTTGACTCTCCTCTATGTGTCGGATCGTCAAGGTATACGTATATATATATATTTCCAAGTATATTAGACAGTGTTTTTATATAAATAGATGATAATAATATTTATTTATAAAATTACAAATATGGCACAAACATATATAGCATTTATATGAAGATATATTACTGATTATTTTAGTTTAAAATGTTGAATGATTGATGGAGAACAAGAAGTTCCTCCCAAACCGCAAGAGCTGCTTGGCTTGTCCGCGGCAAAAGTGGCGGACGGCTGAACCAGCGGTGGGATGTCCTGGATTGAGTTGGTAATAAAAAAAAAGATAAAATACGACGGGCAGCGGCACTGTGGATGGCGGCTAATGTTCGTATTGCTAGGGAAGTTGACGACGTCACAGTTGATGAAGTTCAACTGGCTAGTTGTCAGTCTACTTGACTACGGGGAACTACGTAACATATAGTGAAATACAACGAATTATATTCTATATGCATAGTACCCATAGAAGTTCGACAGAACAACTGCGAGAGAGGTGATTTTGAGTTTATTTGGCCGGGTATTTAAGCGTGTCAGATCTGGATTTGTATAGCAGAGTGTAGATTAGCGATGTTTTTGGTTTTTCTTAGTTTTCTTTTAAATTGAAGATGTATTGTGACGCGGAGTAGTTTCGAGAAGTGCTTACAGATATATATTGATGATTTTTTAGCAGTGGAGATCACGAAATTAATTTGAAAGATTAGAAAATGTAAAAAGAAGTCCGGAAAGAAAATCGTCAGTGAAAAAAGAGCGCTCTATATATTGGATATTAACTGACGCGAAAGGTGCGACGCACCGCGCATATCAAAGAGAGCGGGTTCGTCGGTGTCAGTTGCATAATTGGACACCACTAGGTGGCTACACATACGTGGTTCACGCTACATGATAGTATTTTAAATAAAAATGTTGATACTCTTTCCGGTTATTATCAAAATGTCCGTGGACTAAAATCTAAATTACCTAATATTTGTCTTAATTTTATTTCTTTAAGTCACTATGATTACTTTATATTAACGGAGACTTGGCTTATAAACGGTATTAATAGTTAAGAATTAGGGATGGATAATTACATTATTTATCGCAATGATCGTTATAATTTAAATAGTATTTACTCAAGAGGTGGGGAGTTCTCATTACTATACACAATTGTCTCTGTTCCTGTGAACTTACTTTAACAGATCCTACTCTTGAGTGTGATGCGATTATGCTTAAGTTAGTTAAAATTAAAATTATAATTATTTGTTTATATATCCCTCCAAATAGTCCGTTTGAATTATATAATCGTCACTGTATACAACTTGAGAATTTAAAATTTTCATTTCCAGATGTTACCTTTTTAGTAGTTGGGGATTTCAATATGCCAGATGTAAAATGGTCTAATGGAAATCATTATGTTATTATATCTGGTCCTGCTTTTGAAAAATCTAAAATTTTAGTAGAAACCGTTGCCATTATGCAATTATTTCAACATAATTGCATTGTCAATTATAAAAATAATATATAAGGCTTAGTTATTTCAAGTGAATATAGTTTAGTAGTTACTAAGTGCTTTTTCCCGTTAGTTCCTATTGATATAGCACATCCTCCGTTACAAATAATTTGTCTTAATGCTAATACGTATTGTAAACTTAAATCTTTAACTTTGGATTTCAATTTTAATAGAACTAATTACGAAGAAATGAATAAAAATTCCAATATTATTGATTAGGGATTTTTATTAAGGGATAATCTTGACTTCTCTTCGGTTATCTCTAACTTTTACTCAATTATTTATCAAGCTATTAGTATTTTTTCCCTAAATTCTCTAATCGTAATCATAAATATCCACATTGGTATAGTAGTGAATTGAAATCTTTAATTTTCAATAAAAAACGTTTGCATAAAGAATTAAAATCTACTAATGATTGTAATACATATGATGAATTTTCTCGATTACGTAGTTTATGTAAAATAGAATCAAAAATATGTAGATTGCGTTACCTACACAAAGTTCAAAGTGATCTCACACTGAATCCTAAATACACTTGGTACTATATTAAAAATTTAAAATCCGATAATGATATACCTAATACGATGTTATTTAATGATAAATCGTCAACGGGTGGATCTGAAGTAGCAAATCTATTTAAAAAATGTTTTAGTTCATTCTATTCCAATTTAAATTTAAATATAAATAGTTATATAAATAGTTGTCTTAATTATTCTAAAAATGTTGTAGATGTATGTAATCAACCATTATAAAAATTTCGATAAGTGATATTTTTGAAGCTATTAGTTCCCTAGATTGTAATCCATGTCCAGGACCTGATGATTTACCTAATATTCTACTTCGTTCATGAATATATTCATTATCAGTTACCATATGCAAAACTTTTAATCGGTCTTTATCTGAAGGTATTTTTCCATCTCAATGGAAAAATAGTTATATCACAACTATTTATAAGTCAGGTAATAATAATTTGGTAACAAATTATAGGCCAATAACAAAACAATCTGCCTTGCCCTAACTTTTGGAAAAACTATTGATCCATTCATTAAATTTTATATTTAATAATATTTTTTATAATAATCAACATGGTTTTAGGAGAGAGCTCTGTTGAAACTAATTTACTTTGTTTTGTTAATACTCTTATGCATACAATGGAGTCTGGCAGACAAACAGATGTTGTTTATACGGACTTTAGAAAGGCTTATGGCTCTGTAAACCCCTCTGTCCTTATTGCCAAGCTATGCTGTTTGGTATACATGATCCGTTGTTCTCTTGGGTTAGCTCTTATTTAGTAGATAGAACTTAACAAGTAAAAATCAATGAATTTTTATCTGACATTTTTCCAGTCCCTTCAGGTATTCCCCAGGGATGTCATTTATCACCTTACCAGTTTTCCATCTTTTTAATGGATTTGAGCAATTGCTTTAAATTTTATAATTACTTACTGTTTGCTGATGATTTAAAAATCTTTGCCGATGTTTCCTCATTTGATGACTCTAATTTAATCCAAAATGATCTAAACAGAATCAGTGATTGGTGCCGTTCTAATGGTCTTAAGTTAAATACAACCAAATGTTTTAAAATGTCATTTTTCCTTACTAAGTCTAAATTAAACTTTTCCTATCATATTAATGGTGACCAACTCATAGAAATTGATTCGTGGTAATGATCTAGGGGTAGTTTTCCAGTCTAACTCATTATTTTCTTCTAGTATTGAATATTTATGCTCAAAAGCACTTAGAAGTCTTGGTTTTATAATTCGTAATACGAAAGAATTTAACAACGAAATTTGTCTTAAAACTTTATATACCCCATTCGTTATATCAATTCTTGAATTTCCCTCTGTTCTTTGGAATCCTACACAAATTCGACCTACTGTATAGTTTGAACGGGTCCAAAGAAAATGTTTACGTCTAATTGGGTATAAGAGAAAATTGCATTATCATGTAAATCCATCAGTCTCAACGTCTCTATCGTCAATCCAAGCCAGTATTAATTTAGAATCTCTTGCTTCTAGACGTAATTCTATAGATATTCGTTTTATGTCCAATTAATAATTGACGATATATCCTGTCCGGATTTATTACATTCTTTAAATTTTAATGTTTTCCAATATAATTTGCGGCATCATTCTACGTTTTCAATACCATTTCATCGAACCTTATATGGATATAATAATCCACTAGATCATATTGCTCGAGAATGTAATGAGCTGAGAAATGTGGACCTATTTTTTACTCGAAATGTATAGTTGTAAGCTTGATCTTCTTAATATGTTGTAAATATTTTCCCTGAGTAATGCTATTGTTTAAATTAATCTGTTGTTATTTTATTTTTACTATCGACATTGTACTTTTTATTATTATATCATGTTCATAACTTTGTATTATAAACTTACACTAAATTGTACTTGAGTCTACAAAGGCATTTATATCAATAAATTATAAACTATAAATTATCACAAGCACAAAAAAAAATAATGATATGGATGACCTTCATTCAAATTAAAATGTTGAAAACATTTTTAATTGTTTTAAATATAAATCTACAAGCATTTAGACAGAATTACTTCTAAAGAATTTTTATATAGGTACGATTAAACTACATTAAAAATAGATGAAAATCCTAGGTTTAATAATATTCAGGGCAGGATGAATTATATTGCTTTACCTATGTCTTTTTAACATGTAACCTATCATTACTTTTGAAAAATATGTAAAAAAGGCTGGACGTATCGGTAAGATCAATTTTTTCATTAACAAGTTACATATGTATGTATGAGAGACTTTGCATTACATTTTTAGGAATTTTTATCAAACCAAAATAATTTTATCGACATTTTCCAAATAAAGCTAAGAAAATATGAACATTTTAATTTCACGTACAAAGCTCAAAAACCATTGAATATTATACCATTTATAGTAATCAGTAGGGCTCGAATTTTAAAGCATAATAAATAACATAAAAAGCACAAAATTGTGCTTAAATAAGTTTAAAAAAATAAAAATAAAGCATATTTATTTTTTAAAAAAGCAAAAAAAAAAGCATAACAAAAAATTAACATAAATTAGTTATAATTTTATAAAACTGAATAAAAAAAATTGAAAAATTAATTTAAATTAAAAAAAAGAATTTACTACCATATATTTGGCAAGATTTTCAGAAATGAAACTGACTCTATTGTCTGACAAGATGTTTAATGCATAGAAAATTACTGCTCTATATCCACCGAAGTAATCGGTGCATACTTCGGTATCGATGTCATACGATTAGTGAGTACTGAGAATAGTTTCTACATGCTATATGCAATAGCCGATAAGCTATTGACTTCTAAGCTGTGTCTGTAGATCAATAATCTTTACGTTTAAGGTTGTTCTACACTAATGGTACGACCACGGTCCGGCGATGGGTAAAATAGTAAAATATAATATCTATATTTATATTAATTTTATAATTATTATTGCGGGTTTTCACATTTCTTATAAATTATGCAAACATTGTGTTCATTACTATAGCATAACAAACAAATAAAAATTCCACAGCTATAATAACTGAAAAAAGTAATAAAAAAAGCAAAAAAATCATTTATACTAAAAAAAGTAAAAAAAAAGCAAAAATAAATTCGTTTATTTAGAATCAAATTAACGCGAAAGGAATTTATGTATAAAAACTAGATTTCTATGTTAAATATATAAAAAGAAGCATTTGCTTTAAAATCCGAGCCCTAGTAATCAGTAATATAATGAATCAATAAAAATATCCAGTATCTATTATAAAATAGTATATAAGTATATATTTATATATAACCGATATGCCGCAAATGTTTAACTGTTTTTCCTACTTTTTATGAAAACGGTTGGGAATTTTATAAAATTATTTCCTCCAAAGTAGCGATTACACAACATTTTCTTTCAGTCACATGACCGTGATGATCAAAGTAATTGTTATAATTGTAAACGTGTATGTAGACATAAAAATTAAATAACAATACACTCGTCTTAGTATAACTAATACATTACTCGTTTCACTCAATACATAAAATTTATTTATTTTATTTTGAATTTTTGTTATGTCATTTTAATAAACCTCAAATTCAGAATAAAAATATTCAATAATTAAAATCATTCACAAATACTTATGAATAAACATAATATTATGTCGTTTTTTTATAGTAATCAGTATCCTAATATAATACAAAGGTTCGTAGTTAATTTAAAAATCTTAAAATTCCTATTAAATTTCTGCTGTATTTTACTATGTTAATATTTTTTCATTCTTATTTAGTTGAACAATTGAATAATTTAATAAAACAATTATATTCCAATATATTAATCAGTAATTAAAAATAATTATTTTGTTGATTACAAAAATAACGTTAAAATTAAACTATGGAAAGATAGCGAAGTCGTTATGTGACCTCTCTACCAGTCATCTTTATAATTTTCTTTTTTATTTTAATTTCTTTATTTTCTGTTCTTCAGTTGTCAAGTTTACGGTCTGAGTTTAATAATAAAATCGTCAGCCTTTTGAATCCTTTGTATTCTATATTATATATATTGAAATCGACATAAATCTACAGCTATGTGGCATATAGCATTATGTATAGTAAGACTTGAGTGTGATTTATTCATTATAGCGCAAATTATACTTGTTTTTTTGTAAAATAATTATTTAATTCGTACTTAGATGTGTGGCATAAGCGGTGCGTTTTCCACCAATACTGCAGTGTATCAAGCTATGATAGATAACATGATCCAGCCGGACGTAGTTCTTACCGCACCAAGTGAAACTTTTTATGTAAAACAGAACAAAAATTTGATAATTATTATGTTTGATCTTAAATTTAAATAGATTCAATACGCAAAAATGAATTTAGGTTAATTATACAAGCGGCGCAAATGTGGAGTTAGGAAATAATCTAACATTTACACAGATAATAGATAAACCTGCAGTCAAATATATGGCTGATCCAGATTTGTTCTACACATTATGTTTGACCGGTAACTACCTTAATGCATTAAACGTATAAATCCTTGTGTAACTGTTACATGCTATAGAGCCCATCGAGCCTAAACCTATCGATTTGTATCCATTGGGAAGAGAATATTTGCATTGGTTAGTTATAAATATACCAGGTAATGATTTGGGAAAGGGATATACTTTGTTTGAATACAACAGTTCCACGATCATCAACTTATCAAGTAACGATCATCCGATATAAATCCTAACAATAATTTTAAATACAAACTAATGCTGATTGTTTTACAGTGCCTAATCGTTACGTATTTCTGTTATACTTACAGCCTTCGTACATCACTTTCAATAAAACATACTGGCAAAGGAAGTAATTGATCTATATATTTATGATTTGCATGAAATATATTATGTAAGGTTTAATATGAATACATAGTTATTACAATTGATGACTCACTTTAAATTAAACCATTTAATCGTATAAGTTACAATTGATAATTAATAATATAAATTTGAACATACTTTTTAAGTTTTATATAGTATCCCACTGATATCCAACTATGATTCCTTAAAATATTGAATTATCATTGGTCGTAAATAGTAAAATATTATTGGTTTTTCACATAAAAAAAAAAAAAAAAAGTTGTTTGGCAATGTTTCATTCAATATTCATGGTTATTACAACTCACTATTACCTATGGTCTATAAAATTACATTTATCTATGTAACCATTAATTTTCTTACGTTTAATAATTGTTCATTAAATTTCTTTACTGATTCACGACTTGATTGTTTATGATTTTATTATCATTTCCGAATACTATATTTATGTAAAAATATTTCGACGCTCAATTGCGTTTTATTTTAATAATTTCTTTCATTTTTCGTTTGCTTATATTTATTAAATCAGATGCATGAGAATGATATTTTTCTAAATTTAAAACTTTTGTTTTTATGACGTCTATTTCCTTCATATAACGTCTAATTTTTTACGCATGTTTTCTTATAGATCCAATAAAAATTAGTTTACACATTGTTATTCTCGTAATATCATTATTATTTATTTACCAGAGTTTATGAATACTTAAAAATATACCATAATCATTGTTTTATAAATTTGCAGTATTTATAATTTAACTTAAAGTTAGTAAAATCACACACAAAATCATAGCTTTGAAACTAGTGTTTACTTTATCTTAATTAATTTTGGAAAAATTTAGAATAACCTTTGATGTTTTGAACTTGTTCTATTATATATTCGACTTCAAGGTATATAAACTAAAACATTTCAACAGTAAAAATATTATATGCCTGTAACGATCCAATAATTTTTAATAATTATCAACCATTGGTCTCAAAATAAACGTTGGTAACTTTGTTTTTCGAACAAACATTATTAAATATTAATATTTGACCTTAATTTATTTAATATTTTAATAAAATAATAATTTAATATTTTCCTTAATAATTGGCTTTTAAATCATAAAACTACTAGATATTAATAATGTTTCTACTATATTAATAAAATATTGTTAAAAGAATAATTTCAAGTAATTTAATAGTTTTGATCTATACGAGGTTTGTTCAAAAAATACGTAGAAATGAATTCCATCCATATAAAATAACATACTTACCCTACATAAAATGTGGGATTCCCCATTTAACGATTGATTTTTTTTGTTGATACAGTCGTAATGAAATTTATATTTCATTGTGCAATATTTTTTCACTAAAAATGAAAACTATTTTAAATGTTCTGAGTTATTAAGTTATTAAGTTATTGGTTTTATAATGTTCATTATTTCTACATAACTAATTCCTAAAACCAAAAATTACATCAAAATACAATTCATATAAAAAAATTATGTTTTGTCTTTTATTAAAGCAATTATTATTTTTTTTTTTTTTTTGTAATCACATTACTGATCATTTTGATGCACTTTTTATTTTTTTTAGATTCGGACAAGACTTTTCACGTTTTACAATTTTTGAATTTGCTTACCAAAATCAATTCGAAGATCCTATGGGAGGCAATTTTTTTTTAACTGGATACAAAGATCCTACATTTCTAGGGGTGAAAATGTTTATTTTTTATTTATGCATTATATTTATACTCCGTTACTTTTTTTATAGGGAATAATCACACCATCTTCACCGAATAATGAATCACCGAAAGAAGTTAACTCAAAGTATACTTCACTAGACCAAAATTCTTTTCAGAATAGTGCCCAGGAGTCGAGTTCACAAGAGGAAAATTCATCAGACCAAAATTCTTTTCAGAATAGTGCCCAGGAGTCAAATTCACAAGAGAAAAATTCATCAGACCAAAATTCTTTTAAGAATAGTACCCAGGAGTCAAGTTCACAAGAGAAAAATTCATCAGGTCGAAATTCTTTTAATAATAGTACCCAGAAGTCAAGTTCACAAAAGAAAAATTCGTTAGGCTGAAATTCTTTTAATAATAGTACCCAGGAATCAAGATCACAAGAGAAAAATTCATAGAAACCAAAATCCCAGGAGCAAAGTACTAACAAAGCAACTACTAAAAATTCAAAATCCGAAAAAAGTAATTCTCAAGAATATACATCTCAGTAAATAGATTTTATGAGAATTCCCGGAACCCAATTAATCTATAAGATATTGTTATCAACAAATACAATTTCATCATTTTTATTGCCTACTGTTTCTAGCAAAGACCGATAGTAATAAATCGATGGTCAGTTAGTTCGTTTAATTCTTTCTTGTCGAGTTATTATTCTTGTTTGTTAAAATGGCTCCTGGTAAACACGTTACTTTAACTTTAGATCAAAAAATTTAAACAATTAAGTTAATATAAAATGGCCTGAAATATGATATGATTGCTGAGAAGTATTAATATAAAGATAGTGAAATTAAAAATAAAATCTTAGTAATTTGAGTATGTAATCTTGAAAAACCTCCGATAATCCGGACAAATCGGTAATCCGGACAAATCGGTAATCCGGACGATGTTTGGTCTGAATTCGTCCAGACTATCGTGACTCTACTGTAGTGAGTTATTTTAACTAGTATGGACTTAAATGATGCTATTATTACAATTTTATTGATATTTAGAAGATTATTGAGAAGATATAACCAAAATCGATTTTATTTATTTTAATTGACACAGCGTTACATGAACAATTTTGAAAATATTATTGAATTGGTATATTAGTAAAAAAAAGCAAAAAACTACGTTACAAAAAAAAAATAGTTTTTAGGTTAGGTATATCACGTATACTGCATACTATTATAATACTTAAAAAATATTACCCATATCATTAAATATTACTATACTTAATGAGTATCACTTTTTATACACGCAAAAAAATATTCTTAACGTTTATTAAGAATTGTATATAATTATTATAGAGCTATACATACTATAGCAATTATGGTGGTCATGATTCAGTAAATCGTATAATTCATCAATACACAACATATAATTTATATAATTATATTTTATACATATCTTTGGTGATGTTATACCAATAAGTTCAACATTTTAAATATTTAATATTAATTATAATTTATAATTTATATTCATATAATTCATGCATAAATGAGTAAAGTAAAATTATGTAGTTTGACATAATCTCATAATTAATATAAATATTAAACTAATCACCATTGATTGTTAAATTATTATGAACAAAATTAAGATCAAGATTAAGTAATAATACAATAACTGATAGAGTAGTATTTTTAGGTGCCCATCGGTGCAAAGAAATGAATAAATAATATAAATATAATTAATAAATATTGACTGCAATGATGTTCAATTTCACCTAAATTTGATACTATTTATACTTTTCAATACTATTTGTGTTATAGGTTATATGGAATAATTATAGCAGTAAATAATACACAAATGGCTATTCAATTTTAAATTATAATAAAAATGTAAGATAGAACACTTAAAATAAAGCTTTATATATGATCATCTCACATGTTAAATATGAATACTTTCGATCTAGATTTCGTGGTAAATCAATTTCAATAATCTTTACCTTTACAAATATCAATATCAATATATTAAATGTAATATTCCAACTGAAATGGATATTAAAAAATATTGACTGGAACCAATAAGAAACAAGAAAACAAATATAGAGAAGTATGTTTTCTAACCGTTTACACGTGAATATGATGGATAATACGCGACTAAATAATTATAATTTAGGATATACTGAATAAATATAAAAGGACTTGTGCTTTGAGATTGAACCGAATACAATCAAATATTTATTATATACATAAATATTCGATTTCTGATAGTTGGTTTTTCGAGCTGTAAAGTTAAGTTTGAAAATTCAAGTATGACAGACACATTAAAAATTTTAATATTTTAACACATTTCCAAATCAAAGGTACAGCTATAGAAATTTATCACTCCAAATTATAATGATGCCAGCCAACCAATTGGAAATCCTCCATCTACAATTTATTTGATGCAACATAATAATTTTAACATTCAAAATCGGTTAATTGATGTTCTTCAAAAGTTTTTGGTATTAAAAAAAAAAAAATAATAAAAATAAAGACAATATTACATCATAAGATCTTGAAAATTTTAGTTTAATACTGCGCGTTGAATTCAATTTTACTTTTTTCATCACTTTTTAGCTTTTGTCCTCGAGACATTATTGAAAATTAATTACAGCAATTGTATTGTTATTGGTAATTTTTATAAAAGTAAAAATGGCCTTCAGAAAATTGCACCTCGATACAAACTATGTGATCATGAAAAGTTTCCATTTAAACTCGAAGTAAACATTTCCAAGTCGCAGTCGTCATTTGATCCTATTGCAGTTCAGTCTGAAAATCAAATATTTCATTTCCGGCAATGTTTTTTTCGAGACAATCGCAGTGTTGGATTTTGTACTTCGTAAGGATTGGTCTTTCGATTATTATCGAGTTATCGCAGACGAAATTTAATTAAAAAATAACAGTAAATAATATTATACTTCATAGATATATGTTTTTTTCTGGTGCACCATCTGTGATGAGCGAGAACAAAGTCCAACGGTCTATGGCAGACGTGGAAATCGTACCGGACGTCATCCCCATCGCCCCGGAGATAATGTTACAAGTAAACCTTGAGAAAAAAATTAAGCTTATCGTGCATCGAATGGATGCTGGTAAAAATGTATTAAAACACTTAACGTTTTAACAAAATGATACAAATGTTTAGGTTGAGTTTCCGAGTGGCGTGAAAGCGGAACTCGGCAACGAACTCACGCCCACGCAGGTGAAAGACCAACCTACAATCAGATGGGACGCTGATCCGGATTCGTTCTACACGTTATGCATGACCGGTAACTACAAAAACACCCCAGTGGTTCACAAACATTTCAATCGAGTCTGCCTTTGAATAAAAAAATTAATAAATATTTCGAATTTTCCACTTGTAAAAAAAAAAAAAAAAAAATAAAACAATACGCATGTTCGTTAACCGGCACTTTGTCGTCTGAACATTGAAATGTTTCTGTTCGTTCGATAATATCATCTGAAAACGAATGCACGTTCGTAGATCCCGATTGCCCGAGCCGTACCGAATCGCAAGCAAGGGAATTCCATCACTGGCTGGTGGGAAACATACCCGGCTCAGACATCAGCCACGGAGAGACGCTCACGGCTTTCGTCGGTTCCGGACCTCCGCTGTCAACGGGTAATTACAAATATCGCAAAAAATGCAGACGGATATTTTTCCGATAGATGTAGCAAATACGATTACGGCAACGATTGTTTTTTTTTTCAGGAATCCATCGGTACACGATTTTGGTATACAAACAACCGTCGAAACTCATGTTTAACGAGGAGCGTATAAACAACAGGTAGATACTAATAATCACGTGTGTTCTTTAATTTCATCGTGACACGTGCAGAGCTGTTAATTTTTATGTTTTTTGTTTTTTTGTTTTTTTTATGGAAATCCAAAACAAAACGTGCAATTTCATTTTTAAACGTCATATTTTTATTCAAATTGTTAGATCAAGTAATTCCCGATCTGTGGATCACAAGCAGTATTTTACTAATCACCGAAGTACAGCGCACGCTCGTACTATCAACGACCGATAAATTCTATATCAATAATATTATACAACGTACCATTGCTGATATCATTATTCCTATTATCTAATATTCTGTCTATTCTGTGATAATGCGTTTTACGAAAGTTTATCAATACACAATGCGGTACAGCTACACGGCCTCGTGGGGCTACACGGTCAAAAACTATCGTCTTTGCCTGTCAATTTATCAGTTTTTGAGATTGTTGTTTAACTATTAACTCATGTTCCGTGCATTGTGCGTAAAACAACTATTTAAAAAATAACTCGTAAATTAAATTTAACAATAATAAAATCTCAATGTGGAATAAAACGTGATGAAATTTAGTCGTATTTTATACAAATCAGCGGATAATTAAAGTATAAACGAGCTCCTTCAATTGTAATATAACAATTAGGTAGGTACATTAAAAATTATAATAATAATCATCACCCATCAGTCTTTGCTTTGGCATTTTAAAGTTTGGGTTTTTTTTTTTTAAGAACTTTCAAAATAAACTATTATAGTTCAACAATTACATACAAAGTTTGAGTTAATAATTAAAAATAATAATATTTAGTTAGTAAAATATATAGTATAAGAACTAAGTAGGTGTATTACAAATTATAATAATAAATAATTAAAATATTAAAATTAAGTTATTAATTGGTTAATACCCATCAGTTAGTATATAAATAAATAATCAACTAGTTTATGTATAGAAATAAGTAAATAAATAAAATAAATCTAAAGTATTTATATATTTCTATGGTAAAAATGGTTTCGAAATAAAAATTTGTTGTCGGGTATATACTAAGTCAACAAAATCGGAAATGAATATAAAAATTTGAATCACGATTTTATTTTTTTATATTCAGTCGTGAAACTAAATTATTAACTATTTGTTTATTTATTTATATATTATAATAATGTAGCTTTTAATCATCATTCAGCTTTTAATAGCTGCATATTATTATTTGAATTGTTATCTTAAACTTTTAAAAGTTAAAATAAAGACTGATGAGTAAAGAATATAATAATAATAATTTTTTATATACCTATCAAGATGTCATATTATAGTTTAATATTTTTTTTAATTTTTTGTATTTACTGTATCTTAATTCTTGAGTTCTTAGATGTATAACACGTTTCGCATAGTTTTGACATTAATTTAAAATTATTTAAAATAGGGTTTTAAGCATTTTAATTAAAAAATATATAAATAAATATCTAATATTATGTATAACTATAAATAAATTATATAATATAATATAAATATAATATATAATTATATCTGAATATTTGCCTCATACACATGGCCCCCGGGTCTGATGGGCAAATGGTTTTATAGTATTAAAATAATTTTCCTTATATTGTTCGTCAACCAAACAATTTAATATTCGGTGTATTCAAATGAAATGATCGGACGACGACCCATTTTGATTCTTATTATATTCTTGTTGAGAAAATGGAGTTAGGATTATAATATTTTATACGCAATATTATTTATTTTTCATTAGGCAGTAAAAATTTTCAATAAAATTAGTTGCCGAAGTAAAACATAATAATAATAATAAGTAATTCTATCCGTAATCCGATGTTGAATAGTGTAGCTATACAATATTATTCATTCATTTTATAACATTTATTTTGGTGTTTTAAAATATTTTAGCAGTTAAAAGTGAAATATATAAATTAATAATGTTCATGATATTTATTATTATTTTCAGAACTGCCATAAGACGAGAATTGTTTTCAACCAATAAATTTGCGTTGAAATACAATTTAGGAACGCCGATCGCTGGTAATTTCTATCAAGCTCAATACGATGATTATGTGCCAACTGTACATAAACAATTGGGAATCGTTATTGACACTATGCTAAAGAAATTACGGAATTAAAAACAATTTATTAATTGGCTTAAAAAAATCATAGTAAACACTTTTTGTTTCGTATAATAAGTAGAGAAAAAATACTATATCGCATATTTTAGTGATAAAATACACTTATTATTTTTTCGGAAAATTGGAATCATTAAGAAAATTAAATTATATTGTCAAATCATACATGGTTTAATAGTTCGTTTTAAAAGGTAGTGAAATATGTTGATTGTAAAGTAATATAGAAAGTATTTTATACTCGTTGAATTTGAACAAATAATGAATTAATGATTCATCAAATATCACAATATTTTACTGTTATAAAAATAATGAATATAAAAAAAAAAAAAATCAATCATTTATGTTGTGGAATTTATTATTTAGTTTGTATTCATTAATATTTTAGTTTAACTATCTGTTGTATGAGTCAAAATATTTTAGTCACATACAAAATTAAATATAAAAATTTTAAAATTAGAATAACATTTGTCACATATACCATTCTATCATATTCCATAGTATAGGCCAAATTATGCAATTGAGCTGAGGTAGCATTTTGTAAAATTATATTCAAGAACGTGAACACTACGATAAGGTGACAATACGGATTTTCGATCGGGACGCGTAGGTGTGTTGAAGTATTTGAGATGTTTGTTTTATTAAAATGATTTCAATATTTAGTATAACTTATTGTTTTATTTTTGAGTAGCCACAATACTAAGTCTTATTCCTCTATCCGATCTCTAACCGATTAATTTATGATCATTGAAGACAATATCTAAAAGGTAAAGTAGTCCTACCGAAACTCTGAGAGCGATTCTGTAATCGGTTAATTATGGTAATGATCGTTTGAGTTCTGAAATTAAGTAGAAGTAAACCATCAAAAGATGTATACGACATATTTTGTGTGGTATTATTTGGAAATGTACTACAGCAGAATAGGTCAATACAATTTACTCCAGTAGAACCGTACGACTCTTTGTATTTAACTTTTGGTTGAATTACGTTGAAATAAATAAATAGATTTCGTCGATCAGTTAGATAAGTTTAATATCGTTTTCACTGTTTGGTGTATTGCAATTCATATGGTGTATTGATTTGATTCTCATTTAATATTTAAGCCTGATCATGTATGATGATATAGAATAACTATTATAACTCTTTTCTGAAATATTTGTAAAATAATTATTATATTCAAACTAAATATTCCATAATTTGTATTATACGATATATAACTGTTTTTTTACTATATGATTTCCCATAATATATAATCATATAACAACTTTTAATGAGTAATACCCTCGATCATCAGAGTTACCATAATACGATTTGTAATATTAATAGTAATAAGATTTATGATTACGGTTCGTTATACGGGCGTCACCCGATTGCGGCCCGTACATAGCAGGTAGGAATTACTATTCAAGTGGTTATCAAAACCAAATAAATATCCCAATTGCGTCCGATACGTATTTTGACATCGTAATCAACTATCGTAATCACAATTCACACGATAACCAATATTCGGCAATTTATTGACTATTTACTGACATAATTGTATTTAATATCTTTTTATATTGTAAACAATTTATTATTTTACTATTTTACTATTTGTTACTGCAATCTTGTAATTATACTTTTAAAATAAATATTAAACATTTTGTGAACCAATGTGTGTCTGGACGCAATCGGGATATTTATCTTTGGGATAAAATACGAGTACAACTACCTGGATTCGGACCGCAATCGGGCAACTCCGCGTTATACACTCGTTATACGTTCTAGATAGTTATTTACCGTTACGACAAAAATAATTCTTACGAATGTAAAAATCTACTCCAAAGATATTCTGCACCGGTGGCGCGTTAATGCGTATTATACGTGAACTATGCGGTGAACCGTTTTATAAAAAGTTATCAAATCATTCTGAACGACATACCCGTCTCGCTTTAAAAGTTTTCTGATATTTTTAATTAATATGAATATTTCTAGCACTATTTACTTTTTAAGAACATTTTTTTTTTTTTAATTAAAAAATATTGCATACAAATAATAATAGAGTGTATTCATAGTTAGCATCAATATCGTAAATCTATTAAAATTAAATTGAATTGTTGCGAAAATTATAAGATTAAAGTTAAAGATTTGAACTTCGTACCAAGTTCACTAATAATTCATTTAGTATTAATTGAAAAAAAAAGATCCTTAAATATATCTATATAAGATCTTTAAAGATCTTTTAATTAATTTCAGACGTATTTAGATTATTTTTCATTATTTATTATTATTATTATTTTTTTGTTTTAAAGTATATTTGGATATTCACCTTTCAAATCAGCTCCTTAATTATTTATGACTAAATATGTTGAGGTCCACTTGGTGGTAAGAGATTGGGCATCGAAGATAACTTGATAAAATAAACAAACACCGTTTGAAGAGCTTACTAGCCCCGTGACGGTTGAACTAATATTACAGAAAAATTATATATTTATTGGCACATATAATCAGGGATGGCTCGTCAAGAGAGACTTTAAGACTACATCTCCCCTTAAAAAAAACGACTAATTGTGAATAATAACTATTTAAAAATGTATAGAAATATTTTTATTTTTATTGAAAATATGTTATAGCATTTTATATATTTATTATCATAAATAAAAGACCAAAAAATATTAGACTAATTAATAGTTATTTCAATGAAAATACTATTTTTTAAATTTCGACGACGTTCGGCGTTTCAGTAAAACTGACGTCCTTCAGGTTCAATCGAAATGGTTTGGCTTGTTGAACGAAGGGAGGCTGGGGAGAATAATTTGAGCATTATAGATGCTATTGAAACTGGCTTCACGACAATAATTTCCGTACCATCACACCGTTGTTAATCGCTATACACCGCCATCTGCGAATTTACTGATAAACAAATTTGTAGACTTGAATTAGTTTATAAAAAAAAATACAATTAAATTAAATTAAAAATATTAACTAAATATTAAATTAAGTATTAAGTATAATTAATTTTCCAACAAAAGGGTTTTTCTTGTTCGTTGTTGTATGCAGTTTATGATAGAAAAAGACTCAAAAACTCGTGAAATTTTACATTAACGACGTTTCTATTTTATTTATTACTTTGACATTGTAAGCCATTGTGATCGGTGATTCGGTTGCAATTTTTTTTTAACGAAGGCACAAAGGTAAATTATATATTTGGTTTTGTATTGAGGTGTTTGTTAATTTTTAAAATAATTTTTATTCTGAGCCATGTTAGAGATGAAAAAGGATTGGATAGAAATTGAGAACATGCCCATGTTCTATTTTTCATAAAAAAAAATAATACAAATAATTAACGATATCAAACATTATCAATAACATTGTTTATTGATTCACATGTACTACAAATTATGTAATTGCTAACGTAAATTTTAAAATAATAATAGTAGATATAAAACTAAATTGAACAATAACACTGTCCTCTCTCCCATGACCGAAATTAATTCATCAAGTCTAAACTTTTTTCAAATTATTTTCTTAACGCATGGTATTGTTATTATATTGTTAGGATCAACTAGTACACATGATTTATGGCCATTATAAAATATATATCTAATAATATTTAAATATTTTTCGATTTTATTTGAAGATCAGGACGCGTTTTCAACTAAATAATTTACAAACAAATACAATTTAAATGATCTGGTATTTGATAATATCTACCGAGACTAATATTATTATTAGCATTTATATGCATAAGTTTCCAACAAGAAAAATTAATTTTTTGATTCATTGTTCATATTCGATAAACTTTAAATGAAAAGCTAGTGTTATTTTTCTTATTGTAATTTACGACGATATGTCGATGAAATATGTGTTAAGTATAGTATTTTTTCCGATTGATCAATCTGATTAATATATTCATAATTTATTTTTAGTTTAGAATTACATAAGGAATCTTATTCGTAAATTATATTGAAGTTATAATTAAAACTGAAATGTAATTTTATTATGTAAATTAAATTTATTAATTGTCAATATTAATTAAGTTTATGATACATACTCCTACAGTACACTGAGTACTTTAGTATGCATGTCGATTATGTATCTTTCATATAAAAAATATTATTTATACTAATGAGCTTGAGCTCTTGATCACCTCTTTCGTGGATCAAATAATTTGGTCATCGTATTATATTGTAGCAAAATATGCTGATAATTATATCGGTAACCTTTGAACCAATATGGTTATCAGAGAATGAGCAGTATTAAAGCTCGTATAGTTTATTAATCATAGGATAATTTGTTAGTATTTTTATCGCCATTATTATCTCTATAAATTGTTTATGAGAAATATATATTTTTCATAATAAAGAGACTGACGGTGTATAAATAATATTAGGTCCTGCAGTAAACTTTACTTACAAATAATGTAAAGTAAAGTTAAATGTAAATTATATGTTTCAAGTTCTTTCTTATTAGAAAATGATTAAGGTGAGTATGATGAATTACTAAATTAAATATTAAACAAAACGCGTGAAAATGTGAAAAGAAAATGAAAATTATGGTTTAGGTCGTTAAATTTTCATTTAGTACATATTTAAAAAAATGTACTATCACGAATAGTTATTAATTTGTTCTACTTTTAATATTTGAAATGTATTAAATATTTACTTACAACTTCTAATTAGAAAATTCAGTATAATGATCTTGTTCAACTATCTAATTTTTCGTTAAAACCTACAACATTAGAATAATTCTACACTAAATTTTCAATATTTAATTAATATCATTTGATGTTGAACACAATACTACATTATTCTTTAAAAATTAATAAATACACATTTTTTAAATTTATATTAGAAAAGCTTAAAATTATTATTCGATATATTTTTTTACATACGATATGCGATAACGTTACATGATTTAAATATTTGTATACTTATAAATAAACTATATTTAAATATACCGTGTAAAATGAGTTCAAATAACACTATGATACTTATTAAATAATAAGTAAATGTAAATAACCTATTTATTAGATACCAATAAGATTATAATATAACCTTTACTGCATTATTCTGATCGTAATTTCAATACTTTTTATAGCTATTAATAAGCTACTTTTTAAATTTAATCTTATTTGCTTTATGTTATCGAATAGTTAAAAATATTTATTTTAACATAAAAATTAGCATTATGTACCTTCATACAATTACTAATATTTTTTAGTTATTGCTACTAATTATTAGTATTTTGATAGTATTTGTGTTATTAATTTAGCTATAATTACTATACTCCGGTATGATATAGTGGCTAGGATACAACACAGTAAATAATCCTCAATTAATTCACTGCATGGTTCAATATATAATAATATTTATTATTATTGTTGGACAATTTTTCGTTTACAGTTTAGTATTGATTCATAATTATCGCAAAAAAAAAAAAATATTTATTATTCAATGATTGATGGTTGACAACAGTGAACACTGAACTTGTATATCATTATTATAAGTACATTTACATTAAATTATAGTAATTACTAATGAAGAATACCTATAAATGTACTGAATGGCAGTTGTATATTATTTGGCAGTATTAATGTCTTTTGGACGATGTTATGAACATTATACATTTTGACACATGACCGTGTGATTTAAGAATTTAGAACGTTATTTAGAATCAACAACTATTAAGTTTTTTTTCATGGTAAAAAAACAATAATATAACATTTACGATAATGCAGAATTTTAGTATCTATGAATCTTATGTAACAGCTAAATTGTATTATGCTATTTTTTATATTTTTTTTCAATAACTTAAACATAAATTATGTTTAATAATTTGCAGTACCAATTTGAAAAAAAAAAAATCAAAACAATGACTATATATTGTAGAAGAAACGTCAGATTTAAATAATTTACAGTTGTTTATTTCGTATTCTACATGATAATCATCTTAGGAATTGTATTTTTATCAATAGTTGTTCAAATATTTTAATCAATGTAACAATTGTTGATAGTAATTTTATCTATTCTTTTCGTACACCTATTTTTTTATATTAACTGAGGAAAAAAATTCACAAAACATTTATATATGAATCTGTTTATTCATAATTGGTATTGTTCATCAGTAAACCGTTTTAGATGCTAAGCGAAACGAGGAATTTTACATAAGATACAGCGTACAGGAATATTGATGTGGGGGGTATGGGTTAAAAATCCACAAATTTTCTGACTGCTTTCTAAAATGAAATTCCGCGAAACTAATATTACTTAATTTGTTGATGATTGCCGATCATATACATTTGTCGTTCGTAAGTGATTGACGGGGTATTGTACACCGCCTTCTAACACCGGACCTGACGGAAGGATGACAACATATAATCATGCGCATCGGAGACGTCCGTGAAATCGTAATACGAAATCCGTGTTTAATTATTACGCATTATTATAATACTACAAGTAGCTAAGCTTGTAGTTCGTATATCATAATATTATAATAGGATAATTATTATATTATTATTGTTTTCGATAGTAATTTCCCGTGGCTGTCGCAGTGGGTCTTCAGCACTCATAGTTCAGTCGTCTGATTCGATAAGACGGTTCTAGTCAATGCGTTGTACATCGTATACAAGAAGAACATGCAGTTCGTAAGATTATTTATGGTATGAATCCATTGTTATCCGATTGTTCATCATTTGAGCGTTTCAAGATTCTAATGATGTAAGCACTGGCTCGTACGAATTTACACAGGTGTCCTCCATGTGTGTGGTGGCGGGCAGATGCTTCACTCCGTATACTCCGACCCAACAGAGTTTCAGACTTCATAAGATCGTGCCGGATATCATCCCTGTCGGACCACCTAATCAGTTGCGAGTAAGCGACGGGACGTGGAAAAAATATATAACGCGTCGGACATCGTTTTACAATGGTTCGGAAATTCTGAGCAATGGTAAAAAAAAACATTACAGGTGCTGTACCCAAGCGGCGTTATGTTGACAATTGGAGCAAAAACCAAGCCCTATTACATCGACGAACAACCATCGATAGTCGAATATAGGTGTCCAAAAATAAGCTTCAACTTGTTGATCATGATCGGTAACTGCGGTATACGGTGATTTCCGTAATTTGAACAAAATTTGTAATTGCGATTTTTTTGTTTTTTGTATTTTTATCGTTCGCCGAACCGAAGATTTCGACGAACCGGCTTTCGGGCATTACAGAGAAAGAGAACGTGTTCATTGGCTGGTAGTGAACATGGAGGCTGATGACGTGAGTTCGGGCCAAACTCTCATCGAGTACGGCATGTTCCCTGTGATGTTCGAAGGTAATGAACGGACAGACGTAGGACGGTCAAATCGTAATGCGCAGTCATGACACGTTTGTTTCAGGACCTCATCGTTATGCTTTCTTGATGTACCAACAACCTTGGGTATTCGGATTTGACATCCCATACATCGACGCCGAGTAATACGATTTACAATCATTGCGTAATATTATTATTAACACGGATTGGTTTATCAACGATCGATTGATATCGTATACGAATAACGTGTTAACACTGTTAACGCACTTTCGATTTCGACACATTATTGGTGTTAGGTTGGATCGTATATTTTTTAGAAAATTGACGAATTGTATTCTTAGCACAACACTCGATTCATCGATATCAACGAATTCTACATTGAAATTCTTGTTTTATGTTTTTGGATATTTCGGATTCGTTTTTGTGTGTGATCGGAAATCGATTGGCATCTTTTTATCTTCGATGGGCTTTTCGTTCATATTTTAAGTATAATTTTCTATATATATATATATAGAATATATATATATTATAAATATATATATTTGTATATGCTAAAAAAATAATTTTTAGAACTTCTTAGTGTCACTAGTTTATTTTTTCAGACGCCAAAACGAGGTTAAAATATCCTTAAAAATAATAGTTTTAAAACAAAAATTTATATTGTATGTCTAGGTATTGTAGATAATTGTATGTAAGTTCACAAAATAGTTAATTCATTTTCTATAATATTTAATTCATATCAATAATCAAATACTATCTTAGTGATGACTGATTTATGAACTTTATTTAATTTCAACGAGTAAATCACAATACATGTTTTTTCATTTTTTTATCTCACATTACCTATTTACTATATTTATATAATTTTTTTTTTTTATTAAAAAATTATAGTTAAAATTAATAATACATTAAATTTTATAGGTTACGATAAAATTATATTCAGATTAGTATTAATTCCAGATTAATTTGATAGATAAATAATAAAATAGTTTATGATGATTAGTATTTAAAATTTATCAATAGTTACACATTTACAAAATATGTCATCACTTTCGTTTATCATTTAATCAAAATTTAATATTAAACAATCGTATTTTTTTACTTTTTTTTTTTTTTTTGAAATTAGGCTTAACTTATTTTCATCATCGACCTGCACCAGATACGTATGAATAAATTTGTATTCAATTTTTTAAAATTGTTGTCAAAACAAAATTATTTTATCAAATGAAAAACTAAGAAAATATGAATTTTTCTATAAATAGCTCAAAATAATATTTTGAAAACTATACCAACTTCAGAAAAAGTTGATTAAGTTAACTGAAAATTCCAAAATCTCATGATTATTATTTTTAAATTACAATAAAAACAAAAGTGGGATTTTATCAAAAACCGGTCAGCCTAAAATGTTGTCAATTTTTATAACTTTTTATCAGTTTTTCACGATTATTTAGAAAACTATAAGGAAATTCATAAAATTACTATTTTGAAACTTTTAGCTTAACCAAATTTTCTTTTTCTAAACTTCTGTTAAATATGAAAGTCAACAAAATGAACAAACTTACTGATCGAAATTTTGTATACATAAGAAAAAACATATTATAATAAAACCAACACATTCTTCGTTTCACTTATAATAATATAATTTTAAGCAATAAAATGAGTTTTGTTTTAAAAAAAAAGAAAAAAAGAAAACGAAATAATTTATTAATCAACATGTAAGTAGAAATAAAAATTATTATACAAATCATTATTTTAAAATTAGTTGAACTTTAATTCTATTATCACTTTATCATAAAACCTGTTATAATAACAGATTTAAGTTAAATAGTAAAAAAAAAAAAAATTATAAAAATGTTAATCTCTCTTCGTATAAAGAAAATATAACTGATATTATTATTATTTCATTATTATATTTCAAATCATTATTTTAGTACCTAGTTATAGTAAGTATATATGTAGAGGAGTATTCAAGATATTAATTTAGATACAAATATTATATAACTAATATCGACAGTACAAATTAATACTTATTTATATATATTTAGAACTATTGAAGGTCGAAATAATTTTTCAATAGCAGACTTTTCAACCAAATACCATTTAAATAATCCATTATGGGGTGCTATATGGATTAATACATTCTAGCAAAAGAAGTTAGAGAGGATCCTAATAATGTCCATCATATTTAATATCAAAGTAAGTAGTATACGTTTGTTTTGTTTATTATTTAATTTATAATAATACATAATTACTTTGCAGTCAATGGGTATTATGATCATAATTTGAACATTAATCAGCGTCGAAAAGAATATTGTAATATTATGTCTATTAAATGGTCATATTAATATATTTTTTTGAAGTGTTCTTTTTGAGGTAGTGTTGAAATATTTTAATAAATACATTATAAATTGTTGTGTGTTGAATATCTTGATCGCAATTTAAATAAGAACAATATATACTTATCGTAGATACAAAGAAGTTTAGAATATAACCTTAACTGCAATTGTCGAAAGCAAATGTCAAAGCAAATTTCATAATAAAAAACAAGAATTTATTTCTCGTGATTTCATATTATTTACTAAACATATCTAAATTTTTCTCCGAGAAAATAAAAACATAAATGTGCATTTCAATATGATAAGTAATAACATTTATTGGAGTATTTTTCAAATAGTATGATTGAGTTACTTATTTATTTAACTATCCAATAATTTATACATTATTTAGCATTTATTAAAATAATATATGTTTGAAATATGAAAAAAATGTAAGTTAATGATTCCATTTATAATTCATGAAAAATTTTTATAAATGACAAACAAATAATAAGTGCTCTACTTTTTATCAAGAACAAAAATGTCTATTCATATACTTATATCACAATTTCACAATATCGCCGTCTTCTATAATCATAGGATTTAATGTCAACCGATATTTACTCTTCGGTATTTGAGTATACTTTAAAAACTTTTACATATAAATTATAATCCTTGTTTACACATTATTGCTATCTAAAATCTTTACTTTTGAAATAATTATTTTGAAGTTACAACATGTGTTCAGTTGATCTCTTTCATTTTACTTGCAGGATTTACAGTCGTACATATAGATATACAGTATTCAATGAATTACAAACAATTTCATGCGTAAATTGTAAAATAACATGTTTGCATTTTTTATAAAATATTTAATATTCATACCGATTTTTCTGTGAGAAATTTTGTTTTAGTAGCAGGTTTAATTATAGGAACTTAAAGTCTTTATAATCTACTTATCACATCATAAATGTATCAAACCGATTTACTAGCTGACCAACTCAACCCAATTTACCAGTTAGTAATAACACTGATAATAATGGTTAGTTAAGTTAACGAGTTTTAATAGTCTTACACAACTAATGTTTTATGGAATAAAAAAAAAAAAATGCTTGAAATATTCCAAAATATGTAAGTATTGTTGGTAAAAAAATTAGTTTCTACATTAGAAACTATTACGTTTAAAAAATGTAGACATTTCTTTTTTTTTTTTTGAGAAAATTCGTGTAAAAAGTGGATACGAGCCAATAATACCGTTCGAACATCCAGGAGCAAGTTCATTTGGGTCAGGTCAGATAAAAACAGATATCGACGTTCATAATGATAAAATAGCCTGCCTTTCTAGACAGTATGAATAACACCCGGATTAATTAACGGACATTAATCAGTGAAATTAAATACCTTTGAGTGTTGTAGAAACTGGCATATGATTAATTATGTAATGATACGAGTTTAATTAGATTGAAATAAAATGTGGCCGTTGGTATAGTCCATTGTTAATTATTATTTAAGTATTCGGCAGACGGTTCAGACGTCCCGATAAATATAACTATTTTCAGGAATAAATATGTGGTGCTTACCATTTTGTTTAGTAAGAATTGATATTAGTTATACGTTTACCTTTCAATGGGTTTATTGAATACATACAGGAATCTGAACTCCATATAGATATGCATCGCACTCGGTGTATTTGGAAGCGAGAACCAAGTTGACAAAGCTATGGAAAACGCAAAAATCGTGCCAGATGTCATTGTCGTCGGTCCGAAGAAATTGTTACAAGTAAATTGAGAAAAATTAGAAACAAATTTTTTCCAATCCTGTATATAAAAGGGTAAATTACACTGAGTAAATAATTATTTTCAAGCATTTTTAAGTACCCCCTTTCTCTCATTGAAAAATCCTGCTAATGCAGTATTGGATCATAGATTCAATTTAATTTTAATTGAATATAGCTCTTGGCTGTTGATGACTGTGTATGTTTAATACTCATATTCAACGATATTTAAATTTCTAGAACTTATATTTAAACTGTACATTTTACAAATCTGTTGTATAAAAAATATTTTTTTTTATTACTAAAACGACAATTTTAATATAAGCTTAAATTAAAAATCGCATATTCAAGTATATTTAGAATATATATCATTTAGTAGTATAAACTATTCAAGGATACAATATTTATGATTGCGCATAAATTATTTTAATGAAAATCAAGAGTATCGCTATGTTTATAATCTAAAATTTATTAATTCATTATTTAATTGTTCAATTAATTTCAGGTAAATTATCTAAGCGGTGTGAAAGCAGAACTCGGTAATGAATTAACACCTACTCAAGTGAAAGATCAGCCGTCAGTCGTATGGGATGCTAAACCTAATTCATTCTATACATTATATTTGGCTGGTAAATCGTAAGAAATTTTGAACGATAGCAAATTGCTGTTAAACACGTTATTTGTTTAGTTACAATATTTTTACATTATCAGTATGTGTTGAATTGTTTGTTTGGTAAATCGATTTAAAACAGTTATTCTCTTCCTTGGGGTAATTACCGTCAATAGGTCAAATAGGATTTTTTGAGGAGTAAAGACTGGGACTGATTTTTTTTTTTTTTAATGTACTTATTATGTTTAACCTTTTATTATAATAATTTTTATTGTTTAATTATCTTTAAATTATATTTATACAGTGTACTCCGGATCATCTTTTGCAAAACAAACCATTTTTACATAAGTACAAAATAAAAAATAAAATGTTTCTTTACATAATACATATATCCATAATTGAGTTTCCGTAAATCGGTCTGATTGGGTTGCGATACCGATAACTTGATAATGCGGATGTTACGTATTAGGACTAGCACACGTACTTTTTTAACGGGTAAGGGTATTTTAATAATATCTTATCCGGTTTGCTGGTAATAGACTCGAAAATATTGAGAACTGCTGATTTAGAAGCTAATGTCGAAGAAAAACTTTTGTTAAGCTGTGGCATTATTTTGTTATTTATTTTGTGTTGAACACTAATTATTAATGTTGTCGCCGTTGTTATTCCGATGTAGACATTGATATCACGACTGGTGGAGCTCAACCCAAAGAAAACGAATGGCACCAATGGCTGGTAGGAAACATACTTGGCGGAGACGTGAACAGCGGAGAAACGCTCACCGCATTCGTAGGTTCCGGACCACCGTCGAAAACCGGTAATGAGCGATTTCCTGTAATATTATAATAGACACATATGTGTCTGTATAAAGATCCGTTAATTTGTAGGTCTTCATCGTTACGTGATTTTTGTATTCGAACAACCGTCGAAGTTGAATTTTGACGAGCCACGCATAAGCAATAGGTAAATAGAAAATTGTTTAAAACTATAACCTTGGCATAAAATATATTTTTTAAGTAATAGTATTATCTTAGGGTCCATATAGCATACTTTTGTCTAATACTCGTCAGTACAATGCATCAGTTAACAGTTATATTTTTTACTGCTTCCATCTTATGTCACTACAAGCGGTTTACCTAGTATGTCTGTAATACATATCTAGCGTATAACGTGCTTAATACCACTACTGATATTCCAAATCCAATGATAAAGGTGCTAAAGTTTTATCTTTCGGATAACCTATAAATGTTAGACACGAATTATGATACTCGTAGTAAGAAAAATCCAACTGTTCCCCCTATACACTCAATGCAGCCAAAACTGCGACAATGTAAAAGCATATGTAACACATAATAGAAGGTACCTAATCGTAATGTGAACTCTCGTGTATGCCACCAATATAATTATAAGTATTTCGAGCGTACATGTTGATTAAAGAAAGCGTAATGTTCTTAGATCTATGATTATGTTGCGTGCCGGTATATGGGTACCGGACAGTGCAACGAAAGATGAGTACACTCAACTGTTCAGCTTCGTAATCAATATAGAATAATATTAATGTTGAAATAAATAACTCAAGACTTTAAAATATTAACTTTATTGAATTATTTTATGTCCAAATAATTGATTTATAAAACAAACTGGCGTGAAGGTGAGTAAATTAACAAGACTAGAACACATCTGAATTAGGGCCTGTTCGGGACCCCTTTTATATCCGATATATGCAAGTGTGTGTGTAAATCTCAAGTGTGTATGTGTATATGAAAATGATAATAAAATATGATAATTCCTCATTGATTCTGCGTGTGTGTGAGATCTCTCGTCTGGCACATAATTACTGACGTAGAGATACAGTATGTGGTCACAGCCATTTCGATTATTCATTTATTATTTCAATTCCCCTTATAATGATCATGTGAACTAATTATTATTTTTTTTTTTTTTTTTTTTTATTAGCCTCTAGTAAAAACTATGATGGCTCATCGATTATAATAGATATACATATACATTATACATGATAATTGATAATTAACAATATTTAGATGAATATAATATAAAATGAAATAATGATTATTATTACCCGAAAAGTCGGTGCAGTATACAACCTATTAAATTATAATGATAGTGATAAAATTACGAATAATAAAGTATTAAAAACATGATAAATAATTAAGGTGCATTAAGATAGATTATAATGTGAGAAAATTTACGGAAATAACTATGGAGATAAGTTAACTTTAGAGATTAGTGCATTAAGAACTGAAGAGAGAAGAGTATGTTAATAATAAAATTGGACAGTGTAACGGAAAGATTTTCAGTAGGAACATCTTGGGTCCGGATGGCTTCAGCGTAGGTTTTTGGCCTGGAAAAGGGTCGTGACTCCGGAAATTTGGTTGTAGGTGATTTAGAAGGTCTTATTATTTTTTTATTATTAGCTTTCTTGAAAGTTGGACAGCCCTTGAAATTGGCCATGTGATCCCCGGAGCAATGAACGCATTTGGCTGGACTGAAACGATCCTCAGTACAGCTACCTGTACTATGAGCCTCACCACATTTAATGCAGCGAGGTGGGTGACAGCAATATTTAACCATATGACCAAAGTCTTGACAGTTAAAACATTGCGGTGGCCCACGTGTGGTTTTATTTGGTTTTTCTATTACTATTTTGGTGTTATGTATTTGATACTATAGATTTAGTCATTGTTTTCATTATGATCGAGGTCAACAAAAAATATTGGAAGCGGGCGATTATTTTTTTTAAGATTGTGGATACGCTTCACTGTGTACCCTTCTTCCGACAATACTGCAGAAATATCCCCACTAAGGGTGGTATGGTATAGATTTCGGATGACAATTTTGTATGGACGCAGACATCTAGGGCGAAAGGAATGAAAACTTGCGTTGGTTTCCTTCAGATAGGTAACTATTTTGTTGAAGTTTTAAACGCTGTTAGGTCAGACGATAAGATGAGAGGAAGTCGACTTACACGTAAACCCATTGGGGCCAGTGGTCTTAATTAAATTATCCTTAAATGCTGAGCAATTAGCGATGTCACTGATGTAGATAGGCGGTGCAATAGGCACGCTTCGGTCCGTGGAGTGAGGTGGATTTGCGACGGTGTCTGCGCGGGAGAATGAGACCGTATCAAAAACGGCATCATCACTAATGTCACTTGTACCAAGAACGGCGAGCTTATTAGGTCAAGTGAAACATTTTTTAGACTTTTTCCCCTCACGAGGAGGATAAATTGATGCGATAGATAATATACGCTTGGAATGCGAACCAGGCATATAAAATTGTGAGCATTGAAAACGAACACCCTGAAAGATAATAAATTAGATAAAAAATTACATGTTTATAATAATGATACGGTATAATCCGATAACGGAGCGAGCGAAATGCGTGTTCACGGTGAACGTAATCGCCAGACTATGTGAACTAATTAAATAATTTAATTTATCCACGGGTGTGGTTTTGATTCTACATATACATATGCCCGCTATAGTGGAATCATTGTGTTTTGTAATGCAATCGATATAGTATTTATATATATATCTGTAACATTATGTGATAGAATGTATGCCCGTGACATTATAATATGTGTGCATATAAAAATTGCGATGTATCGAATGTTTGTTTCAGATCTATCGAAAACCGTGACAAATTGTCAATCAAAAAGTTTGCGTCAAAGTACAATTTGGGAGCACCAGTGGCTGGGAATTTCTATCAAGCTCAATACGATGATTATGTTTCAGTTTTGTACCAACAATTTGGTGTTAATTAAATACATTTTTATAAAGCATTAGGATTATATTAGACAATATTCACCGTTCTACGTCATCCACATTTTATATGCAACTAATTTATATATATACATATATATTATAATATAATAATAACCGCTACTATGGTAAACCATGATATCTTGCTGTTCAAGTTATTGAGAATAACGAATGTGTTAATAATTTTATAACAACTATCAAATATATATTGAACAAAATATTTAAATAAACATGGTTTAACTCGTGTTTTGTATTTTAATTACAAATACTGCACGAACACTTAATATAAATATTTAATATCAAAGTGAATTAAGATAGTAAATCACTTTTTTTTTTTGTTTAAATTTAGCCACCAAGAAATAATGTATGATATGCTGCTGCACAATCGGCAGCTTTTAATTTAACATTAAGAAAAATAATGAATACAAATTGCATTTTTTTCTGAATATCTGAAAACATTCTTTCCAAGTTAATTTCATACATCAAGGAATTAAAAAATATAACTTTTATTTTTTTGATTTTTAAAGCATTTTTTAATATTTTAAGTGCATTTTTATAAATATTTGTTGCTTGGAATTATAATAGTTTTAGAAAAATATACATTAAATGTAAATTGTTTTAAATTTTTCTTTTTTCTTGTAAATTAGTTATTTCTACCAAGACCGGCTGTTTGTGCCTAGCTATACGTAATTCCAAAGTTTGAAAATCTCCATTTGAATTGTTAGTGTGAAACGACCTAAATTGTAAATAACCTTGATAACGTTACAATATGTGATAACGGAAAATACAAAACTAAATAATAATTAATATTACATTTTTAATAATAAGATGTTTCTAATAAGTTTTAAGTTATAATAACAATATTAATATATTATGCATACACAAATCTGTTCAAAATTGTGATTTTAAAACATTTTTAAATTTTTTAAGGCAATTCTTAGTGAATTTTTTGATATTAAATCATTTTTTTAAGGCATAAAGTCGTATTTTTTAAGAAATTTTTCTTATTTTTTTATGACATTAAAGTCCGTTCCCCACTTATCATTATACATATCCAACGAATTCAAGTTTTAAAATTAATACACGCCCATTACACAGTTAACATATGGAACTGTGCTGGTGAAAATTAACACGAGGCGAAAACAACAGGTGCATCAGAAGGGCATTGACTTATATTTCGAGGGATACCATAGACGCGATTAAGAGATTTGCACATATTTTACACGCTTCACACGTCTCGTGACACGCCACATACCTAAAGATCTTGGCTCAAATGTGGGTTAGAATATAAAAACGTTTTTTCGACTGATATTTTATCGTGACATTTTCGTTTCGTACGTTACTACCGTCCGATAATTTTATAGTCTCCTAGAAAAATGGAAATAATTAAAATTACTCTCACAGAATAATTGTCTTTGATTACCAAAACAACTTTAGGTGCATGATATTAAATGGCCAAAGGTTAAATACAATATCATGTCTTGAAATCATCAGTATCCGTGAGACGAAATCCATTTGTAAGAGTATATTCTTGAAATTAAAATAATGTGCTGTTTGCGACATTGACAAATTGTCAATAAATCGTCATTTTTTTCACTAATCTATGTGGCTCGTTGGCTTTAGCTACTGCACAATTTCGACTGTGTTTGTGTTAGAAAAATCAATGCATAATATCAGCGTTCGATTTTGTAGTGTTTTTACAGAAATAGACAGCATTTAAAAGCAATTTTTTTAGAAATCCGTCCTTAATTGTAAGTATAATGTTACTCGAAATGTACAACAAGCTATTTTCGAAGTGGGCACTAATAAAACGTCGGTCAATATTTTGATGGTTAAAACGTCGATAACAATTGTTAATGTGCAATAAAACGTTCCGATAACATCACTCCGAACAATCCATTTTGGTCCGATGAATAATTAACGATATTGCGGAGGAACGGCTATTGTTGTTGGCCGCAGGACTTATTTCGAGTTCCTAACGCGACTTGAGCGTTCACCATGTCCGACCTGAAACCCACGGTTCCCGTTTACCTGAAGAGCCGCGATTTCAACGGATCCGGACACGAACAGCAGATCTTACACCACCCGTTCAACGACTCGGGTTCGAACCCGGACGACAGCAAAGCGCATAAAAGTAATTATTTATTTTCCTCCTTTTGCGGTTGGTTGTATCCGAATTGGGTCCTGAATTTAAAATTACTACATTGTTTGGGTCCTGAATCATTTTAGGTATACACTAGTTACTGAATATTTTTTGGTAAGTACTGCATTATACTAACATTTTCCTTCCCATTTTAATACATTTAGGACTCTCTATGATAATAAAAATACTCGTATTTTAATAATTAAAAATGTTATAAAATAATATTAATACAATTTCAATATTTTTAATATTTTTACCAATACAATTCTAATAATTTATATTTGAATGAAAAAGAAACTATATAAAAAAAACTATAAAAAACATTTTTCACCATGCCTGTGGACTAAATAGATCATAGACAGTTCTAATTCTGTTAAAATGAGAAGAAAAATGTTAGTATAATGTAGTACTTACCAAAAATATTCAGGAACTAATGTAATACCTAAAATAATTCAGGACCCAATTAGTGTAGTACATATAAAAATCCGGGATCCAACTAGTGTAGTACCTATAACAATCCGGGAACCAACTAGTGTAGTACCTAGTACTCGGGACCCAACTGAGATGCTCCATCGCGATTTACCCAAAACATCATCGTACTATAATCTTGTGTGTACATCGACACGCTTATTTCGCACCCAAGCAAGATTTGCACAGAAAACTTGATGTCGTAAACGATATTATCGTACCGATAGTAGATACGAGAACACTATAGCGCCGTACGATATTATGTTTTATTTGCAATGTGATTCGGCACAGGATTTGAGATACAAGACGATCTTGGAATGCCGGTGAACTATGTACGAATTCAAGATTTAGAAGACGGTATACGGAAGGACATTGTTAGCGATAAGAATTCGTTGCACAGAGCCATTACTCCGGTGCTAATTCTGGCGCATTTTTTCGCCCTGTTGCCGGTACAAGGCATAAAAGGACAGAACACCAGTTTTTTAGTGTGCGTTATAAATAAATATTACTAAAAAATGAAATACATTGAAATCTTTTACGTCATTTTTAGTGTCAATTGGTTCAGCTGTCCGGTCATATACGTGTTCGTAGTATTATCCTTATCCCTTTTGATCCTTTCTTTTTCACTGCTGAAAATATACCAAACAGGACTGACGTATTACAGTACAGGTACCTACGAAGATTATACTTTCTTTTACTTATTTTTTTCAATTTTTCATTGGATTTCATACACAACATAATTTACTATAAGATATGTATTATTTTATTTATAACAGGCGAAATAATGTTTTTCGGTAGCTCACTGGTGATATACATTCTATTTATCCATTTGGCAAGAGAATGGCCAAAAGTCATGGCAAAATGGGAACTAATGGAACGAGAAATGAGGCATTTTGGTTACCTTTCTAACACTGCCTTAAAGTTCAAAATTTTAACTTGTATCATAATGTTACTTGCGATAAGTATGTGACATTTAATATGGTCATAACTATTCGTTACTATTTCAAATATTAATTATGATACGAATTTCATGTACGAGCAATCAAACAATGTTTTAGATAATAATTTGTTATATTTTTATCGTTTTATTTAAATATATTTTATTTTTATGTTACAGTTGAACACTTGGCTTCTGTATTAACTGGAATAATGAAAGCAATTCCTTGTTCGACAGGGGGACTGGATATTTTTAGAGCTTATTTTTCCATGTCTTTTCGTCAAGTATTTTCATTTATAGATTACTCCCTTGTAATAGCTTTACCTTTGGGATTCCTAAATCTTATACTTGCTTGTGCTTGGAATTATATGGATTTATTTATTATCATATTATCTTGTGCACTGTCAGATAAATTTAAACAGCTCAACCAGAAATTGGCTATTGTCAAAGGAAAAGTTAGTATACATTTTAATAAGGAGTTTTAATTATTTTTACAATCATGATGGATTGAAACATAATTTGTTCATTGTTTTTATAAATGGTATCAAAAAAAATAACTGAATTCGTTAAAATAAAATACTATAATTTTTGCTGTAATGTGCGAATAAAGGCAAAATAAAAAAAAATAAATAAAAAAAAATACTATAAATAATGATCATCATATAATCAGTTTTTATATTTTATTGAACAATTATAATTAATATATATGTATATTTTATAAATTATCAATATTTTAAACGTATTTAGTTTTTTTTCTTTTTTTGTATATATGTTTGTTGTGTAAATCAAGAAAAATTGACGTTCGACTTTCTTACATTGTTTTTATTATTTTTTTTTTTTTTTTGTATAACTTAAATTTTTCTTTAATTTAGTTTATAGATATTTCATAAGTTAACGCATTTTTTATTCTTTAAAAAAAATTAAATTGAAAAAATGCATTGAGTTATTAATTTCATATTATTAGTGTTTGACGGATAATATACGATACACATGTAGTGTATTAATGTATTTATTATTTCTATAAAAATATCATATGATATAAAATATAATATAATAATAACATTATAATAGAAAATATTATGTTATAAAAACTAAATATTTAGGTACTTCCAAGTACGTATTGGAGAAAGTCAAGAGAGACATATAATCTGTTAGCATCGTTAACTCGAGACTTTGATGAATTTTTTATCACCAGTTATTTTATTATCGTTTGCAAATAATTTGTACTTTATTTGCTTACAGCTTCTAAACAGTTTGAAGTAAGCAATGCGATATTGTGATTGTGATGATTAATCAATTTTAACTATTGTGACTGGTTTTCAGACCAATGCATAACGTTTGGGAGGCCATATATTTTGTATTTTCCTTCACATATCTCGTTGGAAGGACTTGTGCTGTATCATTATATGCAGCTTCAATAAACGATCAAAGTAAAAAACCTAAAGGAGTTCTATTCTCTGTGCCGACTGAAAGCTACGGAGTGGAGGTAAACCAAAGTATATATCATTGTGTGGTAACTAAATAAAATATAAAATAAGCAAAAAAAAATGTTTAAAAGTGTATAATTACGTTTAGAATGTTTGTGTTAGTGATGGGAATCATTCGATATTCAAATAGTCGAATAATTCCCATCACTAGTTTGTGTATGGTATTTCAGATATAAATTCTGAACGTTTTATTAAGACAATATTTTCAAATAAAATATGACGCGCACAAAGGGTGTAAATAAATATATAATTATTTTTGTTTTTTTAAAAATATTGATTAAATTTAATTTTATCATGCATTTATAGGAGTTTCGGTTTCTTCGACTGTACCTGGTGCCAGACAATCACGAGGACATTCGATATTTAAAACCTTTTTTTTTATATAATATTTAACTGATTTTATCCGCATCTTAGTGCTCGACAATGTTTGAACTCCGTGCCTAGCTGTAATGTAGACTATCCACAATTATAATAAGTGCACTTAGCTATTGCAAATATAGGTTTTAACAATTTATATTCTTCTATCCCATTCGATTTTCCCGCTACATTTTGTGAAATGATTTGGTTTATGGATAAGTGTTTGGGAGTTTTGAAATTACACAATAATAGATAATTTATGTCTAGGAGGATAATGTAAAAGTTAGGTTAGGTATATAAGTATTCAGTAGTTAAATATTTAGGTTATACATTTAATGGTGATTTTACCATGTTATATCTCAATAAGTAGTGATTAACTAATGAATATATTATTAACTTTAAGAATTATAGAAATATATTGGGAATTTATAGTATTTAATATGTGTTGATAATTTATTTATTTCTTAATTTTTTTATGTTTCATAGGTAGCGAGATTTCTAACACAAGTAACAGCTGATGAATTAGCATTGACTGGGTGTAATTTCTTTTCAGTCACCAGAACTTTAATGTTAACGGTTAGTTATGTTCATTATCTACTTTTTATATCACAGATTGTTCAGTAACGTTTTAATTAGCAACTTAGCAACTATACTGAATTTATATAGGTTGCTGGAACCATAGTTACTTATGAGATTGTGTTAATACAATTTAATAGTGTGACCAATGAAGTGATTGATGAAAACAGCACTCTCAACCATTGTCCTTAATAATTTTATCTGTATATTTTATGATAAGATATTTAAAAATTGTGCAACATTAACACAAGATAATATTATCTGCAGTAATATGACTATTTATTGTTTTATTTTTATTGTATAAAATAAGTCATAAGAAATAAGAAACATACTAGTAAAATTTATCGTAAATTAAATCTACATAATACATTTTTCATAAAATTATATGTCATAATTTATATTCAAGATAATTCAAACTGTGTTCTATAGATTTAAAATAGTAGAATGTAATAGTTTTGGGTTATGTGTTTGAAAATGATGTATTCGAATAAAATATGTTGAATATCTAATGTTAAAACATTAGTTAATATAATAATTATTTAAATACAGAATTTTAAATCGTACATATATTTTTGATCGAATAAATCTTTATTCAAAAACAGGAAATAACGGTTAGACGTATTAATATAGTACCTGATACAGAGCAATAAATTCAATCTACTCGTTATGATTTCGTATACCTATAAAATAATATGGGTTTCTGTATCATACCAACTGCTGCAGAACATTCCCGATTGTCGGACTAAACAAAATAGCGAACAAATATATCGACATGTACTAAAAAATGTCTACTAAAGATTAGAAAAATATTTTATTTGTAAATAAATATGAATTTATGTTGAGTAAAAATAATTTTCGTAAACGAGATAATGAAAATGTGTACTATTGGTACTGTAAAAATGCATCAAAAGTTTTGATTCAAAACAACTTACAAAAGACAGAGGAAAGGTAAATTAATCAAACCATCTTGAGTTGAACATTTCAAACCTCCTCTTGAATTTTAAACAAAACGATTTCTGCTCAAGATTTTTTTAATTAAGGACATTTACAATAAAAACAATAAAATTATTATTTTTACAATAGTTCAAAATTGATTGTGTTTAAGCGAATTACAATTTTGGCTTGCAGACGGAACATAAATCTATTGAGAAAGGAAACGACCAGATATGTTTAACTTTAGTGTTATCCCTTATAACAAATCAAACTGAAAATTCATATAACTAATGGTTACAGCTCTTAATGATTTTGCTAGTAAACATAATATTACTATTAAAGATAATAACGATATTGAAATTATAACTGATTTTGAAATTACTGCTATCAATTACATCAATGACATTTTTTTATTTTCAATGCATCCTGCATTTTTTTCACGTTATGGAAAATATTAATCGTCACATACAAAAAAAAAAGATTAACGACTAAGTATATGTAAGATCGAAACTTCAACTTACTTTGTCGACATTCACCAATATTGACTTTCCTTCAAATTTCCAAAGTAAACACCTCGAAAGTGAATAAATATATTAATATATAAAGCTGAATAAGTTAAATATTTTTTAAAAATATATATTTATTATTTATTTAGGTCAACGAAAGTTGGAAACAGCTTAAAACTGAATTCCCGAATGATGAAATGGAACAAAAATTAATATATTACTTTGAAACAATGCATGTTACTGATGTATCAGTAAGACTCCGCGGAAAAAATCCAAAAGTAAAACTCCATTTATATCCGCTAGAACTATGGTTAGTAGCTCAACGGATTAAAAATGAATTACCCCGCATTACTAATATCAATGAATCTTATCATAGTCGTTTAATTAGGTAATTTTCAAATTGATGGAATGTATAAATTTAATATTTCATAGTAAAATATTTTATTAGGTTGATATCTAGGTGCATATAAATTTATAACACTTCTTTAAAAAATGCAGAACCAGAACGGAAGCTGAATTGAATAATTTATTCAAAGAAGAATTCAAAAAAAAATTAAGGTATCCCGAAAACAACACGAAGAAATAAATAAAAATGCTGTTTTGAGATTTAAAAAATAGTAATCAAAATAACATTGAGTTTTTATCTTTTAACTTGACTATATGTACATTTATACAAACATTTTTTTATTAAAAAAATTTAAATAATTAATATGAATATGTTTTTTTTAACAATACATTTTATTATTCGAACGTATCATTTTCGAACACATAACATTGTCTCCTCATCGTCTGCAATGAACTGTTGTTTTTATTATAATTATATAATATATATATTATTACTCTATGATTATTATTTATGAGCTTTAGATATGTTTATTATGTTTGATATACATTATATATTTTTAAATCTTAATCGCTATAAGTAAATTATTCTTATTAAAAGAACATTAGAATGTTAGATTTATATAGTTTATTATATTATGATTTATAAATAGGTACGTTAAAAATAAAATTAAAGATAAACGTGTTTAGAAAAACAAAGTGTTATTTAATTTTAATTGAAATAAGTAAAAATTAACTATAATGAATTATTTCTATGGTACTTAAGCGACACCTTTAGTTTTATCTTTCAATAAGTATTCTAGAAGCCTATCATATAGATAAATAATGCAATTAAAGCTTTTCCTTTGGTACTTGTAGTTAAATTATAAAGTGTAGAAAATAGTGGATATTGAAAAAGGAATTTTGAACAAAATATGGCTTTTAAATGTTTGAATTTAACAAAGCTACAAGTGACTGGAGAGTTGGTCAACATAACCGCAACACAACACAACAAAACCGCAGTATAGATTCAATTTTTAACTATATGCATTATTTTCGTTCAACGTATTTTTGTACATAATATGTATGTTATATCATTTTTGATCAGAAAAAAGTAAGGACTATGCATTTTAAACGGGCGTAACACATTTCCACTAAAAGTATATCTTTCCCTTTTCCACCAAATAAGATAGAATACCTATACTTTTCATGTGTTTTTCGGATTGATGTAAAATATATATAAATATACACACAATATAATCAATGTATAGTGTACATTTATTGTATTTAATTGTATGTTAAACCGTTATTGTACTTATACATGTACTCATAACATTAACTATGATAATATCTAAATAATCAAATACTTAATGAACAAGTGAAAAGATGACATAGTTGAAATAATGCATTACAATTGTGTGTGTGTTAAAATAAAACGTAAATTTTAAAATTTATAATTCTATTATGACTAAAGTTATCGAAGTAAACGTGGTAATAAAACACTAGAACTAAACAACTTTAAATTTTTTATTGGATCAGTTAACAAATATCAACTAATTATATATATATAGTTATAATTTACATCGGTAACTAAGGTATAATATACCATGATATATCATTTTTTTCACCTTTTTATATCTGACCATTTTTATGAATAAAATTTAATATTTTCCAACCTATATTGTATATATTATACAATGACTTTACATTTATTGAATTAATAGTATATGTTAAATTAAGTTATTTCTGTGCTTTTAATTTAAGTGTAGTATACAATTTTTTGGTAAAAACGTAGTCAATATCTCATTTGGTGGAAACGGATATTGGTGGAAAAGGGAATGATACACTTTTGGTGGAAACGGATATTTGTGAAAAAGAGAAAGGTCTACTTTTTGTAGAAATAGGCATCGCCCTTTTAAACATATCATACATTTAATAATATCATAATTACATTATATTATATTACATTATATATGGTATCAATATATCATGTTTACACATATACAGTAGAACGCAAGAACGAAATCGATTGGCCCACACAAAGTTTTATGTTTGTACAGTTTATTTAAATAGATAATTCATAACACTATAAAAAAAAAAAAAAAATGATTAGAGTTTGTACCCAATTATATATTTAGGTATTAAATATTGATAATATTATAGCTGTACCGAGTATTTTAACATTTAAATAAATAAAAACCATAATTATACTCATATAATAATTTTTTTTTACTACTGACATATATAAACCATAAAAAAATGTCCAACTACAAAATTATATACATTTTTGTGAATAACTATATTTATTTTGTTTAAATTTTTGGAAAAAAACGAAAAAAAAAAAAATTAAAATAGATTAATCAAAATGTGTGCACATAAACGGAAAGTATATATTTTCTGTAAAGTGATTGTCATTTGGTAGATACAAAAAATAAAAATAAATGTACCCATCGTTGTTTTAAAACGTCAGTAATTATAGTAATAAAATTCTCGAAAATGACATGTTTTTCGCGTGTCCGATAACATCTCGGAGAACACTTAACCTACAGGGGAACATTTAGTACGCAGTTTTACACGAGAATCGGCGGCCGTGCCCGATTTTTATCGTTCGGTAATTTTTCAGTTTTAGTGACGAAGTCCGTTTTAAAGGCAATAAAGTGTTCGATGTCCTTCAAAAACGTGGGACCTGTTTACCTCGAAGATAGTTACTATAGCAAGTCCGAATTAGACCGGCATCAAAGTTCGTTAATAATATATAGAGTCATATTTAGTACGAGGTTTAAAATAAAATCAAAGTAAAATTAATTGTAATCAACCGCGAATAGGAGATTTTCTTTGTTTCTATTGAACGTAATACAGTGTATATAAATTTAATCACATTAGTTTTAATTTTTCCTTTATGCTATGAGATTATTTTGTTTTAATATTTTAATATAATATGAACAAGTATATAAATAATATTAATATTGTATTTCTTGTATTAATAATTCAATTAAACCAGATAAATGTTTGTTCGCCCAGAGTTTGAAATTCAAGACGACCTTGGTATGCCAGTAAACTACGTGAGAATCAAAGCCTTGGAAGATAACATACGGAAGGACATAGTTAGCGATAAGGATTCTTTACTCAGATCCATTGCTCCGATAATCAAACTAGGGCATTGCATCGCTCTTTTGCCAGTGCAGGGCTTTAATGGCCCGAACACTAGTTATTTAGTGTGAGTAAAATTTGAGTTTGTCACATAAATAATTCTGGGTACGGCGCATATGGCAAAGATATGTTAACAATGTATCAAGTCGTATGGTAACACGGGATTCAAAAGCGTCTAAACATTTCTGTTTGCTCGTATATTGTACTGTGAAATGCATTTTGTTTAAGCCATCTGGTGATAATTTTATGTTTTTAGTTTTAACTGGTTCAATTGGTCAGTTGGTTATTTGTTCGTTGCATTATCTTCGTGTTTTGTAGTCGTTACGTTTTCAACACTCAGGATATGGCACAATGGACTAACTTATGAAAGCATAGGTAAAGTTTATAATTTATTTTCGATTGAATGTAGAAAAATGCCAACAATTATTATATAATACATATTTGGACATGTGTAAATACATGATTATTTACAATATAAAATATAAAAGTTTACGAATTGTGCTATTGATTTGATTGACTAATTTGACAATTATTAAAAATTATATATCTAGTTATATATTATATTGCTTAATACTATTTTATATAAATAAAATTTTAACGAAACCGATTTAAGCATGGGAAAGAAAGTGAGACTAATATCTAACAATTAGAATATCTTATTTACCATAATATATTATTCTTTTTACTATAAAAATTGTTATTTAAATTTTGTTTAGTAAATAATGAATGTATCTAGTGTATGTATATACGTGTGTGTGGGTTTTTTTTTTACTCACAGGTGAAGTACTATTTTATGGAGGTTCGCTGGTAATTTATATTTTATTTGTGCATTTGGCGAGGGAATGGCCACAATTTATGGCTAAATGGGAGCTAATGGAACGCGAAATGAGACGATTAAGAAACCCTCCTAAGACTGCTTATAAGTTTAAAATGATTACAAGTATTATCATGTTCCTTTCCATAGGTACGTATAACATTAAAATATTTTTGTCAAAATATAGATAAAAAAATGTAAATATTTTGAATATTTTTCTACATAATATATTTTAATAAATAGTGCGAGTAATAATTGATCGAATGAACCTAAAATATCTTAGACTGTTTTAATAGCTTCTAGTTACTAAAAAATACATAGCTTTTCTGTTTTTCTTAAATATAGTAGTATCCTAACAACGTTTAAATTTATTTGGTTTACAGTTGAATATTTGTCAATAGTTTTATCGGGTGTACTGAAAACACTTCCTTGTTCGAAGGGTGGTTTGGATATTTTTCGATCATACTTTTCCTTGAAGTTTCAACAGATATTTATTTTCATGAGTTATTCAATATTTATTAGTTTACCTTTAGAGTTTTTGAATTTGATACTTATTTGTGCTTGGAACTATATGGATTTATTGATCATCTTACTATCGTGTGCGCTGTCTGACAAGTTCAAACAGCTCAATCAAAAACTGGCAAGCGTCAAAGGAAAAGTTAGTATAAAAAATAAAAAATAAATACAAAATCCTTAGAAAAATCGTGAAGTAATCGAATCAAATGGAGCATGGTTTTATTTTCATTTCTCATACCTACATTATGAATTCCATAAAAATGTGAACAAATTTCAATTTTAGGTTGTTCCAAGTGCATATTGGCGAAAAACTAGAGAGATGTACAATCGTTTAGCGTTGTTGTCTCAAGATTTTGACGAGTTTTTATCACCAGTGTTATTATTATCATTTGCTCACAATGTGTATTTCATGTGCTTACAATTACTGAACAGTCTGAAGTAAGTGCAAACAATCGATTTGTTTTTTCTCTTTAAACAGAAATCATTTGTTACTGGTGATGGATGTGTTTTCAGACCTATGCACACTTTTTGGGAGGCATTTTGTTTTGTGTTTTTGTTCACGTACCTGGTTGGAAGAACGTCCGCAGTATCATTGTTTGCCGCCTCCATAAACGACCAGAGTAAAAAACCGAAAACAGTTTTGTTTTCCGTGCCAACAGAAAGTTACGGAGTCGAGGTAATTATTTATGTTTAAAAGTATTAAGTTAGTTCATTAATCGCTAAAGCACAGAATAAATATACGAAAGGCAAGCGGGATAAAAAAAAAAAAAACCGTATGAAATATTAACAACAGGAACTTTGAAAAGTGCTGAATTATCGAACGCAAGGACTCGAGTGTGTTCCGGATCGTAATACACCGATTTCGAGTCCATCAAAGGAGTGCGTGGAACCATAGTCGCTGAAAATGTGAAATGCGAGGATTCGGAGCGTGACATATTTTAAAGTTAGTCGTTTTATGTATCTTGGCGTTTCGGCCGGGTCCATATGTGAATAATAAAAATATGAGCGAACTGTTCTGTTTTGAATAGAAGAAAGATTTAACGGTTGAACGCACTTATATAATAATTTACGTTAAAAACTTTTTTTTGGAAAAAAAAGCGAAAACACGCATTACATACTAAAATAATTGGTGATCTTTTAATATCACTTTTAGTATAAAAAAATAAAAAATAAATAAAAATAAATTAAATAAGTTTAATTTTTTTTTTTTATTTATATACAGTCGACTCTCAGTAACTTGACGTTTAAGGGGAAAAATAAAAATTCGACTTATTAAAAATGTCGAGTTATCACAAACTTTTAGAAAGTATGCTTTTATTTTTAAATAATTTAATTTTTACATTAACGGAATAAAAAAATATGTTTTCTTGCATTCCTACTTATATTTTATTATTTTTAAAGAATCGGTATAAAGTTGTTTTTGTTTAATTAATAAATTGTACTAAATTATATTTTCTAAAATACATAATGGTTTAAATAAATAATTTCGGTAAAATATTTTAAAATTATTTATTATGCCTTGGTCTAATGGTTGTAATACAAACTTAATATTAAGATATAAAAACTGCACTTGAATAACATTGAAAGTTGAAGTTAAATTGTTTACAGTACAATTATCAATAATAAGTAAGACTTTTTTTACTCAGTGACCATTTTTTTTATATCTAATTTCATTAACCAAAAATTAAAAATTTCAGATGTCATCCAGGATTTTTTGTTCGCATAATAATCTAATGGTAATGATTTTACTTGTTTACAACATCTTGGTTTTTTGGACTTATCAATCAAAAGTGGTCTTAATTTTTCTGTGCTCGACATATTTGCCTCTAACAAAAGTGTTACTCTTTCTTTGCTAAGTTTTCCACCTGTACAAGATTAGCTTTTAAATATGAATGTTTTTTTAGATAAACATTTGAAAAATAATCGCCTTGATAAACAATTTTTAGAACTGAATTTGGATAAGAAAATTCGAGATATCGAAAACTCAAATTAATTTTCGAGTTAACAAGATTATTTAAACATTAAGTGTTACTGTTATTTGATGGGGAATTTTCATTATTCAAGGTATTGAGAATTTCGAGTTATCGAGGTTCGAGTTACCGAGAGTCGACTGTGTATATATATATATATATATATATTTTATTTATTTTAGACAAATATACATTACATCATACAGATAAATAAATAAAATATACTAATAAATCTACTCCTTTAAGCAATGCTTGTGTTGGAGTAGAGAGTTAACAATAGATATTATAATTGAAAATTGAAAATAGAATAAAATAAATTAGGATAAAAATTAATATTCTTTCAATAAAATACAACACGCGCGCAATTAATGATTGGAGCGTCGATGCGGTGGGTACATCTGCGTTCCGTTTTGGTTTTTTGTTTTATTACTACGTCGTTGTATTACACATTCGATCGCATTTGCCAATTTTTGAATATACGTCAACTGTTTTTATCGCATTTACGCCCCTCGCCACCACCGATATCTCGGCATCGTCACCGGCTAAGACATTAAATCATCACAAAGTCAACTCGGGGCTCATCCGGTGATATTAATTTTATAATATTTTAACTAACCCTCATATTTTATATTATAATCATCATCTAGTGTGGTATATTTTCGTAAACTAATGACAGTGTGAAAATAATACATGCTAATTTGAACATAGTATGAAAAATGTTGTTTTACATTTATTTTTTTACACACTAAAATGTTATGATAAGCTATTTTTCTATTGTAACATGAATACACGTTTATTTTAGTTATTTTAATATTTCTAAATTGCTTAATACTACATTGATTTTCATTAAGCGTTAATTTTTTTTTCGCAGGTGGCAAGATTTCTAACTCAAGTGACATCTGACGAATTAGCATTGACTGGATGCAATTTTTTTTCGGTAACTAGGACATTTATGTTAACGGTTAGTCGAATAAAATATTTTTCAGTAAAAATACTTTAACATTCGTTACCAGGATATTTTTTAATAATTCGTTTTCCTTTTGATAACCGTACCATTAAGATTGCTGGAACCATAGTCACCTACGAGATTGTATTGTTACAATTTAATAACGTGGCCGTTGAAGAATTGGATCTAAATAACACGTCATACTTACGTTATTGTTTTTAAACTATATTGCACCTTTTAAAATATAAAAAAATAATTAATAACTATGAAAAATAACATTATTTCAATATTTTAACGAACTATTAATAAACTGTATGTTATAGAACAAACTTATAACATAGTGTTTATATTTTATTAAATTAGTATAAAATATTGTATCGATAAAAAAATATTATACTCAAATAAACAAAATAGTTTTAGTTTATATTTGTAAAAACAAATTTGAACTCACAGTAAATTTTTCAAATGTATTGCAGTTTTACTTAACAATGGTGACTACATATGGATTATTTATGCGTGTATTGAATATCTACTATATATTTGTTCTATTTTTGAAAATATATAGTATCACTTTCTTCAAAGTCATTAACATTGTGTCATTTAACTGCTGCACGAGTCGTTAAACGGTATATTCGTCCTCAATACATAAAGTATAAAATGCAAATTTCCTTATTGTATAAATAGTATTAAACAGATTTAAATAATAATTAACGAACTTAATATTTTTCCGATCACATAAAACAGCATGTCATCGTTTTGTAGGTAGTATATTCAATTTTTCGAAATTTTGTAATTAGGAAATGTGAAAGATCATCAGGCTTGTGATAAAAAATTTTGCTATTATTAATTTATTATACCTAACGATCATACAACACTCATCGACCCTAATATGGCTATATGGAATCTTTCATCGTTTTCTCACTCTAATATATTTAATTTTTAATTTCACCAAATCACTATAGAATCGTTCGAATGTAATATTGTTTTAGACCAAACAATTGCGGTCGAAGATAACTGCTCTTACGAGATCTATACCAATGTTGACATAAATGTATACGGATTTTAATCAAGTATTTACCCTTACGTATATGTATACTACTACTAAAATTGTTCCCGTTCTTTTAACATTAATTAAAAGTGGGGCTATTGTCTGCTTACATTATTAAAATCGTCATGGACACACATGATCGTCTTTTGCAGTTACGAAAAGTGACTTTGTAATGAAAAAGCTGCTAACTTCTATGGCAATCGTATTACATTTGAAACTATGCAGGGAGAATAATACAATGGGCTATTCAATTTTAATAGCGATGACGTCAAGATCCGTCGGATAAAAAAAACCACGTCTCGTTTGTTCTGACTAAAAATATTTGAATTATTGTATGCATGACATGATATCAACTCTTTTATCTTCTTTGCTTATCACGCATGACCAAATAACTGTTAAACTAGCAGGAACAGAGAATTGATATTGTAGTATGCACATATTGACTGTAATAAGTTATGAATAAAGGACTACTAATCTCGAAAGAAGTAGTTGATGCATTTCACAAATTAATATCAATTTGTCCACATTGTGAAGATTTATTATTTTCTGACTACCTTCTACAATACTACATTAAAAAACCACTGCCAATTTCCACCAAGTATTTGGGATTATATTATTTCATCAAACCAAAGGTTTTTATTGTATTTTTTAAAAATTATTTAATATTAAAAAAAAACTGTCATATTTATTAAATTTTGTAAAATTACCAATGTAGCCGAATGTTTTCATTACACGTATAATTCACAGTTTTATGTACCTCACCCTCATGTCCATGCAGTTGTAAGGGTATTGCTCGAAACATAAGTAGAAAAGTTTACTAGGATTCCTTCAATTCAAAATAAACACATACAAATTCCAGTAAAAACCATTAAAAAAAGTTAAAAAATTATAATTTAATATAAAAGTTTACAAACAATATTCAAACCATAAGAATCTTTATCATTATATGTAAATAAACTTGAAAACAAATACCAAGGTGTTTCAATCCCATTCATTTTTATTATCAAATTCAACCTCAATGATTTTTTAATTGTTTTCATAAATATTATTTTATTACTCTAGTATTTTATTTTTAAACAGACCTATGCAATTGATCTATTTTTATAATTCGTAATATATTTTGAATTATATAAATTATTATTATTTAATTAAATATATTTTGTAATTAATGTATAATTTTTAATTAAATTATTTCATTGATCATGTTTAAATTAAATTCAATACATTAAAATAATGTAACATAATAATAACCTCTAAATCGGGATATCGATCATGAACCATTGTAAATATATTACCTAATTATATATCTCTTTATATATTAGACATTGCTATCTGTTAGCACTGAGTATAAGTATTTAGGTTTTCGACATTCTTCGTATAGATAGAGCTCTTATACATGTTGAGTAATTTTTCGTTCACTTGTATTTTATTAATTTTAATGATGCAAAATATAATGATAAAAAGTTAATAGATAATTTTTTTATAGATACACATTTGGATTTACGTCCTTATTTTACAATCAATAGTTGTGAAATTTGTCAGTGAAAATGAATAAATTATACGGTTCAGTTCATGATGCAAGAATACGTTAATTAATATATTAATATTATTATTTAATTTATTTTTAATTAATTTTATTAATATTAAATTTCTTGTGAATTTTAAATAGCTATTAAAACTTCCTATTAGTTTAATTAAATAAAAAAAAATCATAAATTAAATTAATATGATTTATTTGATATCACGTGAAAATATAATTTTAAACGTAGCAACAGGAAATGGGATGTAGCTTTATCGAATAAATATGAAATATATTACAATTTATCAAAACTTTCATTTTGATTCATCAATCATGGTGAGAAAATGTTTTAAATTTTTTCAATATATTTTAAAAATGTAATAATGGATCATAAATTAAATAAATGGCTGTAAATAATTAATATATCATTTTCGGTGTACACTAAAAAGTACGTATTGGTTACAATTATATTTTAACAACGTCCAACCAAATAAATACCTGAAAAAATTATATTTTTTAACCCTCTGTAACAAATTTATACTCCATATAAAATAGGAAAATAGTGTTACTTTCAGGGTTTGAAATCGATTTCAAATATCGATAAAAATCGTTAAAAATCTTGAAAAAATCAAAATCAATATCAAAATCATTTTAATAATTAAAACGATTTTATATCAAATTAATTTAAAATTCAACAGCCAACAGGTCTATTTATATTGTCAATTCGTAGACATTGCCATAGTTGGTAATAATATTGATAAAACCATTGATTATAAATAACTAGTACCTATTTTGTTTTCTTAGAATATTTACGATAAGGAATCAGCGTTCAATGAGCGATTATTGTTTTTATACATACGATTTATTCCGTATAATATACTTTGTATAGACATTTCGTAGTGTATTATAATGGCTAAGATATTAATTTATAATAATCAATTGGCTGTCACCCGTGAGTTATACTTTTAACCATTAATATACAATCAAATAACCGAAAATAATTTTATTTTGTACTTTTGTAGTTTTGTGAGGCGTCGTCATATTTGTCCCACTTATAGTTTAAAACATTTTTCTCATATTTAGTTAAATTATGTCTGAGTCTATGAATAAAAAATTTTATTTTACATTTTTATCATTTCACATAGATGTATCCCTAGTTTACTTAATTTTAGCTTAACTTTCATATCATGTTTTTTTTTTTTTTTTTGAAACACTTTAATAATAATTGTAGTTTGTATGAAATGTTTTAAAACATAGGTAATAAAAAAATAGATTTAAATATATATAACCTACATCAATAGTTTGTAGCTACAGCCTACAACACTATTATTCTTATGATGTACTAAAATTTGAGAAATTATTATGTCATGGATAACATTCTGTTGAGAACCCGAAATCAAAAAAAAATAAATAAATACCGATTTCTGAAATTGAAAAAAATGAATATCTTTATTTGAAATTAAAATCGAAATTGCAAAAAAAAAAAATATCAATATTTGAAACCAAAATCGAAATTAAAAAAAATCTAATATCAATGATCAAAATTAAAATAAAAATCGAATTTTTTTATTTTGATTTAAAGCCCCGGTTGCTTTTAAAAAAAAACATTTTGAATACTTACATATATTATAGAAATTTAATTTCTATATTATTATACCTACAATGATTTTATAAAGTATCTCAAAAACAAAATATGATAATATTTTATGATTCTCGTACCTAAATCAAAACAGAGATTATAACTTACAATATAAATTTTATATCCAAAATATTAGTGGATATTCATTTTTTTTATGATTTTATTTATACTTTTTTTAAGGTATATACTTATCTTAATCGTACGCTAAACAATTGTAATTGTGTAATGATTTATGGAGCCAATTGGAAAAAATGTACCATATCAAAAGCATTCAAAAAAATATTCGGTGCTTAATTTCAAGAAAGTTTACTTGAAATATATAAATGAAAAATGTGTAAGTGAATAATACTATTAAAACAATAAAACAGTATAATTAAATACATGAATATTAAATATTAGAATGTATTAAATATTACTTAAAATATCAGTATAAATTAGATATTAAAAATTAAAAGGCTAAAATTTCTTGCCCAGGGAGTAATAAATACAAAAATGAATGACTGGTTTTGATTAAAAATATTATCATCTGGTACAAAAATTGAGTGAATATAAAAATAAAATGACAAAATATACAATTATGAAAAATATTCATGTATAGTACTCAATCGGTTACTCGAGAGAGTATTTATAATTATATTCGATTATAATAAAGAATTATGGAAATTCTGGTGATCAGCTATTTTTACTCAAATATTTTATGTTCTGGTAATATTGGTTTAACATTAACGAAGCAATTTAATGTAATTGATTTTTCAGCAGCGGTTAGAAACCCTTTGGTTTTGTAAAGGTATTGGTGTAATTATGCACTCTTTCGAGTAAAAATATTTCAAAAGTTTCACATGCCTTCTCTATAAGTAGAAAACTAGATACAAATTCTAATCATTTTCAAACTTTCATTATTTTTGGAAATTTAAAATTGTTTTAGCCACAATTTACCCAGGCTTTTGACAACAATATGCAGGAAATGCTAATTCTGTCATTAAACGTTTTCGTTTTTTTAGACTTCTTCAAGAAACTTTGTTA